GGAACCAAGGGCTTACCCGTATTCATTTAACAAAGCTTGGTTACTTCCAAGAATCAATCCAGTTCTAATATACGTGTTCAACTTAGTCAATGAGAGATCAAATTTATCCAGGGAGATTTGGACATTTTGACACGCTGATTGTGTGATCAAAACATACTGTATTATTGATATACTCTGTAACGAATTTACTATGCGTTTAGATCAGTCCTGACTTTTCGCTTCTGTTTTTTCCATAGTTAATTCAAATATATTTAATATTTTTACGTGTATATGAAAAAAGAAAGAATTAATTGCGGATTCATTATTGATCAAAACTAGATGTAAAATTGCAATGACATTTTCTGTGTGAAACCTTGGATTAAAGAGTGAAAACGAACAGAAGTTACACTTGCAAATTTTAATTTTTTACTCTCGTTCCAAATGTTTTGGTTTCCAACGCAGGCAAGGCTAGCGTGACAATTGCATTTTCGTATTAAATACGACTCAATACTTAAACAAATGACCATTCTAAATACTCTCAATTGTTGCAATATTGTCCCAATTTAACTTATCTATAAATGTCAAAACTCCAACACAAAAGTTCGATACTTTAAGAAAAAGTGAGTAAAATTGATGAAATTGCGGAAACACTATTGAAATATAATTGATGCTCGCATACAAACTCGTAACAATCATCGAATTTCAAGATTATTTTGAGATGAATTTCCCACCTGATTCCTGAGCTTTGGCAAGTGACGTCATCACGATAACCGCCACAATCAGTAGACCGTGACAAGGGGTTTCCGACTTCCTCATTGTTAGGTCAGCGCCGTTTAAAAGTACAAAGTAAGCGTCTTTACTATTTCCTTCCTTATTATAGTGAACAAATTGTAGCTTAGAATTAAATTCTGTTTTGAATACAAAAATGTATATGATATTTGAACAGGACAATCTAACAATGAAATACCAAGCGTTATGCATGTCGACAAATTCCATCTCATACTTTTTAACAGAGCTGTACCATCCTCTGAGATATCTCGTTTTATCGGTGGCTCGCGTTGTGCTACGTTTATTTGACTTTTAACTAACATTTCCGTGGGGGTGACTATCAAATAAAAATAGTCGTTGTTATTATAACGTGAGGTCTACCACACTGTAGCGTGAGAAGTAGTAGTCTACCTCAAGCTAGTGATAAATCGCGAGGATTACCGCTGATCATTCCAGATGGATATCTATTACTTGTAATCCAATCTATAATCTTAACCTGGATAGGTGACATATCGCGGTGGACTTCACGCTGTATTCCAACTCACGAAAGGAAGAATACATTCGATGACCTAAAAGTTTGAAGGACATTGCGAGCATCAAGCATTGCGCTAAGATTAAAAATTAACATTCTCAAATCTCGCCTTTCTTTGAGTATACATAAATGTCTATATCTGGAAATTCAGCAACATTGAAATTTTATCCACCAAGCATAAAATCCTAACCCGACAGTTTATGCCTAAAGAGGCGCTCATGTGGCTACAAATATACATATGTTTTTGCTGTTATCGCAGCGTTGAATCTTTCGCCGTTTTACTCAATGTTTCTATTACTGTAATGCTAAGCGATAGCCACATGCTCTTGTCAGCTGACTGATAAACATTTAGCCAGTCAAGGTTGCTACAACTTCTGTCAAAGCTGATGTTTACAAACTATGTAAGAACTCGAAATTTCAAGCATTCCACTGAAATGTTGAATGAATGAAATTTTGCATTGTGAGAATAAAGTTGGCTATATGACGCGCCGACAAAAAATGTTGCACACGCCTGGTCTACACTATCTCGTCAGTTAGCTATAATATAGGCTAGGAATATCTTACATCATAATTAATATTTACTACGAATGGTTACTTCCCAACATATGACTAATTATTAGGCAAAATTGCATCACGGCTGGTATACTGCCAAGATCAATTCTCCTATTCCAAATATATATGACACAGGAAACATTTTCATGTGAAAATGGGAGAACTGCAACTACAATCTCTAAGAAACGCCGGTACTTTTTTTCAGAGACAATAAATAACGGACGCGGCATATTTTTAGCCCTTCGTATTTAGAATAACTGCTTTAACGATAATCAAGATCAGAAAGGTAATAATATTAAACGAAGAAATTTGTATCCGTTTGAATGAAAATATAAATATTATTATTTCGATCCAGATATCCGGAAATAGGTGTGATATAATGAGGCCATATCTGGTTCTGATTTGATCATACGCCATGCCCGAATAACTCAAACAAATAAATCAAATATTCTATCATTAAAAGCTGAATATTCACAAGTTGCTATTTTTGAAATTATCACTCAAACCCACGAAAAGTATACGCTAATATCTGCTACATGGAATCATGAATTTGTAGGCTACAGTTGCCAGCAGTTTATATATCGCTAACAACTTGTTATCGGATAAGACTATGACAGTAATCACTAATAACACTCACTGCTCAATCTCATTTTATTACTTTGAATGCTTTTCCTAAAAAATTTCATTTTACGCCCAATCTCTTGCCTACATACCTTGCATCATTGTCGGTACATCTTGAATTTGAAAAATCACCATTATCATACGCGAACTATCAAGCACAAATTCTGGCAACGATAAGAAAGGTATTCCTACCTCTCCAACATGACACAGAAATCACACGCGTTGACAGAATCGACGAAACCTTAATATTCTACAGACATTCGAATGGCTAATGAGTAAGGTAAGTAGATGCGAAACAATAAATATGCTCTTCTGTCACCGACGACATCTAGTTTGAGATATCGTACTTTCAGTAACTTGCTACGCTAACCTATACCACGAGCCTTACTAAAAGATACCTACTGAACGAAACAGAGATGCAATAACAATAATTAAAAGCAGTAATCCTATATTAAAGACTACTTAGTATATCTTGCTTAGATAACCTGTACTCATTATGTCGCAATGCCTTATGATACCGAGGTGATATAAATTCATCTTACTTAAAATCTCAATCCAAAGATGTTTCGTATATAAACGGTTGTGGTATGCAATAGTAAGTCCGATACAACTATGAGCAAATCGAGGCAGATTACCTTGTGACGCTTGCGCGTACTGATGACACCAGTTTGGAGTTAGTCATTCTTCCTGCTCGTTTCAATTTTTTTTACTGTATAGTATATACAATACGCTTCTGTTTTCTCTGTGCGTTGGCAGGTGCAGCCGATACGTAAACGGTATGAATGACTCATGTTATAATAGAAGTATTTCTTCAAAAACAAGAGACGAAGAACACCCGATATACTGTAACAACCTGATGAGACATCATATATTGACTACTATTTATGGTGGAGAAATAACATAATATTATATATCAACATATAACATATATTATATTGCCGTTACGACTTAAATTCAGAATAATTAATAGGGTTGGTACCCGCGTAAACGACCCGCTGAAAGTAACCTGCATCACATTGCCAGACGCTCACTCGGCCTATCCATCTTCGACCAAGATAGCCATCGTAATTAGTATAATTTCTTTGATACAAACTGCACGAATTCTTGAAAAAGATGTTGGATTTCGTGTAACGGAACATGGTTGTGAACTTGGGGTGATTGCTGGTGACCAGGGGTTGAATATGATTAACATAAATATACCAGGGGGGAGCCAAAAAGATGGCAAAACACGGCCGTCTCACGTCCGGTTACCAGTCTTTTTCGGGATTAGTTAGCCAGGTATTACACGTGTTACAGCCGTGTTTTAGGCCAACAAGTTCTACACACCCTTCTCCCTCATCACTTTTATCGGACACGAAATGGCATATGGATTGTTCCGCCGGTTGTGATGGTCAATTAATTTTGATCTGATACTACTCAAAGGAAAAAGTCACTAGGGGTTTCAAGCTGCAGACAGGGTTCTTCTTAACTGAAGAGTTCTTCTTTTTAAATTTGAGGACGAATGTTTGAATAAGCAGAAAACTGATGAGACTAATCCCCTTACCTTAGCTCCGCCATAAATTCTAATGAGTAGATATTGTTCTCCGATGTCTGTTCAAATACCCATCAAACGAACAATGTCAAATAATGCATGTTGGAATAGGAACTGTAATTAGAATTTTCTGATCATTACAAATACTCGTTTTGGCTATCTTTTCTCAACTGAAGTATTGGCTTTACACCAAGGATCTCTCTCGCTTATCAACCAGTAAATAACGGCAGGACTGTTGCAGCATGGAATTTTGTAACCAATGAATCCTTTTGGGAGCTTAGAAATATATCAATGTCTTCTGATAGTACTTTGAAAATGGCGGACTCTCAATGAAACAATATTCCTACAGCGAGCTAGAGTATGGTGTATCAAAAATGTAATGTCCCTTCTTAGCATATTTGTCCCGCTTGTTCTGAGTTTGAGTTGACACATAATGTGGGAGTGACACAGGATGTAAGCACATGATCTAGGATTCATGCTATGTTTTGGGCTAGGATATAGATAAATACCGTATTTATATGGAGTTGGACATACCCAGGAGTTCGTAAAAATATTTGAAGGTTCATAAGCTTCGAATGTAGATGGTGAAAACAAAACAGAAATTCTGAAGAAAGAGCCAATGCCAGTTTACAATGGTTTGGATGTCAAACTTCCATACATGAATCAGTAAACAATCAAAACTACATATCGGTTACAATTGCATAAAAATACCAAATGTAATTCATAAAGCAATACGATAAAATTAAAAATTGAATGTGCGTACATTGGAACACTTCAGTATGTATATGAAATCATGAATAAATCTTTCATGAGATTGCAATCCAATATGTCGGATGCCGTCATAATACCACCTATGGCTGAAGCAACAATTCCGCATGTAATCACATCTTGACCTGAATAATGAAGGAAAATCAGAATCGTGTCTTGCAACCTACTAAATAGAAGAACAATAACTGTAATACATTTTTCGCTAACGATATTTTTCTCTTGTTTTTATAAGTAACAGTGAGAAATCTTATAGCATTTGATAAAAACGACGTCTCCAACTACCAAAAAAGCTGGGATAGACCCGGCAGAAATTAGCTATCTGTACTTTCACAGGGCTGGTAGATGAATATTATGAATCAAAATGATGGCAATGAACATATAAATCAATTTCTTGGCACTAACTTGTGGAAACAAAATAAGCATAAATAGTTTCACAATGGTAAGGTATAGAAAGAATTTTCTAGGTGCAAAGGTCGAGGAAACACCCATTGTTCACATTGCAACCAGCTCAGTAAATTGTATTTTATTGGCAGAAAATAATTATTTTACTAAATAATTAAGACTATATTTAATCAAACTAAACACAATTGATTTCCTCTAAACTCCAAGGTAAAGCTGAGAAACTCTAACGACACACACTTGAAAACCAATGAGTAGGAGTGCTGGACTATGCTGACGTCACAGGTCAATATGCAATCTACAAAATATCCACGAGTTTAAATACAGTGTTCTTATATAGAAAAATTAAAAAACTCTACTAGATTTAACAATTAACATCAATCCAACTTTAAGTTACTCGAATCAGAATCCAAAATTTTTATCTAAAAACTATAAAATATTCTGATGACAAAGTATTATAAGGTAGTCTATCATACGAATTAAAATGGAGACCATGCTAAAATAGATACAGTACTTTTTATAAACGAGTATATGAAGAAATTCGAAGTATCGTTTCGAACATCGCATTTGAAATGACAATTGCATATAATATACAAAAAATACAATATTTAAAACATTTAAAGATTGCACCGAGTAAAAACCTTAAAACCCCCAAAAATTGAATAACAATTAATTGCCCGCAAATTTTGGTTTATAAAAGGATTAGGAGAAAGGGCGCTCCTGAAGTATGTGTACCAAAATGGCGCACAACTTGAACCCTAACTTGTTACACATTCCAGGTTCAGGATGTACACCATCTAGGTGCACATACTTCTGGAGCTCCGGAAATATATAATGAAACATAATCATACGCTTCACCACACACAATAATTTGATTTTAAAAAAATATTCAAAAATATTTTTTATTTTTTTCAAAGGTTTTTAAATTCGGATTTTGATTATACTCATTTTTTTCGACGCTTTTTTATGATCCTCACATATTGTACATTATAAATTTTGTTAATTGAAATGGCAATGAAGCTCAAACAATTGATAGTAATTTAGGTAAAATATTCTTGTGTGAAGCATAGATTACTCCAATTTAATTGGTTTTAAATATAATAACGACAATGAAAGAATTGGAATGTAAAAATACTAACGAAAAAATAACATTGCTCAAATATATGGGCACGAAGTTCAGATGCCAAAAAAAGTGTTCGCTACGTTACGAAAACGACTTCATAATTGAAATATATAGTAAAATGTTGTGTAAAACATTGGGTCCTATAAGAAATTGCAGGAAAAATAAAAAGCAATAACTTTCTAACGGCTGAAACCTTTTTTTGAATACTCAAAATTGGAAATCGACTATATATGTTATATGTTAATTTATCATAACGATTCACAAGTAAACTCCGTGTCCAAAAGAGCAATATCCAAAGATATATAAGTATACGAATCGATATAAACGCCAAACAAAAATTCGACAACTCGTCAAAATTGTAACCCAAATCTTTATTAATATGTAGAATGTAATAGATTCAGTAAAAAAGTGTTGAAAATGAACTTTTGGAAAAGTAAAAATTAATATTAAACTCAAAGAGACGTTTGATAACCGTAATATTATAATAATATTAATGGCCGAATGTTAGATGGTGAATATATTTGTTGCTCCTACGCCGTTACAAAAATATTGGTTACTTTTGCAGAGGCACCCTGGTCATTCATGGGTTTACCTCAAAGCGGTTTTTCTAAGACTTTCATGATCACAGCCACAAAAGGTATTCAACGCTTGTGGTCCTACTTTACTACGTGGTTTCACTTTTAACACGTGGTTACAACTGTTTGCGCCACGTTTAAAAATATTTGAAAAATAAAAGAGAAAGTGTAAATTCATTATATTCGGTCAGTGTACTTCAAATTGATGTCGTCATGGCGAATGGTACACCGTGATGGTAATTTGAAAAACCCTGCTAAGGAAGGTGCCTGGTTTTGTGTGTTTTGCATAATTCGAATTCTCAAGTAAAACTAATCAGTGAACAAAGAAATAGTTTTGGTATCTACGTTCAATCTGAACATATTATCTGCTTCTTAAAAGTATAAATGCTCGTACATATGGAGGCAAATATTTATGAAAGTCCTGAAATTTTGTGTTGCTTTTGCTTCATTCATTTTTTCCGTCATACATGGGATTGGCGAACTTTTGACCTGGCTCCTTAAATAATGGATTACCGGTCTGTAATAATAAAGAAGTTTTTTTACATGTAGTTACTCTACGTAAGAAATTATAGAATTTTTAGAAAATACATTTTTTAAGACCCGACTAGTAAATGTGTCCCAGGTTGTAAAAAAACATTGACATAGACTACAACTCCTAGATATCAAATTTTGATGACAAAAACTTTAATAGACTGCTAAGGACGCCTAGTAAAAATATTGCCTTCCGAGTTTCTGTGTGAAATTATGACATCTTACGCCATTGAAAGTTAACTCCCGAGTCGCGATGCCAAAAATCCGGAATTTTGACTCCAACTCCGGTTGTTTGAAAATAAGACCTTGCCTTCGACTCCAAACTCGACTCCACAGCGCTGGATAGACAAGGTATCATCAAACCGCCTATGGCAACACAGTCAAGTCATCGTGGCTCAAAGTATCTAAGATTCTTCCCCACTTCCTATCATTAATTGGATACTCTCTTTAGATGAGTAAATGCGTTCGAAAATGAACAAATCAAAAAGCAGAGTCACTGGTACTCCAATTCTCCTTGACAAAAGGTGTGAACGATACATTCTGGAATGTCTCACAGGACGATCCGCATAATTGCGTTCAATTTCGGTTCAACTTAGATAAAAATTCCGTATTTACCCTGGGGGAGAGAAAAGTCAATGAGACGACGGCTTAATCACCCAGTACTTAAAAACCTTATTCAATTAGAATACCTGCCATGTTCCTTGTTCTCGTTCTTTCACAAATTTATCGTATTGCACTTTATCTCTATGATCGGTGTATAACTTCCAGATAATCAGTGCCAGGATGCCGAAGAATAAAATTCCGCCAATAACCGGTAACACGATCAAAACAGGGTCGACCGGTTTTGGACAATCTTAAAGTGAAGTGATATTTGTTATTCACATATTTTGAAGTGATTGCATTTACATACATCAAGTTTACGCTAAACTGACAACTTTTCGTATCATTAGGAATTGCATATTTTTCCCGGCAGAGATGAAAGCCGATAAGACGGCATAAACATATGGCGATCTTGTCCGGTTACCAGTCTATGTCGGGTATGGGATTAGTTATCCAGTTATTGTTTTCGAAAGCAGAAACTTGATTGTGGAGGAAGCCGTAACCGACCAGCGATTATGTGAACCACCCTACGGCGGCGAGGAGTCCAAGAAGCGGAGAAGTTGTAACGTATCGTGGATAGAAATTTCTAACGAACTAGCTGGAATCGGGACACGTACTGTGTCCTTTTGAAAGAGTAATATATTTGTAGCTTTTTTTAACGTAAGAAGTTTGCCCAGATTCATTTTATCGTGAAGCAAAGCATGTAATGTCTAACACAAAGTCCTAAATAAAGTATAATCTAATCATATATATATAATTAATCCGCTACTCCCGTAGTATGTGTATCACTACCAGGTTAGGGTTAGGCCATAATTTTATTCCGTAATTTTCTTTATTTTAATTCTATTACGAGATCGGAGACTGTTTGTTTCATCCAAGTGAATATACCTCCTGTCCATAGGCTTCCGTCCCTTAATAAAACTTGATGTAAAGTAGGCGAAAAAAAATTAGTCACCTCCATATTGGTACACATACTTCTGGAGCGCCATTAATGCAGTATAGACGTAAAATAAATCGAATTAAATCACAAACCTTCTTCTTTGTTGTATTCTTTCACGTAAACTTGGAACTGATTTGTTTTCAGCCAATAAGTTCGATATTCGTAAGTGCAGCCATCAACCTGTGCTTCTTTGCAATTTGGTGCGTTTTCTTGTGTGCTGATTAATATGTATGAAAATTAGTAATGAGATGACATGATGTCGTTAAAATGATAAATTGACAGTCATTAAATAATGTTATTAATTAAATTAGTAACATGAGAGCAATGCTCAATTATATGAACGCAAATGTCAGAAACAAACTAATTTGGTCACTGCAGTTTCAGCCAAATGATAAAAGAATTGTACAAGCGGCCATTTGAAGATATACAAATGAAATATGAAAAAACAGCAAAATTTGGTGTGGAATATCGGTCCCGTATAGGTTTCGGCCGAAATTTCGCCAGATAATTGAGATTTTTTCGCGTGGCAGCACACCTTTTTTACCCCAAGTGAAAGGCGCGCATTAAGTTTGTGGCAGAGATTTTAATGCTGTGACATCTACAATGTCAGGACACGAGTGTTAATCACTACACGATTGCAAGAGAGCAAAAAGGCTTTATTTTAGTGTAGTTGAAGACATATATTTTTACGCAATAATGAGGTAAGAGGCAAAGAGAGTCAACTTTATGTTTTTTTTTATTTATGATGGAATGCAATGACGTTTTTCAGTATGACTAAATTTTCAATGGTTGACTAAAATTACCAAAACAAAGAGTAGTGAAAAAAGTTTATATCGTTCTTACGCGTCGAATTTATTACATTCCTTGCAATCCCACGTTGTACTTGTGCTGGTGCATCCCGAGCAATCAGGAAATCTTGATACTTTTGAGTAAACGGTGTAAGAGTTGCTCTTACATTCATTGGTACAATCATCTCTCTGAAGCATGTACATGTATACAATTAGGCTTGAAGAAATATGGAAAGATATACAAATGAGAACATAACATTCCACATGGGCGTGGCGTGGGTTTGTGATTCGTAGTATAGAGTTTAGATCTGTGATGACAACACAGCTCTAAGTTAAACGCTTTTTCAACCACAAAATACTCGCCCGCAAAGGATATATATTGTGAAAATTTGGATACAAATAAAATTTTATAAAATACTATACTATTAAAACGTGGACACATGACTTATTTATAAACTTCATCCAAAATTATGTGCATGTGTATGCTTATTTCAGATATGCAACTTATAAAAAAGAAATACAATTTTGTAATGAGATCTCCAAGTAGATAACGATATTATATAAACAAAATAACCACAAACTCACCCTACTCTTACATTCAGCACAGGTTCTGATGGTATCGCCAGCGCAAGTCATGTCAACACCAGTACATGATGGATGAATACAAGTATCGCAATATCTTCCAGACCATTTTGTCTGAAAAGTAGTGGATAACAAATGTCAGGAAATTGTTTTAAAATTCTCTAACTTTGTTTAGAAAAACGGTACAGAATAAAATTAAACAATACAATACCAGCCGTTCTGATTATTGCTACAATATCCCTGTAGAACACGCTACTATGACCAACCAAATATTAAAAATGACAAATACTAAAATTATAGCTAACATTATTCTACAATAAAACATCTTAATTAAAGTGATTACTATTTCTCTATTAAAGCTGCACTCAGACCATTCCTAAACCATTCCATGAATTACGGGCCAGATCATTACCATTAAGGATAAAATCTAATGTTCGCCGGAGGAAATAACACTATGTTTTATGGATTTGCTTTAGGGCATACGCTTATGTGTAGATTATTTGCTAGCAGTCTTCAGTTGAAATCTTGAATTTCTCTAGAACAGTTAATGTTATATCTTCCACAATAAAATGTTGCCTCAGACCTCTACCATAACTCTTCTATAAGTCACGAACGCTCGCTACAAACACAATTATATTCATTTATGAGCTTTTTGCATTTCAATAGTCATCCGTAACTTTGCCCTGAAGAGAGTCCTCTTTGCTTCTGAGTGAATGCGCATGACCTAGCTTTCAGTAACTTCTCTCAATGATAATCATAATTTACCGGTTCTTTACAAACGCAGGTATCACAACTGCAATTCCCTCGGCCACTGCATTGTATTTCTAGTGTTTTATCTTTTTTGCATTCGTCTGGATGACACGAACACGTTTTGTCGGATGGTCTGATCGTGTACTGTCCGAGACAAACACATTTGTCCATGTTATTACCAGGACAATTGTTGCACCAACCTTTGTCCTTACCTGAGTAAAAAATGACACTGTATTTTGCGCAACTAATCATAACATTTTGCAGTTATATCTTGTTTAGAATAAGTCAGTATATGATCTAAAGAAAGTTAATAAATACACTTGTTCTTCCATTGAGAGAAATTATCCTATTTTTCTTTATCACTTTGGTACTATATCGTTCAAATACCCTTGTGGCCACGCGACATGAGGTAGGTAGGTGTAGTAGATTCATGCAGTAGATCAAGCTTGCTTCTGACGTTCGTACCTCGTGTTATGCGACAGAGAATAAAATACACAATAAAACAAACCTCCGCAAACGCCTTGTTCGTTGTCAGGGCACCCAGTCGTCAAACAGTGGCAATAGGTTCCATTATAAGGCGCAATACATTGTTTACATTTGCCACAATCACACCTACCGACGTTCCTAGGCAAGAAAGAAAAATATTTTGACATTTGTAGGAGTAAAAATAATATAGAAAAAATAGTCTTTTTTTGATAGACTGATTCGAATCATTTTGTTTGCACTTCAAATAAATTAAGCAAAATTTCAGCTATTGAACTAATTAAGCAAGTAATTCCCTGTTCATCCTTTTGTCTTATGTTTCTTTATTATAATCTGTAGTAAATATCTATCTCTAGTAAGCGATGTTTGTTGGATAATTTGCCAAATTCATGCGGTACTTCCCGTCAATAACAGTAGTCTCAAAACTTCAAAATTCTCAATTTTTGACGAATCCCATTGTAACAGTAAGCGCAAAACGTTCAATTAGAAGAAGAATAGTAATCAATAACTCACTCGCATTGTAATTCTGATCCTGGTTTCTTGCACTTATCATTGACAGGTGTTCCGTCAACCATAGAATCGCATTGGCATTGGGAACCTTCCTTCCCTTCGTCACAAGAACAGACTCCACATTCCAGACTTCCAACTGTGTTACATTTGTCACTTTTTGCTTCTCCGGTGTTCTGACATTCACACTCACATAGATATTCTGATAAATATAAAACCTCATTTAATAAAATATACCCATAAAAAACACTTTCATTTATTTCATTCCGATCCAATAGACTTTGATGAAGAAGGGAAACATAGAAGATTAAAGAAGGAAGACTGCCACTGGTCAAGTCGATCACAATAGGTCAGTGAGGGCGATCCTCACATACATGGACATCATTCAAAAAGATTTCTGTTCAGAGTAGCTAGATGTGCGATTGCGAGAGGGTTATTAGCAGTGTTGAAGAATCTCAAGTCGGCACAATTAATCAAAGACTTGGTGTTTTTGAGTCACTACCAATGAGATTTTAACAAGAGTAATTAGATGTAAGATGGCACGTTTTTTTAACAGTTTTGGGGAAGCTAGATTCACTGACTCGCCTAGAGTTGGAATTAATCAAATAGTCGAAATGATTCGAGTTATTTCAATGAAATGACGCCGACTTGGACTCGACTGACTACCAGCTAGACTTAACCTAGTGAAACAGTCGACTCCGGACTCAGACGACCCGTCACCCGACTTGACCCGAGTTAGGCATTTAGAGACTTCCGCATGTTTTCCGCATATGCATAAAATCTTTATGACCAACACCAGTTTAGATGTCCTGTGTGTGTTTCCATGATAAAGCTGACATGGCCGAAATCGAAAATTAGAGACAACGTCCTATATGACCTATACAAACGTACGTTGATTCTTACAGACCCGCTGTTAGATGTCTCTACCAGCAAATGCTCAGAAAACAATAACTTACCGATATTTATATGAACTTCATCTTGTAGGGAACTTGATTTCAAAATGATTGGTTCATGCATTGGATTGCTCAGACATTCTTTTGCTTTGAATTCAAACTCAAATACGACCTAAAGTAAGAAGAGACAAAGTCAATTCAATTGGAAATTTACCATTTTTTTAATTAGGCTGTACATTATATTACGAGAAATTTTTTATTTTTCAATCACTTTTCAAATACTAACAAAATTGTAACCATCTTTGCATCGGTATTTACCACGATTGCTTACTCAAATTGATATTCTTGTATTTCCAATGATCCGTCGACGAAGTGAACAGCATTTGCTTGCTATTATTTTGGTTTACATATTTATTTTAAAATTTTGAATCTTATCATGTGGCAAATAAAAACTTCCAAATGCACTTTATAAAACTATTTCTTACGTTAGGTTACGAATGATAAGGTTGATTGTAAAAAGAATAAATGGTGAAAAAAGACAGCATTTCATTTCATAAAAATATATAAATATTGATTATTTCATTACTGAAGAGAGTGCTATTTACCAACATAAATAACCACAGAGTATTGCAAAAATCGTGTGAATTCCCTTTTTTAAACAAGTGGTCGCCAAACTGTGCGTCGTGACCTCGTATTCGAATGCGTCGCTATTAAAGAATGTAACTGCGCCATATGCTTTAGGAAACACATGTTCTGAACAAATCTCTGAATATCTGCCATGATTAGTGAAATAACTCAATGTTAATTACCTCGTCATTTATTTCGAGTCCTTCACATTGTAGTTCGTTCTCTTTTGATGTATTATCATGTGGACAGAATACACGATATGACATTTCAACGTTATCTGGTGACTTCGGCGTTGTCAAAGCTAACTTTCCTTTCAATTTCTGAAAAGTCATTTTATAAAATGACAGATTTAAATACATTTTTAATTCAGAGTATTTCGAATTTTGGACAAACGTTTGAACAAAAAGGATCTTAATCTGTGGCATCGGCATGTTTACAATGGTACCGGAGTCAGAGCCGGATTTTCGAGCTTCCCGGAGTCGGAGTTGAAATTTCAGACTTCTAATGGTCATGAAAGATTTTTACAGAAATTCTATTTTATAGGCGTTAATAACAGCTGGTTGAAGTAAACTTGCATGCGCCAAATGTTTTTACCCAAATTTGGTTTTCTCGTAGCTAGGGTCGAAGTCAAAATAGTGTACAGCCCGGAGTCAGAAGTCGGAGCCAAGTTTTATAATCCGGATACGGATTCAAAATTGTTTTTCAATCGCAGTCGAGTGAATACGATTCATAAAGGCTACCCCAAAGATATTACTCCATTTATTCGTTATACCAAATTGGAAAAAATAACTGGAAACAATGGATTTGTTCGCTATATATTTAACCTGAAAATTCAACCTCATGATGTTTATATGAAAACTTTGATGGAAAAGCTGGGAGTCAACTCACACTGTATGTAGAATGAATCAGTGGTATAATGTTGCTGGAATCACTCTTCAATACAGCAACATAAGCATCGTTTAGTACTTTCTCGATCGGCTGAAATACAGAATGAATCTTAGTCAAATTCCAATTTTGATGGAAATGAATCGAGAGAGAAAAAAAGCATAGAAGTGAGATAACCAGTTGGTTTAAAAAAACTTAATCGATAACACGTATACAGGGTGGCGCCAAAAACAGACAGAATCCATGTGATTTGGAACATATTCTGGAGATAACATAACTTTTGTGAAAAGCGTCCCATATTTCTGAAACAAACAGAATTTGAAAGTTTTCAAATGTTAAGTAATTTCTTTATTTTAGTATAAGTAATCAAGAAATGTACTTTTTTTTAATTTTTTCCCATTGGGGGGCTGTATTATTGTAGACGCTATTTAGAACCAAGAAAAAGGCTATAAAAAGTCATTTTTAGTATCATCCATTTTAGCAGAAATGACCCTTAAAGTGATATTTATAAAGCATACCTTGTACAGGTCATGTACGTTTTCTGTAACAGCATAGATTGAATGAATTTTGTTGTCTTGAAAAACTTTTTTGAGCTGACCGAGGGAGGGATAATCCATAAATTTGCTTTTCGAGTATACTAGCGCATTCTTGAACTGAGAATCTTCACTCTGAAAATAAAACTCGTCGATCTCATAAAATTGAACTTATCGCTACCATAGTAGATTCCTAATATAAAACATACCGTGTCTGGCTCTAAATGACATTTCATGTCGTTCGCTTCTAAGATAGCTGCAAGCTTTCCATCCATAGCGAGATGTGGTGAAGCGTCGGTTGTCAGTAAAATAACATGGGTTGCTCCTTCCCTCCAGTATATATGCTGTGGAATATTGATAATATGAAATAGGGATAAAGAGTAAAAATACACTTGGAAGGAAGCTCCAGAAGTGTATGTGCCAATATTGAGGTAACTATTTTTGTTCACCTACTTTACATCAAGTTGAAGGGACTGGAACCCATGGACAGGGGGTATATTCACTTGACTAACACAGACAGTCCCCGAACTCGTAATATGATTATGACCCAACCCTACCTGGTACATATACTACGGGAGTACCATTGGAGATTTGAAGAGGGCAGACAGACTCTACGAGATTTGCTGTAAGCCAGCGCAGGTGTATTTACTATGAATGTAAGGAAACTGATTCCTAGGCAGAGTTGTTGACGACCATCGAAGTGTCAATATCAGTGAGATTAAAAGAGTTATAATGCAGTTCGCGTAATCGTTTTTTAATATGAATATAGCTTAATCGGATAATGACTCCTATCATCACCTCTGTGCATACAGCTATCTGCATCAGTGCATCCAGAGATCCCTCAGGTATATCAATGTTTCCGGATATCCTTGTTAATTTGATTGCGTTCACAAATTCGGCCGCGTTTCCTGTTATATTGACGACATGGCGGAATCCAAAAGGCGGGGCACAGGTCGTCGCATTTTCCTGATTTGCGCATGGATTCTTAAGTCTGAAAGGTGAAATGAATATTTCAAAATGAAAATACTGCGCTGTTTCTAATACAAGACCAATGCTCAATTATGTGAACACGAAAGTCAAATGTTAAAAAAGTTTCTAAGAATATAAATAATATCGTAAAATTTTGGGTGCCTTTGCTATAATAGGAATTCAACAAATTGGCCAAAAAAATTATTCTGCGGGCCGATCAAATATCGCTTTCATAGAACATTTGGCCAGGTCCAAAATAACTAATAAAATAAAAATCTTAGGGAAGCCTATCATCATAGAAAACTTGTGTAATCCAGTTTTTATTATCAAATTCCTCGGGAATTCGGTGCTGGCGTCGGAGTCAAAATTCCCATCAACCTGGTCGCAAGCTGGAGCTAGGATCAAAAATTTTTACAAGTCAGAGTCGGAGAAGAAGACAAATTTTTTTTGACCCGGAGTGAATGTTGGAGTCAATTGTAAACTTCGTCGACCCCACAGTCATTGCCTAACTGAGCAAAGCCTCTACTGGAAATGTGCGTAAATTCGGTTTTGACCGAATTTCAATTATATAACCCGATTGTATTTGTTTACTATTTGAAATGAGTGATTGAAACTTTTAAAAATGAAAAATTTTACTGGTTAGAAGTTTCACAACCATTGGTATTTCGAAAAAGGTTGGGAACTATTGATGTTGACCCGTTGTTTAAAATTGTAAAAAGTAAAAAGGCTATATACAGGATATAGCAGAAATTGAATAGCAATGTGAAGTCATTTCTACTGAAGGAAGTATTCATTATTCAATGCGTAATACATGAACCTTCGTTTATTACCTCACAATGGTCTTTTGTAATGTAATTTTAACGCGGAAACGAACGCCGTGTCGTTGCCATATCATGTAAATATGGATAAAAAAATATATGGAATTGAAATCGAAATTAGACTATTTTTTAATACTTTACTTAACTAGGAGTGTATAATATAAACATCATTTCAAAAATTTATGGAACTTTAGAATAAATTTACGAGAAAATATAAACGACAGTAATGGCCCACGTGGTCTACTGTCAACAAGCGACTGAATTAAGCCTAATGCATATTTGTAGTATGTATGTTTCGTCTGATTCTTATGAGAGCTCTTATGTTTTTTTAAATGCACGGGGTCATACCGGTTCTGTAAACTAAACCAATTTACGACTTGGTAAAGATTGCGAACGTGAATTTTGAGCGATTGCATTGAGAGCGTGATTAATGGGAAAACGTTTTCGGAAAAATAATAACAAATGTACAACGCAAAAGCATAAATTATGTTGATAACTTTATTGTAAACACAATTTATCCAAGAGCAAACAGGAAGGTTAAACTAGATAGCGATCGGAGACCGCTGACTTATCAATTTGCGGTTTCGATTCATTCGCTCTGACTCAGTAGCGACACCCAATGCCCCAATAGGCTTCTGGTCCGAGATATGATGGATGCACATGCAAAATTTGGAGCAGATTCAACCTCGCTTTCGTAAGATATCGCGTAACATACAAAAGTGGAACAAACAGACAAATAAATACCTATCAACATACTTACCGATCGAGATCGATAAGAAATAACTAATTTGGTCACTTCCATGTCAGCAAAATTCGCCCCAAACGTTAAAAAAATTGTACCGAATGGGATATGAAAGTGTGCTGAATATCATATGAAAGTGCCAGTGAATTATAAAGTAAAATTCAAAGTGAAATCAGGCATATGGCACGCAGAGAGAATTAAAAAAAATAAAAATAAAAATACAGCCTTCTAGGGACTCATAATTTGAAATTGTCTGTTCCAAGAACAGCGGATAAATGAAATTTTTGCAACCCGGCAATGAATATTCAGCAAAAGGATCCATAGGTGAACTTCTCTTCGATAAGAATTTATAGATGTAACAAATTTAATGGAAGCTTGCCACAGGGATTGACTTTCCTGCACTTCAATGGCATTACTCGTTTATTTAGGTCTCGGAAACGCTCATGTGAGTTGAAATGCGTGACATCAATCTGCATTGCATATGCATCGCACAACTTCCGTGTTCCGGGAAAATCTCAGGGAACAATATGAAGATGTAACATATTCAATGGGGGCTGGTCGCATCAATTCACCATTTTTCTAAACTTGAATGACTTTACACGTTTATTTAGATTACGGAAACGCTCATTGTGTGTTGCACAGAATCGTCCATGGGAATGGTTTCGTTCAGAATACCGTATGATTTTCGGGGAATTGATGGTGAAAAATTTCGTTATTGTTTCGTGTCCATATATTTGAGCATAGCACTTTTGTAAGTTATATAAAAGTTCTGAATTTAAAGTTAACTGAAGTCAATAAGTTTTGTCGTTTTGCATGTTTCTTTGTACATGTAGTCCTTTTTAGTAGACGTCAAATCTGAATTCAACAATTTTTATTGAATTATATTCTAATGGGCTGGGATATAAGCATAAATGGCCATGGGATGGGATGGGACAGAAAAATGTATCCCATGGACAAGCCTGGTGTAGCATGACATCAATCTGCATTACATACGCATCACACAACTTCCGTGTTTTGGGAAAAACTTCGGGAACAATATGCTGGTAATGCATTGTACGGATGGCTATGAATAAGCATAACGCAAGTTAGTATTCAAGCGACAAAATTTGTCGAGTGGATCACTACATGCCAATAAGTGTGAGTTTCAGAGTAATTTTTGATTTTCCAATAAAATTTTCTCAAAGCAAGATCACGATGAGAGACACACTAATTAATATATTACTTCGAAACTATAAAGAATTATATTGTTTTATAGCGATTGTGGCGAGACTTGAAGCAGTTAACGTCAACACGATTAAAAAAACGGGGACAAGGGAGTGAATTTCAAGATTACAATTTCAAGTTTTGGGAAAATGAAACGACAATAATGCGGATTTCAAACTAACACACCATACAAATCATCCCTGACAAAATAGCTGTTAAGTTTACTATATAGTGCCCGATGCTTGGAATTAAAATCAAAACATAAAGATAGGAAAGGAATATAATGGAAGAGAAAATGGCTTAAACATATGACGATCGGTCAATAATTCAAGATTGGTTGACAATAGATAACGAGTTGCATGCAAGTGGCCCGCAGAAGCAGTTTTCAAAAAGCGGTTATATGAGAATTCATCATACAGCAGCGAGAATTCCACTGAAAAATATTTACTATCTACGGAATGGTTCCCAAACTGTGCGTTACGATGCACGGCGTATATGATAAGTTCGAATTGCGTCCTGAAATATAAACTCAATTACAAAACAAGAGAGCGATGCTCAAATATACGGACACGAAATTCGAAACGAAGTAGTATGGGTATGCAATATGTTACAGTAGACTACCGTGCCGCAGTCTTCACAACGCAATTTTTATTTTCAATGACGTCATCGCACAAAAAACGAATCTCATAAAAAATTACTTTCATTTAAATCAAAAATCACTGTGGCCTCTGTGGAATTCATTTTCTCACTTGAAGTTTTGCGTTATGACGTGGCGATGTGGGGATCACCAAATAGGGGGGTTTGATAAGGAAAACTAACGACAGTATAAAGCGAATGCGTCAGTTCGACGAATCAGGAAACTTCTGCTCTACGGAATTTGATTCTTTGAACCAAGAAAGTGAAAAATAACGATAAGCAAACTTTAAATTATTAAAACAATTCAATCACAATGCTTACTGTTCTTCTACTGTGCTTGTGTAAGGCATCATCACTTTATCAACAAATGATCCAAATCCTAGACGAGTATTGTTAGTGACATTTGCTTTAATATCGTCGAATAAACTTGTTCCCAACGTTTGCAAAACTTCCAAATCGTCCTTCATGGAATTTGACAGATCCATGACGTAATAAATGTCGAGTGGGTAATCTATGACCTTGCGGAATGTCACATTCAACTTTACGGATTGTCCTGCGTGAATAGAGAAAAATGTAAATACTACAGTTTGTTTGATTTCACTATAATTTATTTTTTCGTGAGATATTTATTCAACATTATCCGTTTATAGAGTAAATCAGAAATGCTGGCAAATAAAGTCAATTCAGCATTGAAATCTACTTTTGGGGTTCATATTCTATGTATAAAGTTTATTATCGGAGTAATCTCACGAAAACATAAGTTCTTTACGTATGACTATAAACGTCTTTGATTCAATTGCGTACCCATTGGAACAATAGTTTCAGGTTGTGTGTCATTTATCGAGAAATGACTCAACTGGGCGCTCATCAAAGAATACGATGAATACACATATAAAATTGATTCGGATTAAGAATTAAGCGGCCTAAATAAATAGGACAAGAGTTTCAGTTTCCCTATACGATTAAGATATCTTATTGGCTCTCTAACATATTCTTCCCATACAAACCTTTTCTCAATTTGACTGTTATATTTTGTGGCATCATTTGAACCACAGTTTTACCGACATTTGTTTCATTGTCAAAATAATCTGGTCCAACCACAGTGAAAGGAACATTTTGGACGATTTCAATATGACTCATGGGATTTGTAATCGAATCGCTGACATTGGCAGATGTTGAATTGCAAGTATCGCCGATTTGACTGAAAAAGAAGTACGAACGTCATTGTTTCAAGTTTTCCATTTAATACATGCAGTTACGAGCCCTATATAATTTTTAAATATATTTTGACCGCAATTACTCTTTTCATAGTGTCGCCCTTGGAAGGGCTTTGAAATACCCTTCCGAGTGTCGCCTCCGAGAAATCCAAGGTAAATTAGACCATCATCCAATATTTAAAAAAACACCAGACGATCTCAAACAAATAGGGTGACGCGTTATCCGAATTGCGTTAAATATATTTCTCATGAAAATATCCATTATCTGCAAGATATCTTTACAGCCATATTACATTCACCAATATACATTCTCTTCAATAATGCAAAACAAAACATCCATTACCTCACTGTTTTACATCTTTGCATAAAGTTATTTTCCTCTGCACCTCCAACTACTTGTCCACACCAGGCACACGATGGATGAGCGTTGATACAGGTTTTACAGTTTTGATTATTCTTCGCGCATATGCTTTCAGCTGGGAGAAGAGAAAAAAAAAAGTAAATTTTGTAGATAACAAGGAACCAAGGGCTTACCCGTATTCATTTAACAAAGCTTGGTTACTTCCAAGAACCAATCCAGTTCTAATATACGTGTTCAACTTAGTCAATGAGAGATCAAATTTATCCAGGGAGATTTGGACATTTTGACACGCTGATTGTGTGATCAAAACATACTGTATTATTGATATACTCTGTAACGAATTTACTATGCGTTTAGATCAGTCCTGACTTTTCGCTTCTGTTTTTTCCATAGTTAATTCAAATATATTTAATATTTTTACATGGATATGAAAAAAGAAAGAATTAATTGCGGATTCATTATTTATCAAAACTAGATGTAAAATTGCAATGACATTTTCTGTGTGAAACCTTGAATTAAAGAGTGAAAACGAACAGAAGTTACACTTGCAAATTTTAATTTTTTACCCTCGTTCCAAATGTTTTGGTTTCCAACGCAGGCAAGGCTAGCGTGACAATTGCATTTTCGTATTAAATACGACTCAATACTTGAACAAATGACCATTCTAAATACTCTCAATTGTTGCAATATTGTCCCAATTTAACTTATCTACAAATGTCAAAACTCCAACACAAAAGTTCGATACTTCAAAAAAAGTGAGTAAAATTGATGAAATTGCGGATACACTATTCGAATATAATTGATGATTTTATGCGACAATTAAACTCGCATGAAACAGTAACAATCATAGAATTTCAAGGTTATTTTGGGATAAATTTCCCACCTGATTCCTGAGCTTTGGCAAGTGACGTCATCACGATAACCGCCACAATCAGTAGACCGTGAAAAGGGGTTTCCGACTTCCTCATTGTTAGGTCAGCGCCGTTTAAAAGTACAAAGTAAGCGTCTTTACTATTTCCTTCCTTATTATAGTGAACAAATTGTAGCTTAGAATTAAATTCTGTTTTGAATACAAAAATGTATATGATAATTGAACATGGCAATCTAACAATGAAACACCAAGCGTTATGCATGTCGACAAATTCTATCTGCTGATACTCTTTAACAGAGCTGTACCATCCTCTGAGATATCTCGTTTTATCGGTGGCTCGCGTTGTGGTGCTACGTTTATTTGACTTTTAACTAACATTTCCGTGGGGGTGACTACCAAATAAAAATATTCATTGATATTATAACGTGAGGTCTACCACACTGTAGCGTGAGATGTAGTAGTCTACCTCAAGCTAGTGATAAATCGCGAGGATTACCGCTGATCATTCCAGATGGATATCTATTACTTGTAATCCAATCTCTAATCTTAACCTGGATAGGTGACATATCGCGGTGGACTTCACGCTGTATTCCAATTCACGAAAGGAAGAATACATTCGATGACCTAAAAGTTTGAAGGACATTGCGAGCATCAAGCATTGCGCTAAGATTAAAAATTAACATTCTCAAATCTCGCCTTTCTTTGAGTATACATAAATGTCTATATCTGGAAATTCAGCAACATTGAAATTTTATCCACCAAGCATAAAATCCTAACCCGACAGTTTATGCCTAAAGAGGCGCTCATGTGGATACAAATATACATATGTTTTTGCTGTTATCGCAGCGTTGAATCTTTCGCCGTTTTACCCAATGTTTTTATTACTGTAATGCTAAGCGATAGCCACATGCTCTTGTCAGCTGACTGATAAACATTTAGCCAGTCAAGGTTGCTACAACTTCTGAAGAGAATGAAGTTGGCTATATGATGCGCCGACAAAAAATGTTGCACACGCCTGGTCTACACTATCTCGTCAGTTAGCTATAATATAGGCTAGAAATATCTTACATCATAATTAATATATACTACGAATGGTTACTTCCCAACATATGACTAATTATTACGTCAAAATTGCATCAAGGCTGGTATACTGCCAAGATCAATTCTCCTATTCCATATATATATGACACAGGAAACATTCTCATGTGAAAATGGGAGAACTGCAACTACAATCTGTAAGAAACACCGGTACTTTTTTTCAGAGACAAACAATAATGGACGCGGCATATTTTTAGCCCTTCGTATTTAGATTAACTGCCTTAACGATAATCAAGAACAGAAAGGTAATAATATTAAACGAAGAAATTTGTATCCGTTTGAATGAAAATATAAATATTATTATTTCGATCCATATATCCGGAAATAGGTGTGACATAATGAGGCCATATCTGGTTCTGATTTGATAATACGTCTTGCCGAAATAATTCGAACAAATACATCGAATATTCTATAATTAAAAGCTGAATATTTACAAGTAGCGATCTTTTGAAATTATCACTCAAACCCACGAAAAGTATACGCTAATATTTACTATATGAGTATATGGGATCATGAATTTGTAGGCTAAAGTTGCCAGCAGTTTACATATTGCTAACAACTTGTTATCGGATAAGCCTATGACAGTAATAACTAATAACACTCACTGTTTAATCTCATTTTATTACTTTGAATGCTTTTCCTAAAAAATTTAATTTTACGCCCAATCTCTTGCCTATATACAGGGTTACCATATCGTGATTATTTCTAAGATTTGTGGTCATTTCCTAGTCCGCGTCTTATAAAACAACAATGTGCTTATTTCTAAGAAAAGTGCTTATTTTTTATTTGCGTACTCATTTCGTCTTAGAAACATGGATGACTCGTTCATGTTTCGCTTATAAAGCTTCCGTGGAAACAAGGGACGATGTTTATGAATATATACGAGTACAGTACTCGAGCTTCGCTGTTATTATTGTGACGTATTATTGTGATCTTAACTACGTTCCACCGTAACCTCGCGTCTCGGACTTGCTCAGCTCACTCTTAGCACGCACTGTTTTGGTTAACGGTGGGGTTTGCGGTATTTCCAGGCAAACTGTGACACATTTACAATAGTTACTGTTAGTTTTTAGGGACAAACCATATTTAGACCAGGGGTCGGCAAACTGCGGCCCGCGACGCTTCACTGAATTATATTAACAAAACATCTGTATTGACCATTAAATTCTTTACGTGACAGAATTTGTTTTGAGACACTAAATTATATTATAACCTAACAAGTATATAATTCACAATCACTCGTTTAATGAGCCTATAACTGCCTATAATCAGAAAAATTGCAACAGAACGTAAAGAAGTTGATGCTGGGTGCAAATGGTTTAATGACGATGAAAATATTCAAATGATCAGTCTTTGCGCACTGCTTGAAATTTAACTGAAAGCTATGTGAAAAATTGTGATTCATTGGCCGTTCATTCGGTTTTTAACTCTCTAAAAATATGTGCGGCCAATGACTTGCAACCTTTATTTTTGTCACGCGAACGACAAAAGTTTGCCGACCCCTGATTTAGACAATGAGTGAGCACGAGTTCACTGCTCATAGCTGCGACAGCGATATCAACCTGGGGGCCATGGGGGAAACAGCAATTAGTGCCAATAATACTACCACAGAAACAAGAATTTTGCAATAAGCTTTGCGAAAAATCAAATTATGGAGACTTCAGATCAGTGTGACCCCCTCCTGGAGGTGTTTAGCACTCATGTTTTTCACCCCAGTGGTATTTAGAGAGTTACTTTAATTGTCAGATTCCTAATCCTATTTTAATCAAACAAATTCATGCCGTGAAATAACGTTATCAAGCAATGAAGTACCTTGCGGGGCCAAAGACCCCTGGTTGGGAACGACTGCTTTAAATGATGCGCGTGGTTGCGATTTCGTGCCTCTCCATGGCTTTTTTTGCGATTCCCGGGCTGCATACAACCTTGTTCGAAGCGACTTCTAATGAAAAAAAAAATGGGGAGTGGATATAAAAAATTGGGAGTGCGGAAGAGACTTGTGTATGATTTTTTTCTCATTTTTATTCTGCGTTTCTGTCGTTGGTAAGTCAAAAATAATATCCCCCCAAAATAACATTTTGACACCCGTGCTTATTTTTGGCGCTAGGTAGATGGTAACCCTGCAGTTATATACCTTACATCATTGTCGGTACATCTTGAATTTGGAAAATCACCATTATCATACGCGAACTATCAAGCACGAATTCTGGCAACCATAAAAAAGGTAGTTCTGCCTCTCCAACATGACACAGAAATCACACGCGCTGACAGGATCGACGAAACCTCAATATTTTATCGACATTCAAATGGCTAATGAGTAAGTAGATGCGAAACTATAAATATGCTCTTCTGTCACTGACGTAGTAGTTCGAGATATCGTATTTTCAGTAACTTGCTTACGCTAACCTATACCACAAGCCTTACTAAAAGATACTTACTGAACGAAATAGAGATGCAATAACAATAATTAAAGGCAGTAATCCTATATATTAGTATATCTTGCTTAGATAACCTGTACTCGTTATGTCACAATGCCTTATGACATCGAGGTGATATAAATTCATCTTACTCAAAATCTCAATCCAAAGATGCTTCGTATATGAACGGTTGTGGTATGCAATAGTAAGTCCGATACAACTATGAGAAAATCGAGACAGATTACCTTGTGACGCTTGCGCGCACTGATGACACCAGTTTGGAGTTAGTCATTCTTCCTGCTTGTTTCATTTTTTAACTGTATACAATACGCTTCTGTTTTCTCTGTGCGTTAGCAGGTGCAGCAGCTACGTAAACGGTATAAATGACTCATGCTATATTAGAAATATTTCTTCCAATACAGGAGACGACGAACACCCTATATACCAGTACACTGTAACAACCTGATGAGACGTCATAGTCAAGTTTATTTTTTCCCATTCAGTAAAAAATAACATGCGAAATTAACAAAATACAAAACTGAAAACACATTTTTACTGGGAAAGGGAAGTCGCGGGGAACCAGGAATGATTATCGAGAAGATTATCTTAATTTGTAAGGAAATTACGTTTTTAGAACACTTTTAATATGAATGAGCATGGCTTTGGCAGCTGAACCACATATATATAACATCCAAAAGGCGTGAAAGTTATATGAGACGACGACATATATAGACCAGTATTTATGGTAGAGAAACAACATATATAGCCGTTACGACCTAAATCGGTTCAGAATGAATAACAGGGTTTGTTTGCACCATGTGAACGACTCCGCTGACTGACCTCCATTCAGGTTGCCAGGCGCTCGGCTTATCCATCTTCGACCATGATAATCATCGTAATTAGATTAATTTCTTCGACACAGGAACGTTGCACGAATTCTTAAGAAGATGTTAGATTTCGTGCAACAGAACGGGGTTGTTGTGGTCGTTGCTGGTATCCAGGGGGTTGAATAAAATTTGCATATTTATCCCAGGGGTATGGAAGACGATAAGATGACGAAACACGGCCTCGCGTCCGATAAATAATCCATGTCGTGTATGGAATTGGTTCGCGAATTGTTAAACGTGTCACAGCCGTGTCTTAAGCCCACAAGTTCTTGCACATCCATCTCTTTTATCGGACGGGAAGTGGCCTATGAATTGTACCACTGGTTGTGAAAAACTAAACCGCTTTTTTTCGCGACCGATGGTCAAGTAGTTTTACAGTACTTGAAGGAAAAAGTCACTAGGGAGCTATTCATTCTATTTTTTAAATTTCCTCAGAGTCCCTTGGGCCGTGGATATTTTGGTCAAAACTTTCGCGGTTTTATAATAAAGGGGGAGCTTGTCAACGATTTTCCAACAAACTCGGTTCTCTGAGGCCGGTACCGATACACGACCACTGTATTTTGGATCGCAATTATGAAACACCAAGATTTGAATTTAACATTTCGGACTACAATGAAATTTATCACCAATGTTTCCATAATTTACCAAATTCCTAATTCTTTTTCCAAACCGCAGACAAGGTGTGATGAGTTTTCCTCAAATTTGTAAATGAATGTTTGAATAACCAGAGGTCTGATGAGACTAATCCCAACTCGGCCATAATATGTTCTTCAAAACACTAAGATTTTCGCTTGAATACCCACAGATGAATAATGTCAATTAATGTATTTCGGAATAAGAATTTATTTTCTGAATACTACAAATACTCGTTCTCGCTAGCTTTTCATAACTGAAGTATTGTATTGGCTTTTTAATATGAGAGATTCTGCTTATCAAGCGGTGAATGTAGACAGGACTGAAGCTGTTTGGAAGCTTAGAAATATTTCAATGTCTCCTGATAGTACTGCGAGGACTGCTGATCCACAAGGAAACAATAATTCTACTGTAGCAGTACAGCAAGATGGTGTCTCAAAAATGTAGTGTCTCACTCATCCCTTCTTAACATATTTGTCAGACTGTTCTGAGTTTGGATTGATATATAATGTGGGAGTGACAAGTGATTATAATAAGCAGGATTCATGCTATGTTCTGGGCCGGGATAGATAAACATAGAGTATTTAAAAGCGATTGAAGAGAGACATAACCAGGGGTTCGTAAAAATTCTGAGAAGTCATGATGGTGTAAACAAAATACAAAAGAAATGAAAGAAAGTCAATGCCAATTTTTGTGATTCGGATATCAAACTTCCATATATGAATCAACAATCAAAATTACATATCAATTACAATTGCATAAAAATACCAAATATAATTCATAAAGCAATAAGACAAAATCAAAGAGTGTGCATACATTGGAACACTTCAAAATGTATAGATTTGAAAAACATCAGCAAAAAATTACCTAATAAGCTTCTGTTAAATAAAAAAAAGGCAAACAAAAGACACTAAATCAAAAATTTTACAAATTACAGCACTTCTAGAAAAAATAACATAATGAATTTCTAATAAATCAGTGATATTTTTGTTATCCCAGTTTTGATCAAATTTTCTGGGTACAGTAAGACAAAGATTTGTGCTCATAAGTGACACTTCCCAATAGACTTGCATATAACAGAAATTAACTTCTTTTTCTGTTTTTGTACACGGGCATAAAATATATTTTGGTGACATCTTTGCACAAAAAAATAAGCCAAAAAATGACACAGTAATGGTGTAATTGTTATGAAATCCTTTCAAACATGTACCAATAACAATCATTTTCAAAATCAAGTATTTGAGAATATCTCTTTGTGAGGCCATATTCAGTAGCATAAACAAATAATTATAATAGATTGCATAAAAGCAGTTGTTCTGGATGAAGAACAATTGAATCTACATTGAAACAACACGATCTTACACACACAGAAGCATTATATCACTTATATGTTGCCCTTGACAAATCTATTTAACAATAGAATGCTTGGTGAATGATATTTTTTTATGGAATTTTCTCCATGCAATTGCTCGGACGCAAAAATAAAGAAGATTATCTATGAGCAAGTCATGGTTGACCACTGGAAAATAAATCGGGAATAATAAATTGAAATTGAGTGTATTTTGAAGAATAAGGTAAACTGTGCACCATTTGCAACAAAGTCACAATTTATATCAATTGTCTCATAGTGAATTTGGCACATATATTAAGTTAGATGTATATCATTGAATTGAATTACATTAAATCAAATTAGTAATAGGTAGTTTCCTGGGAAGATATTCATTCAGCCTTTTTCTTCTTATACATTTTGCGACGCTTCGATGAAATCATGAATAAATCTTTCATGAGATTTCGCCCCAATATGTCGGATGCCGTCATTACACCACCTATGGCTGAAGCAACAATTCCACATGTAATCACATCTTGACCTGAATGAAAAGGATAATTAGAATAATGTCTTGCAACCTATAATATAGGGGATGTTCAATCTCAGAAACCAACAATAGCAATATCCTTAATAGATGTTTCGTTAATGATAGTCTTCCTTGTTTTTATCGGTAACAGTGAGAAATCCTAAATGAATATGGTTAAGTACCAACTAAAATTTTGGCATTCGCTCAGACACTTAGTTTTCAGTCAGTGCCATCAATATTGGTATGAATTGACTAATGGCTTATTAATACTTTTGTCTCTTGTTAGTGTGTTAGTTTTATAAAAGAAACGTCCCAACTCCCAAATAAGCCGGGATAGACCAGGCAGAAATTAACTATCAGTACTTTTAAGGGCTGGTAGATGAATATTTTGAATCCAAATGATGGCCATGAACATATAAACCAGTTTGTACTTTGCAGGCACCAACTGGTGTAAATGATCCCAAAATAATCATAAATAATTTCGCAAGGGTATAACATGGGAAGGATTTTCCTGAATTTAAAGGTAGAGGAAACACCCATTGTTCACTATTTCAATTGCAGTACAAAAGAAAATGACAATGAATAGTTCGGTATTCGTAAACAAAAAATTATAGCCTAATTATAGACATTTAAAGACAGTTGAAGTACACAATAGCAAACAAATAACAGTACCAGTGAGGTATAATCCAGGGATGACAGTTTTGGGTCTCATGTCCATTGCAACATCGTATGAGAATCTTTCCATTGAATGATCAACTCCATATATCTCTCCTTTCGGTGATGAAATGTAATGACGATGGGTGATTGGTGTCCCAGTGTCAATGTATTCAACCTAAATAAAAGAATAGGATAATTCATATAATGAGATATATACAAGCATATAGTAATTACGATTTATGAACTCAACAAAACCTCTTAGCTAGAAATTTAATGTTGATAAAATATTAATTTATACAGTCTTGCAGCATTCGTAAATAAGTATTCTCAGTAAGTAAGTAACATTGTCGGCATGTAGACAAGAGTGGTTTGGCGATCAACAGCTCGCCCACTAATTTTAAAATCAACAAAATATTTTGCAACCATTGGTGCACCCACTCGGATATACACGGACTACTGGTTTCATCTTTCACTCCTAGTACGAGACTTAAAAAAGTTTATAACTGAGAACAGAGATTCACAAGCATACGTAGATGAAAACATGGAGAGTAATGCAATTGCAAAGTTTTTAAGACACGAAAAATTTTTGGCAATGGCATCCCAACCACGCATGAAATAGTTTGTTTTCTGCACTTCTCTCTTGTATTCCCTCCCTGAAGCGCTTATATTTCTTTTGAAATCAATTTAGGTAAGTTAGTGGGTAACTATAACCAACATGATCTGTACAACTTCATAAATCAAGCAAAATTGACAAAAAAGGGTGGCAAAGACGAAACATTACGTAAGAATGTAGCCAAATGAATGCTGCGCTCTTCTCGACAGAACTTCGCGCGAGCTCACTCATTCGTTACATCATAATATATTTCTTTGTAGCCATTTGTCATTAAGGACAAAAAGAGTCTAATAAATACCGTATTGTTAACAAGCGATAATGAATAAACGAGCACCTATTTTCATCAGATAATTCATAGTCTTGAAACTTTTATCTGAAGAATGATCTCGTTTCCAAGGCCTTGCTCGTGTGCCGAATGAATGGGCTCGCCAAGTTTGGCAGGCGTTCCAGGGGTTGCCCACCCCTGATCTATCGGGAAACTTTATGCGCAGATAAAGTGTTAAAATATTTTTATTCCTGTACCTTTCCTTCTAACTGTGGGAATAGTTGGGTGACTTGACTCCATATTCTATCCTGGAATGCTTGTTTTAAATTCTGATAAACAATCCCTCGCTTCATCACTCGGTCTTCTTTCCATTGTTTGAACCATTCCCAACTTGCAAATGTCACAATCACACAGACAGACTTGTCTGTAGAGTAAATAATGTGAATTCACAGTAAGTATTCTTACAAAATAATTTATTTTTTAAAATACAATCGTCATATTTTCTGAAGCAAATCATAGTGCTGATACTTACATCCCTACTTATGAATGAGTGTGCATGCCCTGGTTTGAGCAAATTCACTCAAAAAAACTACCCGAATGATTTTCATGAACACATTCACATACACATTCCAAACTTCTCATCTTAATCCGCTAGCTACTTGCGCATTCTATTCGACAATAAAATAAAAAAGTTACCTGGGTGTCTGTCTTGCCAAGTAGAATCTTTAGTCGATGGGAAAGAAACAAATAAGATAGGGACATCAACATTAGCTGCATCTTCTTTGGATAAACTGAGGTATTCCATTACAGACCTTGAAAAATAGTTGACATTGTGACTTGTTTTGGTAGGTTTAGTGACAAAATCCAAGTGAACGCAGGTGACAACAGAAATTAGATTTAATATAATAATTTTCTATTGATTTTGGAGTCAAATTTCAAAAGTTTTGAGATTGGAGTTGCTTGTGAATTTCCCCCAATTCCACAACCCTGTTCATAACCGTATATTCGATATATTATATAATACTCACTTCTCTGGTGTTGTAGTTGTAAACGTCCAATAGTTTCTTTTCTTCAATCCTAATTCTTCAGCTGTTCCCTTCAAACCTACAAGTACTTGCAAACAACTGAATCCATGGCCGACTTTATTTTGAATCGACTTTAAACCTGAAAAAGAAATCCAAAAATTAATATCTTTGAGCCATGAATCATATAGATAGATTATTAAAGAAAGAGATAGAAAAGAAATATGAATCTATTCAAGCACCTGAGACAGGATTGCCTAGTTATAGGAACAGTGATTCTTAAACTTTATCAGTTTGGGACCAAAAAAAAGAATTTCAAAACAAATCGTGCTGTATAATCGGCGAACTCTTACAATATGCGAATGGCGACTGATGGCTTTGAAAGATTGTATAGATTCCATGATAAACTACTAAACACACTTCCTCTCCTCTTATCTAGATAAGGCTGTGAAACGCTTACTGCACACAATTGAGAACCAGTGGACTTAGGTTAGCATTGAGATTAAAGATCACCCTTTTTTTATATTCCTAGTGGTCAAATTCACTTCTCAGTGATATAGGCCGAGCAAGAGTATAATAACATGTAATATACAAACCTAATTTTTGGCACATTTCACGAGGTATGAGTCTGTTGTATGTATTATAAGCACCAGCATTCGACACAATAATAGGAGCAAATATTTCGTGCTCTTGATCATTCTTCTTCACACAAACACCTGAAACATTTATTTATATTTACAATTTATTAATATTTACAATTTTATTTACAATTTATTAATATTTATGGAAGGAGTATTATCATAATGGTGAACAGTTCTGTATGAATACTGTACTGAATACTTGTATATTAACTCACTACCTCTCAAAATTGCCATGTTTTCTGGTGAGTGCCTTTTTGGAATGACCGATTGGAATGTATGCAATGTTTTATCACTTTCAGATGTCAGATAAAGCCCACTCTCATAATAGTTGTGTGATAAATGAAAGTATCTTTGAATCAAAATCTCAACAGAGCCCCAATGGTCACCAGGAATCAACATACTTTCCATCATTATAGTCGGGAGTCTCAAGTAGTATTTTCGATGAATCAGAGTTTGTGTAAAATTTTCCCTTCACCATAGTCCCAGCCATTTTTGTATTTATACACCTACATACTTATCAATGACTGATTTGTCTATGTAACACAATTGCACAAAACTAAAACCAACACTGGTTACATTGCTTCTAAAAAAGTTGTTTAAAATTTGATAAAAGAAAAGATTAATAAATTACCAATAGCTCTGTCATCTTTGAAGATCACTCTTGATACAGGAGCACGGACCAGAACAGCACCGCCGCTACGAAGAATAGCTGGAATCATAGTGTACGCAAGCTCACTGGCACCTCCTCGTGGATAATAGCTTGCATGGTAGAAATGATACATCAGCATAGCGTGCATAAAGAAAGGAGTCCTTGACGGCACAGTAGCTGAAAAGTAACAAATAACATATATTATTTCAGTACATTGGAGTTGTATACAATGAATCGCAGCTAATAGGCCGGCTTGATAATAACATGCTGAACCACACCCTGTCATCTGCTTATCAGTCCATGTCTAGTAAGAAATGAATTAACCGAGTTATTTGTTTTAAATGCATAGACTTGATGGCCGACGAAGTCGTAACTGACCAGCGATTACATGAACCACCACACGATCCAAGAGTTCAGCAATATTCTTGCACTGAATATGCCATACAGCAGGCCTGCACAACATACGGCCCGCGGGCCACATGCGGCCCGCTAGATACTTCTGTGCGGCCCGCGGGTCATTTGGAAACAAATCTTTGTTATTGTTATTTTTGTTACATTGTTATTTATGCAAGCGCGCCGCTACACCGATCATATTAGAAATCGTGAGATTTATGTTTTGCACTAGTTTCAATAAATATCGAACTTATTGTAAAATTGGTGTGCCCTTCGCGACCCTAAAATTCGTCGCTCGACCTCTCGCCCCCCAGTTTGGGAAACCCTGATCTAGATATCTCGGTATTCAAACTGAATCACGCTCAAAACAATATCGGTATACAATCTCCCACCCATTAGTGCATATTAGCAACCTATTAATAACCCCACTATTTTTTTACTAGCAGTTTATGAAACTGAAGTTTCTTTTTCAAATTTAAAACTTAAAAAACAATTTTTTCATTCATGAATGCTGCAGAAATTGTCGCACAAAATATATTGCTATTTACTGTAAAACTTCAAAAATTTGGAGCAGATTTTGTAGAAAAATGTAATTTAACAGTCGAAAAAGTACAACAGAGGAAGATCTATCGCTACTAAATGGATTGTTTATCCAGCCTGCAATGAAAATATCTAAAAATGTTAGATATGACTGAATACCTATATGTGGGACGATTTTACAAAACTGAACCTGAGTAAAATATTTTCCTGCAGTCAGTTTATATTGCAACACGAAATACCTCATTCTAATAAAAAAAAAATATTAAAAATGAAGGGTCGCTTTCAAGGTAGATGGACCACTAAATACTCAAGAAAATAAGATTCTTCATATTTTTTAGCTTTCCAGCAATGGAAGTTTTTCATCAAATTTAACTGTTTCACAATATTATTTTGATTTGAAGTTCATCTTGTGAAATATGTATGTGGCAAAGTTTGCGGCCCGCCGGGCCTTCAGATTTATGCTTGCGGCCCTCGTGGTAATTTGAGTTGTGCAGGCCTGCCCTACAGGATTCGACCCTGCAAACCTGTGCAGGATAATCAGAGGTTGGATGGCAAGCATGTTTCTCACACTTAGCACAATGTGCCAACTGCTAAAACTAAAAAAACAAGACTTTGAATACCTATTTTAATTTACAGTTTTCAAATAGCATTGAATCTGAATTTTTCCAAATGAAGACATCCAAATTGTGAATGTGAATAATCACTGAAAATTAATCCAACAAGTAAAATAGACTACTTAATCAAGCGATGCGATATCGAGCTCTGCTATTCCAAATTAAAATACATCGAGGTTAATTCAATATTACAATTTTCAAGAATATCATACGAACTTGATTGATGACAACAAGGCACCAATAAAAAAATATCAACCAAAAAAAAAGCAAATCATAGCAGAAGTAACAACTTACCATAATCACCAAAACAGTACGTGAATACAGTTTTTAATTCATTGTTGTCAGTCAATCTATCAACAACTTCTTTCACCGTAACTCGAGAATATTCATCAAATCTGTAAACATAACAACAGAGCATTGCTCATACGAGGTAAGGCTAAAAAGAAACGGGACTGACGTCACAGATTGCGCAACACGATTAACCATCGGTAATCAACACTTTTGCAGCGAGGGGGTAATATGTGTTCTTTGTTTAACAGCTGTTTTGACACAATATCACAATTATTTTTGCTTTTCAGGATCCATAAGTGAATGTGATAACTTTATTGTTGAAAAAAAATGCTGTGCGATGTCTGATTGAGTTTTTTGGCGATAGAGGGTTCAATTAAAAAATGACGACTGAGCAAAGAATTAACATTAAATTTTGTGTCAAACTTGGAAAACGGCGACTGAGACTTTGCAGATGTTGCGTGATGTTTATGGAGATTCTTCCATGTCCAGAACAAGAGTTTTTGAATGGCACAAGCGATTTGTGGAAGGCAGGGAGGATGTGGAGGATGATCCGAGGTCAGGGAGACCTTGCACTTCCACTACTGATACCAACATCGAAAAGGTTTGGCAGTTGGTTCGCAGTGACCGTCGCTTAACAATTCGCGTCATTGCCAACGAAATTGGGATGGACAAAGAAACGGTCCGCACCATTTTGGTTGACACTTTGGGAATGCGAAAGGTGTTTGCCAAAATGATGCCAAAGGCTCTTGAGTTGACTGAGGAGCAGAAAGCTCAACGATTGAATGCATGCCGAGTTGACATGCATTTTTCCAAGTTTGACACAAAATTTAATGTTAATTCTTTGCTCAATCGTCATTCTGCAATTGAACCCCCTATCGCCAAAAATCTCAATCAGACCTCGCACAGCATTTTTTTTCAACAAGAAATTTATCACATTCACTTATGGATCCTGAAAAGCAAAAATAATTGCGATATTGTGTCAAAACAGCTGTTAAACAAAGAACACATATTACGCCACACTGCAAAAGTGTTGATTACCGATGGTTAATCGTGTTGCGCAATCTGTGACTGTGACGTCAGTCCCGTTTCATTTTAGCCGCACCTCGTATATATGGACATGAAGGCATTGGAAAGGTCCTTAGTAAACTTGCATGTGTATCATATCAAAAAATGGTACTCCCGTTACCAGAGTATTTACAACAAGATGGCGGACACCGGAATGTGTATCAGGTTAGGGTTAGGCCATAATTTCAGGTACAATTACTACAGGAGTCACTTGGCTAGTCCCCGAACTCGTAATAGAACTAAAATAAGGAAAATTGGAATAAAATTATGGCCTGATCCTAACCTGGTAAACATACTATAATCAAGTGTCCACCATCTTGTTGCACATACCACGGGAGCGTCCAACACCCTGTATTATTAACTCACCCGAAACTCCAAAACTTGTACAGTTTGAGTGTGATGAGAAGCTTCAGAATCCACTTTGGGAACACTTTTAACATCATAAAGCCGAGAATAGATTTTGCACATTTCTGCATTCGAAAAGATTGAAAACAAAAATTTTGAGTTATATCGCAAGGCCACAGTAGTCATTTGACCTTCATGCTGAGAACCACTCTCATGTTTTTAAATATTATCACTTTGAATGTAATCGCTCAATTACATTTTTACTAGGCCTTGTCTGCAATTAGTCATATCCTTAGTTTTCTGAACGGTACATACCAGCTAATAACAACAAAATAAACAGCTCTTTTCTAATATTTAAACTATTTTATATTTTGTTTAAGTTTCAGTCTTGATCTGTGCGACTTTCCAGCGATAACACAAAATACTAGTCTTCATTAATCCTATATAACATATTTTGCACATTTCTGCATTCAAGAAAATTGGATAAGATATAAACATATAAGCATCGCTCTCTTGTTTTTAAATATTATAACTTTGAATGTAAGCACTCAATTACATTTTTACTAGTCTAACAATTTTTGGCTTCCAAGCAAAGTAACTAAAAATTGTTTTTAAATGACTTTGTATTGAAGTGATGATGATATAATACCTTCGTCAAATCCATGAATTCTCGAATAGCTTTCTCTTCTCCAGGAAAATGCTCGATCAATCTTTGTTCATAATCCCCTTTTCCACTACATAGATTGTAATATTTGAAAGTTCCATCTGTAAGAATTATGTTAGGTTTTAATAAAAGGACTTCCACTTCCAGATAGCATTAGCAGTGACTACATAATGCTACTGATATATAAGGAGGTATTGTATTTGGAAGTATTTACATTTTCCCAGTTCAACATTACGCACCCAATTGGTTGTGTCAAATGCTTCAACCCCAGGCCATTGCCCCACAAAATAAATGAAATCTGAAATGAATTACACATATGATATTCTGCAAAGTTATTTTACAATAAAATATGATTTAAATATAATATATCTGAATTCGGTATGTACAAACATTGTGCTATAGCCATTTACAATATTCATGCTTATTTCAAAGCAAAATTATAGAACATCAAAACATTTGGGTACAGACAACCAACCCTGATATCACTAACAAAGATGAGAAAACATATCAAGTTTCCATACCTGGCTGTTTGATAACGACAGAATCAAAATCTTTGTCCAAAGTTTCCCAAACCAATTGTCCGTCACTGAGAACATCAAACATTGAATGTCCAAGGGTGCCAGGATGTACTTGTCCAATGTAGTGGAGACCTATGTGAAATGGTCAAAATGAATTTTTGAATAACACTAGAAATTAATTAGCTGCAAAATCATTTATTCAAAAACACTTATCCAAAAATAAAATGCTTTCGGCAATGTGTCTGTTAATATCTATTTTCAAGAAGAATTTTTGCAATTAGTCATATACTTTGTTTTCTGAAAGATGCATACCAGCAAATGACAACGAAATATACCGCTCTTTTCTAATATTCGAATTTTGTCACAAGTTTCAGAAGGTCGAAGTCTACCAGTCTTAGACTGCAGGATTTCTCAGCAATAATACAAAACTTTTTAATTTTATATAACATTCAATATCAATAGGCACAGAAAAGTGCTCAAATGCCAAAATGAAAATAAAAATTATTTCTATCAAATGGGTTAGCAAAAGCAACAATAATATGGGTGATAAACATCCTATATTGAAATATTTACGCATAAATAACATAAATTCAGTCATTTTGTATTAAATTCACAAGTAGTGAAGAAATGACAAAAAAATGTTAAACACTCTACCAATGTCAAATTCAAATCCTTTTTCTTCATATGTGTGAGTACAACCACCTGCTCTATCATGTTGTTCCAACACAAGAACCTTCTTCCCTGCACGAGCGAGAGATGCCGCACAAGACAATCCACCTAATCCACTTCCTACAACAATGGCATCAAGATTTTTAGGAACTCTGTCAAGTTTGAATCCTGGAAATAAGAAGTGTGGTTAATGTATATAAAATTGACAGAGACACACAAAGAAAAACTCTTTTACTGGGCAGGCAGTGTACCTGCAATTTTGTCGACCATTTTGTTAAATCGTTGTTATTATTATTAAAAATATTGCTGCGGTTGAAAACCTGCTTTTTCTTCCCAACTAATGAAACAATGGATTTCAAAGTTTAATGGTACGCAAAATCAAGATGGTAAAAGGCCTCATATTTCACCAAAAATCTCGCCATTTTATTTAAATTCATGAGAATGTTTCCACATTAGGCTATTGTGACCATATATTTAGCAAAATGTTAACTTTTCATCTTAGTTTGGTTGGTGTATGAATCCCATTCTTTCGATCCAAGAAAGACAATAACAATTCTTAAAAATGGAATGCGAAAAGTATTCAATACCATTTTTAATAACTTGATCTCGTCTCTTCTGGTTGGTTTCTATTGGTTCTGGATCCCGAATATAATTTTCAGTAAATGGACTGCTCGATGATTTTCTGTTCCAATAAAAATAAACGACCAAAGCGGAAGAGATGAATCCAAGCAATGCAGCAATCATGATAGAGGGATCTGAAGAAATTAGAACCTTGTGGAACCATTAAAACCATTGTGATAATATCAGAAAAAGTAATAATATAACTTTCTAGCATCACCATCAATCATGTTGTTGTAATTGTATAATTGTCTTTTTATTTGAACCACATCAAATTTTCAGTAGGTCTACTGTACGGTACCAGTAGAGAGAGATAGAAAGATTTATTTTTTCAGCAACCAAAATAAAATAACAGTCAACGTAATAATAATAATAGGTAATAAACAAGTTTGATATAGACAGGAGGGAGTGATACGACCAGACGGTCATCAAAGTCAACTACCCTCCTTCAAGCTCTTATGTCTCAAGCTCTTATGTTTAAGATTCACAGTTTCAGATGACTAAATATTAGGGTTTAACATTCCAGAATTTAAAATTATATTCTCAAAATAAAATTGGGGAGGGGAATGGTACGGTATGGTACCTATTCCACCAAATGACAAATGTATTTGATAATTAAAATTTAACACTGAGTACAACGAACGTAACTTACCAGAAAAACTGGAAACTTCCATCGATTCAACCTTCATGATTCCAGGATTCAGGGATTGGAAAAGCAATGGATTTGTCTGCAAGCGTCTGTGTCGTGTGTCTGCTCTGCAGTCTGCGCGAAAATGTTTGAACAACACAGACCTTGCGCGACTCCAACAGTAATCCTCGAAGGCCGCTAGAGGTCGGAAATCGCAGATTCGCGCTGCAAGAGGTTTGGGTGTATTTTGCAGATACGTCTGCAGATTTAGCGCCCAATTATCGTTTTAATATGTTTGTAAGTGGATGTTAGGGACTTAGCAGCTGATAAACATCATTGGATTTTATACCTAACGAATGTCACCCAAACGACTAAGCGTACATATCTCGGACTGCCGTTTTTAGGGTTACCGGTATTTCTGTTCGGCAGCGAGGTGCAGTCGCACAGCTATACCGGTGCCGTAGGTACGTTATATCTTTGTATGTAAAGTTTTACAGTTGAGTTTCTTTTAGTATAGTTGTAAACATATACTATGTTGGTTGACTCCTTCCTTTTCTGAAACTAAAGTTATTTAGGTGGGAGTATGACATCGGATATACCGGTACTCAGCAGTCTGACAGTACAGTACTTGACCTCTTCAAAGCATAGACGTAAATATATACTAATACGTGTATAAATAATGTATTTTAATTATGGAAATGTAATGTTAAATATCTATATCAGTTTGAGGTACCTGTATTTAGTACCTTTTTTGAAACTAAAGTTATTTAGGTGGGAGTATGACATCGGATATACTCAGCAGTCTGACAGTACAGTACTTGACCTCTTCAAAGCATAGACGTAAATATATACTAATACGTGTATAAATAATGTATTTTAATTATGGAAATGTAATGTTAAATATCTATATCAGTTTGAGGTACCTGTATTTAGTAATTTTATTAACTTATTGTAACATTTCTTATCAGAAAAATTGCATTTGAATTTTGGAGCATACGGTAATGCACAGATTTGGTAATATTTGACTTTTTTTTATACATCCAAACATTTTACTCTAATGTTTATGTGGCCATATATTCTTATAATATGTATATACTGATATTTATTGATACTATAATTTAATTATTGTGCAGTGCAATCTGTGAATCTGGCAATGAACAAAATATTTAAATACTGAAGAAGGTACTGAGGTATGGGTTAATTAAGTAATCAAAAATTTCCTCTTTATTTTAAATCTTTAAATTATTTGAAATCCTCAAAAGTTTCATAATATTGCTTTTGCCACATCCGTGATGCCTACTACTTTTAATACTGTAATATATTACTATGATAAGACACCCTTAACCATCCATACTAACTATCTTTCAGAATAATTGCAGAATTGTTGATAAAGATATGAAAATAGAATGAATCTTGAAAATGAAGGAATTTTGTCAAATCCTGTAACAGAAGATGAAGATATATTAATGGAAGACGCATGCAATGAGAGACAATGTACTCCACAAGTAGGAGATCATACTTATCAAAATAATAAAAAACAATTTGTTGAAATGAAATATAAAAGGCATGGCTCAGAAACCTGTGTTGCTGAGTGGGATCATATATATTCACAGAGGAATAAAATTTGTGAAATCGAAGAGTCAAGAATAATTGTTGACAATGTTTTGGATACATTGGTAAACGATACTTTAATAACAATCAGTGCTTTGCATATGACTAAAAAGAAGCTTGCACATAAGGAAAGTGCCATTGAAATCAATTCTACAAAACATGAAATGGAAAATTTTTTACACAATGTCTGCAGCAATCAACAAAATATTAACTCAACAAAAAATTGCAAAAAAGAAGTTATTTCAATAGACCATGCATATGCTTCAATGGAACCAAGTAAACCTGATTTTCCTTGTAAAAAACCGCATCTGAAGATGAATGGTAAAATTGACACCTTAGCCAACCATGCGAGTAAAACAAATAATACATATTGTGTGAAAGAGATCGTGCACAACCTTCTGAACGAAGTTAGTCATATAGTTGGTGATAAAACAGAAGAAAGTAATTGTAAGATACTTTCTAATGTTGAAAAACTCGACGCAAGCGAAAATTTGATGAAAATTGAAACATCAACCAATTTTTCTAATGAGGATTCAAAAAATAAAATCCCAAATAACACCACGATAAAAACTATAATTGAGGATCTAGTCACTAATGTATGCACCATGGTTAATACTAGTAATTGTCGAAAAGTTGACAATGACTTCGAAGATTGTGGTAAAATCAAAATATCTGACATAGAAGCTGGCAATGTAAGCTTAAGCACAAGTTGTCACAATGCAGAAAATGTTGGGCAAAAACATGGTACGCAAATTGTGATGCAAAATGGTGTCGCAGCAGTTGCCAAAGCAATAGATGATACACATTCGCAGGAGTATTCAGATAGTAAATTCCAAACTCCTGAAATTAGTATGGACATGGGTTTGAATGCAACTGAAAATGAAACACCTGAAATTCAAAATGTGTTAAAGGTGAGATCCAAACGAAAATCAGCTCCTGTCAAATTTGCTATCGACAGCTCAAAGAAACCAAGAATTTTAATCACAAGAAAACAAGTCCGGAATTTACCGTCCGTTGTCTTTAAAACTTTGGTAGAATTTCAAAACAGGACACAATCAATTGCTTCAATAGTACCAGACTTTAATGAATCTCCACAATTGAAGAACAGCGTGACTGTTCGTGTGCCTGTTCCGACAAGTTCTGATGAAATTGTCGAAACTTTGAACAATCATACTAAGGAAAGTTTTTGTATTCCTTTATTTTTGTCTGATGAGAATCAACAAAGTTCTAACTCAATAAATCAAAACGATGAAGAAGTATCACATAATATGAGCAAGATATCTGAGGTAAATGAAGTGAATGAAAGCAAGAAAGTTGATAGAAAAAGGTTGGCAACATCAAAAATTGCATCTTTTTATTGTAAAAGATGGCAGCAAGTGTCAAATCGTCAAATAATAAAATTATCTGAATCAGCTCATTGCACAAAGATTATTGTAACCGTACAAACTTCAGGCGGTGTTCTAGTACCTCTACCAAATAAGCACTTTGATTGGGACTTGGAAATTGACGAAAGTTTCTGCAATTTTTTGAAAAAAACAGGAGTGATACAGCATGGCTGTACTGCTGAAGATGTAGGAAATGGTTTTAATAATATTGGAATTTCATTTTTAAAATGTCGATACACATTCAATCACATTAAAAACAACAAATTTCTGAAATTTTATCAGACGAAAAGAGAAATTCTTCTTCGAAAAAATAATGTTGTGGAAATTATTGTTGCCGAGAATAACATTGAGAAAAATGAACTTTTACCGCTAACAGACGATTCTACTCTTTATTACAAACTTCCAAATTTCCAGAGAAGACTAAAATTTATACGAAGATTCGGAGGAACTTTCAGACCAATACAAGCTCGAAAACATACAAGTAGAAGGAATAGAACAGTGAATTCTCTTGGAAAAAGGCATAGGACAAGTTCTTCCAGTGCCCAAATGTTGAAATATCCCGAAACTGGAGAATCAGAGAATGTCAATAACCATGAAAAATTCCAGAGTGTTGTTCCCATAAAAGAGAATTCAAAAACTGAAAAAGCTATAGAAGAGAAATCCCAATCATTGAAAACAGTACATTTGAATCCAAGGGTTCTGGTCACCGATGCTAAGTTCAAAAAAGTTTCTGTGGGACAAACCAGTGGGCATACATCGATAATTGCAGAAGAAAAATCTTCAACACGAAACTCTAATAAAAACACACCACAGAATAGAACTTATAAAGAAGTATCAGAAATTAGAGACTCATTGAATAGGTTGGCTTGTACACCACCAGGAAAATCTGATCAAGAAAAAGCCTTGCCATCTCTTAATAGTACTGACAATGTCTTATCAATTAAGAATCCTATTGTACTCCTGAAGCGGGAAAATTTGTGTGCAAAACCAGATGAAGCAGTAGTATTAGGTCCTACTTCTTTGAACAGTCCAACCTATTCAAAACCGTTTGCTTCTAAAATTATGTATTCTGATGGACCAATTGTATTCAATGGTCCGGCTCTTTCTATACCTCAAAATGAAAAGCGGTTAATTGTACAACAAACTAGAAATGATGAACAAAAACAAGGCAGAACAAGTGGCATGGTGACTAAAGCATCGAAAAAACTTGGAAAAGTCTCCTCTAGTCGAAACAAATCAATTTTGGACAACAAAACCCAAAGCAGTAAATTGCTTCACAAATCTTGTACGTCTTCAAGTTCACAAAAACCTCACAAAGTCAATGCAATCATAAAAAGAAGACCTCTAAAAATTGTTGAGCGAATACGACAAGATAATCCTGTTCGAAGAACTACAGCAAATAAAAAAGCTATGCTAGAAATTGCAGCAAGAGGTACTTCAGTAAAAGCAGTTAAAAATGTTGCAGCATCAATATTTACCACGAAAAAACATTTCAAGATGATTACTTCAAGGATTCAAAAAAATTCTGCCGAATCAAGCTGTATTTCAAAGGCGGATAGCGGAAATTCGAGATTTTTGACAACAAAAACTGCTAAAAGTTTGTTAAAAAGTAATCCTAAGCGAAATTCCACCGAAAGCTTCCCTAGAAACCAACCAAAAATAGCAGAGAATACTAATGTTATCACCCATGCTGGAGGGTCATCGATCCAATCCCAAATGTTACAGAAAAGAGCAATGCCAACATTTGGAGTAAGACAATCATACACTGGTACAACAGCAAATAAATCTCTAGACAATGTACAAATGTTATGTCCATTTCAACATATCCCAAAAGTCAGTCATATTCTTTCCATTATGGAACCTAGAGCAACTACTTGTTGTTTTTGTCACCTCCCAGCAAACCATCTTCTTGGCTTAGGTGATTTATTTGGACCCTATCGACCTCTCGCGGAAGAGCTTTTAGCAAGGCAAGACTCTATCAATGAACATCAGAAGATGAATCAACGTGGTATCACAGAAGACATGGCACATGCAGCTAATGGAAGTCCAGAGGTAGGTCAAAATAGCATTGAAAGTGATAGGCAGTAGTTCTCAATTTTTTATTATCTATTACTATGACCCCCTTCCTTCTTTTCTATAAAAATATCTAGTTTTCACGCGTGTCATGTAAAATTACATTAAAGCCAACAAATGAAAGCAGAGAAATTAATGGATTACAGTGAAAAAGAGCGTGGATATTGTTAGTCAAGACTGATCGAATATGAAAAAAATTATCGGACATAATTTGCACTTTCTTTTTATTTATGCGCAATATAGAAAACTCTGTTCCAACTCATTAAACATGGCCAAGATTTTGTCATTGCACATTAGTTTAGTTTGTTTTACAATTTAGAAAGCTGTTCACCACACTTTACTTCGTACATGTTATTCTAGGTTACTATCGACAGAGAGGAAGGAACATGCTTCATGACAGCAAGAGTAGAAGAAGATTGTCCTATAGTTGGTAAGTATCAAATGATTCGATTTGGAAATGAATAGTTTTGTTTAATTCCCCCCAACCTCGCTCTTTTGACTGAAGTTGATTCATCTCTGTTGCAAAAGAAAACCATTATTGGAGTTGGAGGCATATTATCAAATATTCGAAGTTTAAATTTATGAAACTTGACTAAGCATTAAGCCTTTTTGTCTACCTGGAGCCAGGCCAGAGTCGCTTTTTTGATGGATCAGAGTCATTTTCAGTAAAGCTCTGTAAGCTATATACATTTATATGGTTCCTCATTTAAATCTATCAGTACGCTTTACACTATTAGTTTGGCCGCTACATCTTAGATTGAAATATATTTCCATAAAAGACATCAGATGAAGCAATAGTATTAATCATAAAAAACATCCACTACAATCTAGAATTAATCTTTTTAGGAGGCAACAAAGTTGAAGATCTCACACAAACCATCAATAAGTCCTCGCATCGTTTGAGGACAATTTCCACACTGGAGCACGTACTGCAAGATTCTAGAAATGCATCATGGCAAAAGAAACAAAAAGTTGTACAAAAGCTTGGAAATGTAGCATTACGCATCCCAGGTCCTAAAAGTGAATGTAAACTTGTCCCAAGCACTAACTTTGACACTGAAACAGATTCTAACTCTCAGACTGATGGATTAATATCCAACATTAACTCTATTGTCTTCCTCGAGCCCAAAATTACTCTACCTCATAACAAATCCAGCATTGCTTCTACACAGCAAGGAACTCTTTCCTCAAATCGAAGGTCATCACAACAAACATCACGGCCATCTCAAAATTCAGGACGGAAACGTCAAACGTCGTCCAATTCTAGTTTTCATGGAGACTTGAATGAGAGTGATTCAACAAGCGTCTGTATAAGTCATAAATTCAATTTAGCACCTTTGTGGGTTCATGGAAATTGTGCTCTGTGGGCTGACGGCGTGTACGCCATTCGTGGACAATTATACGGCTTATGGGACGCAGTTCGTACATCGAACCAGATTATATGTAGTTTATGTCACCGCACTGGAGCTACTATAGTTTCAAAGGAAGATAAATTGAATTCAAGATTCAATGGTACACCATTGAAAGCTTATCATTACCCATGCAGTATCAGTGCTAATTTAAAATTAAATTGGGAAAATCTGACTGCCCACAGAAGCTGATACTCTTTTTTTCATTCTTGCTAACTTCAAGTACTTTCTCTTCCAATTTTGATGAAACTGTTGCCATCAAAGTGTACTTTCTTCATGTGTTCGTGAAAATCATATTGCATGAGAGCTAAATAATGTCATGCAAAGTGAAACAGAAATGCTGATTTCCTGGAGAGGTTAATTGCACCTTGATTAAGCATGTTTACTGGTTATATATAGCTATGTTACTCAAGTCCAAAGCATAGGCTTTTAATTATATTTGAGTTTATGACTCTACCTTCACTTTGGCCATAGTCATCTACTCGGTTGTTATTGTGAAGGAAGAGGATGATTGTCTCACAACTAGAATGGGCAATATAGAATACCGAATCCGGAGGATTCGAATCCCAAAGTATTCGAATCCAACAGAATTCGGTTTCCGCCTATCCGGCGCCATGCGTCAATTTTTGTATTTCGGGTTTCCAATTTATCAATTAAAGACGAGCGTTTTTTCTCGTGTGGAAATCTCTCTCGTTTAATTAAATTTGCATCTGCTCGCAAAGAACCCGTAAAATCGGTAAACATCAAAGACGGTAATCTACTAATCTCAATCGGCATATTCGGGACAGGAAGTCGGCGAAGTACCCCTCAAGGCGAAGACGGCGTTATTGCACCATTTTTGCGTTTTTCTGCTTTGCTATCAAGCTAGCGTATAATAATTATTTGTGCCGACTGACTGGCGGTATTCCGATAATCTGATTGCCTTGCTTCATTTTACATTAAATGAATTTTCGCGACCTGGTACTTCTCCAAAAAAATGATGCATATAAACCAAAAGCCAGGCGTTAAATGTTATAACATTACCTGCGAATAATTTAAATCAAAAATTGTTTACGAGTAATTTTATTACACCATTATCCGAAATTCAAAGTAATATCGCAAAACGCGAAAATCTGTCACATTTAAATTTACCTCTCAGAAGACTACATATTTTTCGGTCCATTTCTATCGTTCAAGATAGTCCACGTTTGATCTAGTGTCTGTAGTATTTTAGTCGCCGATAAGAAGTTGCCGCATCTGGCGATGATAATGGTATTGACGTATACAGACGTATGGCCACGTCTGGGTAGATAATGATATGTAACGATAATAAATAATCATAGATAATGAATTCGTCTTTAGATATTATTACCTAATAACTAAGTACGAAATCGCGTTTACGGGAACTCTGTTTACCAGTGTTGCTCGCACAGAATAAAAAGGTGATTTTTTATGGTTTCATTTAAAATTTTACAGCAGCGCGTAGGTTGGTCCTGCTTCTAAATAATTCTCAGCGGGTATTTTTAGGTAAACTTGGCAGACTAACATTATGAATGTTTTAACGCCGTTTCATATCTATTTTTGTATTTAACAGCTTACTATTAAAATGTGTAAAGCTTGTCTTAATTTAGCATATCAGTATTTAGGGAAAACCTACATTTGGAACAATTGAAGGCAAAACATAATGTAATATTCCTAAATTTTATTGTTCTGGGAAATGCCTGTTTAGTATCAAATGAAATCCAATGTTCAAGTCATTTCCAAATAAATAATACATTCATAGTAATGCATTTACAATTTTTTAACATCTAAATCCAGCACTGCGGAAATTCCCACTTTTTGAATAAGTATGAAAATAGAATAGGATTCGGTGTTCGATTTAGCTATTCTAGAATAGTAAATTATTCTACATTGCCCATCCCTACGGACAACTTGATTTCCCATACATCGCTTGTTCACACAATACTACATGCTACACGAATCAATGTTCAGACTTTTTTAGGAAAATGGTTACTATTGGAATAACAACGCTAGCAAAAAAATAAGATGATCGTCTAACATTTGGATTCGGTTCCATCCGATGCATCGCTTTACACAACACACAACTTTTGAGCATGCTACACAAATAAATATGCCTTCAGACTTTTTCGGGGAAAATGGTTACTGTTGGAATAACAACGCTTGCAAACCTTATTCTTATTCGAACCTACTTTTCTTTTATAGACTGTTTTTTTTTTATGTATTTTCTAATTGTTTGCTATTTCCAATTTTCATTACACAAGTACATTTTTCATTAAGACCTTTGTGATATGGTGGTATTGTCGTCAGTGTTTGGAAGTTTATGAAATCTGAGGTAACATACACAAAAGTATTCTGGCTGTGGTCGGTCGTTCATGGGAAGAGTTTAGTGAGATCCATTGACTCGGTATCAAAATGCTAACGACATAATAATTGTTACAGCTGAAGTCAGTCAGGTCCCAAACATTTATTGAATAGCACTCAAGGAAATGTGACACAGGTGAGCTTTACTAGGACTGAGGGCCCCCGGGGTTATGGAAAAACAGTAGGCCTACAACAGCTTAACCAGATGGCCTCATTGGTCGGTTATCTCCACCATCAAGTCCATGCTTCAGAAAACGAATACCTGGCGGCTACCTTACCCAACATGCACTGTTAATCCAATGAGAAGCAGTAGTTTGCCATATGATTACCGTCTTCCTCTCCCCTGGATAAATACGTAAATCTTATCCCAGCTATTCATAGATAGAGATGTAGGTTGCACAAGGAGTCCTGCATGAATGACGAAAACCACTCTCTGCAGACCCACGACAATAACCCTTTTACACCACAATGGAACTGATCATAACATCCCATCTTAATGGGGTCTTTCATATATTTCTCACTAGTATTTGAGAAAAAGTCTTTTACAAAAGCCGGACATATGAAACCTAGTTGGGAGTGAACCATGGTAAACTAACAGATTCAAACTAGAGGCCAGTTAGATTATGAAAAAAATGAGGAAATCTTCAAAGTCTAACCCCAGTAAACCGACACACCTCTGAGTAACAAACATAAAGCCAACACTGTCTTGAAAAACGTTTACTAGCAAGTTGGAATAAATAACACATACTTACCTGGTACAAAAATCGACATAAAAGGGTATGAAATACAGAAACACCAGCGTCTACACAACTATATTTCCACAAATACTCTACCACCTTTGTGGTAACGATATAATATTTCTCGTTGGAGTGCAACAGTGTTGAAACTGGTGGGAAATTTACAGATATTAAATATTTTTTGAGTTGTTGGTTCAAGTAAATTCTCGGTCTGTGCCATTGATGAAGACCATGCAAATTGTAAAAAGTTTAGATTACTTTGGCATCAAATACGAAGTCCTCATCTACTTAGTACGCAGAAGACTTGATCAAATTTACTAAACTCTATGTAAAAATTTTGATTCAACAAAAAGATATAAAATAACATCACTAAAATACATTATTTTATATGTCAGGAGTAGGGCTGGGCATTTTCGAATACCTGATGATTTCAGAATCGAATATTTTTTTCGAATCGAATCTCGAATACTTGGGAGATATATAATTGTATGTAACCGTCTTCTTGTATTTGGTCCTCCAGCCACATAAATTACTAGAAACGTAAAATATATCACTCAGACAGATTGCTGAGCGTTCACACACAATAAAAAATACTTACTCATTACAGAAATGAGTCATATGTCAAATTGCGTTGAAAAATATGACTTCCATGAAAAAAATTAGAAATTTACTTCGACAATTGGCGGAAAGGAAAAAAACAAGATGGCGGTGATTCGAAATTTCGCTTTGAACCGATTCGAATAATTTACTATTCGATTCGAATATTCGATTCGGAATGCCCAGCCCTAGTCAGGAGCAATCTTTTCAAATTCAACACAACTGAATTTACTTTATTAGGAGCTACACAATGTTATACAGCACGATGTAACAGAGAAGATTTTGAAAAATCAGTTCTTAAGTCATCGAACTATCTACAATTTATATGCACAATATGAAAGTGTGAAGAAACACTACACGGAACAAAGAACATTTTCTGACAGAGAAACATCTCCATTTTTTCTGTAGAAATTCCAGTAGGCGCTCTCTTGTATGACTGGGATGAAAGGTCGCGATTACGATCTGTGGAAAAAAGTAATTAAGAGATAAGTATATGATTCGATCGCCATACTGGCCAATTACAGCGTATTAAGACTTTCATCCGAGTCTCTCGCACCCAATACGGCCTTGTATGAGCAGCCATTGATATCCAAGAATACATAAGGAGCTTCCATTTTTCGGAAGGATCAAAATTCTTACAGTTCGGCATCGCCTTTCTATCCAACTTATTACGCTCTCTACGAACCAAGATTGTAACCTGCAATGCCAATTGGTTAGTCTGGAACCACAGGTCATGGCGCCCAAACACTACAATTTTTCCTAACTTTTTAAGCGAGTAATGGACGGGATTCAGAATAATGTAATCACTCACCTTACTTGCTGAAAACAAAGAATTTCCTAGAAAAAAATTGGAAAAATATGTATTTACCTTGATGTAGACCTCTTCCTCCGATCTTTCTTACCAGACGATTTTTTTGATTTTTTATGTTTCAAATATTCTTCACTATCACCACTGGAACTATCGCTGGATGAAGATTCTTGTTTTTTCTTCTTTTTGGACTTTTTACCCCCCTTTGATTTACTTACTCCTTTTTTACTCGATGACCTTCGAGACTTACCAATGTCACCGCTCCTCTCTCGAGAAGAGGAACGGTGCTTTCTTTTTTTCCTACTCCGAGAATGGGATCTACGACTCTGTGACCTTGACCTCTTCCTATCGTGTGACCTGGATCTTCTTCGGTCTCTTGATCGCTTGCGCTCACGAGAACGTCTTCGATCTCGAGACAGTGATCGTTTGCGATCAGGAGATCGTGACCTGTGATCCCTCGATTTTCTTCTATCATAAGAACGAGAAATCTTTTTTGATTTTGAAGGTGATCTCGAACTTCTATCACTAGTTTTATGTGAGTTTTTTGATTTTTTTGGCGTTCGAGATCGGGATTTTTGTTTTAATTTAGTTTTGGATTCGATAATTTCGTCACTTTCTGAACTTGAACTCGAATTTGAAGAATCTGATGAAATTTCTTTTTTTAGAATGACTTTGGGGACAATTGTTTGAGGTTCAGGTTGTTCATGCTTAATAGTAATTTTTTCATCTGGTTCTGTGATTTCATTTTCATCTATTTGTTCTTCTTCATCACTTTCCTTTTCTTCAGCAGTTTTCCGCTTTTCCATTTCTGTAAAAAATAGATATGCTACAGATATCTCGAGAAAGTAATACCAAGCGAGGCAAAACTGAAAAATAATATTTTCAGGTTAGACACCTGATTAACCCTGGATAATAGCATATCGTAGGTAGCATATTTTGTCACAAATCAAGCCAGTGTTTTGCAAAGTGGATCCCAGAGGTCCACAGAGAGGTTCCCTGAGGGCCACAAGCACTGGCCTCATCCAGGTACCATTCAAAATGGCCAAAGACCACATCAGTTTAAAGTAATGACCGAATTAATTCTCTGAATGCAATGACTGACTGTAGAATGCAATGACTGAACTACAGTCTGTTTTTTGCTTTTCATAATTTAATGTTAATTTACACAGACATGTCGACTTACGTTTTCGAAGAAGAATGATTATCTTCTAACCAAAGACTATTACGGTTTATAAAAATGTCAAATCACCTTCCAATACTTTCAAAACTTCACGTTGACGTAGGTTAAACTCATTTTGTTTTTGTTTAATTTTATCCGATGTTTGATCATCATCACTGGATGACTCATCACTTTCCTCCCTTTCATCTGCTGATTCCTCTTCATCACTACCGGATCCGTATCCAGCAATGAGACCTATATACATGCAATAGCTATCAAGAATTGGAAATACCAACTGGTCAAAATATGATAATTGTGTCAATTTGCTGGCTGCCTAAACCAGTAAGAATACAAGTCCAAAACCAATTTTGTTCTCTGATGGCACAATTCTTGCACTCCCAAGCTAGTCTGCACAAGCAGTGCTATTTTTGAAAGACTAGAAATTTTTCGGTTCTGCATCGATTACCAAATTTATTACGCTGGGTGATGTGGTGGGCATGAGATTAGAACCCAGATCTTTCATCTGTGATGCCAACATAGTAAAAAAACAGCTCCTAACCACTAGTCTAAAATCTGAAAATTCTCCGCTGACATCAACATATTTGTCATTCACTCACACAATACCTATCAACCTATTTGATAACTCCTCAGAGGTACTTACCAAATTGTGAAGAAGCTGATTTTGATTTGACTATCGAGTTTGCTTGAGCTATTGGCCCGTCAACAAAAATATATCAGGTTAATAAAAAGAAAGATAAACAAACAACATTATATTCATTCAAATAAATAACAATATGTAGTATAAACATACAAATATGAAACTTGTCTCAGCCTAGAATATATATATCAACAATTAGGCAAATATTCAGCAATCACTTTTCTAATCACGGCTGTCAATATTTAATTCGAAGTTCAGCATCATAATAGGCACCAACAACTAACTTAACTGTCTGTGAGGTGAGGCCACAATAAGCTAGACAATGTTGTTTGATAATTACTTTTTTATAAAAAGTATCCAATTATAACAGCACTTCAATTCAATTTCCTACCTTTTTTCTTAGCTTTAGTGTAAACTTCTTCCGCTATCGATTTTGATTCAGAGTTGGTAACATCAAGAAGAATTTCAGTCAACATTCTACGAACTTTAAACATCTAAAAATCAACAAATGTAAAGAAGTATGAAATTGGATATAGTTTTGATATTTAAACGTCGAGAGAAAAGACGATAATCTTATGGCTCGACCACAGAGAGATAGGAATAAATTTTATGTTTATCCTGAGGGAGAGGGAAGATGAAAACACCACTTGATCATATGGTGAACCATTAATCAACTGAATGAAGAATGATGAATAAAAATAATGATAAATAGGAAAATAAAGTTCATAAATAACATAAACATGAAATGATAAGATTTGCATATTTATTAAAGAGAGAGGAAAGTCAATGAAACAGATTAATATAATGACGAAACACGCCTCTCATCCAAATACCAGTGTCATGTCAGGTATTGTCATGTCAGGTATGAGAATAATTAACCAGTTATTTGTTTCAGATACATGGACTTGCGATGGCATGCGAGTGTCTCACCAATTCTTGTTGTTTCTCTTCTTTCGTCATTTCAGGTTCATTTTCCTCCTGAATATCTTCTTCCTCTTGTTCATTTTCTTCTTCTACATCCTGGTCAGCATCAGGAAGTTCAGAATCTGATTCTTCATCATCAGATTCCTATGGATAGCATGAAAAAATGTTCACAATGATAATGGAAAATAAGTAAATTCCTTACTTCTTTTGCTATACATTTAGATGCATGTAACCCAGGGGGTGGGTAAGGTTGATGGGGGCCAAAAATTTTGCCCACCGAGACTGGCGGGCCATGTAAGCGAGACATAAAAAGTACCATTTTATGCACAATATTCAGAGTGTTACAAAAGCAAGCGGAAAACAATAAGCCTCGTTCTAAAACTAAATTTAATCGCATTCTCAACAAATTCCTTGAGCTGTTTTTTAGCTAAAACATCAAAATTTGGTTTTAGTTTGGTTGTGGCAACATCGGGCGGGCCAGATTGAATTACCCAACGGCCGGATTTGGCCCACGGGCCGTAGTTTGTGGTTAACTTACAAATTTACTCTTATTCGGATCTCTGTTCTTTTTTGTTTCTAGTTCCAATTCGTTTTCTTTTTTCAACATTTGTTCTTGCTGTAATTTCTTTTGTTTTTCTCTTTCCATTTTTTCCAATCCCTCTCGTATCCATGGTGGAAGTTTCCGACGTTTAGAATCATCTGGATGCAACACATTAAAGTTGATAAATGGTGTGCGTTATAGTTTGCTATATTTATCACCTCAAATGAATTTGAAGAGTGCAACAAATATCTTATGCAATTTTTCTAGTAGCATATGACCGAGACTATTGCGTTAAGAGCCATATTTCATAAATATATTGTGACATATGCCATCAGATACTAGTAGATATGGGACTTCAAGTCAGTGTTCTTGGAAACACGAAATGTTTTTGACAATTTTATAACAATGAATTATTTAGATATGACATCCCTAGCCAGCGATTGTGAAGTTGGAGAAAATTTATATTTGACTACGACTCGAGATCGCAAAACATTTTCACTTTGACTCGAGAGTTGTAAAAAAATTGATTTATACTTCGGCTCCTAACAAAACTTTGGTGTATTAATAGACTGTTAAATTAGTAAAGTAAACTGTAAGTTAGAAAACTGGTTTTTGCGTTCCCGCTCATTTTTTTCATTTCTTCAATTACTATTGAAAGTTTGAAATTCTGATTCTGAGAAATTTGAAAAAAGGCGAAAGCGTGCCAAACTCAGACACCAGACGCCCAACAACCTTATCAACGTTCCTTTACCCAGAACTATAATAATAATAGCTACTCCTTTCTACACCAAAGCATACCCATTTGAAATCCATCTTGTCCGAAACCCTGATCCATCAATGGAGGAGTGAATTCATTTTCATTCTGTCCTTGCCATTGCAAGTGTGGTTGGTTCCAATTCCCTTTATTTCTTCTCCATGGTGGAGGTTGTGGATCACCGACGGTCCATAGTGCAGCATTCGAATGATCTTGGTAAAACTGAAAATATTCATTGGTTAGTCAGTGTCATGTATTACTATAACCAAATCACAGATCTATAAAGCTTTTAAATGGGGAACTAAGAACTATTAATAAACAAAGACAAAGAAATAATTGTTAATACTATAAAATCGGGCGAAATTTTTTGGATACCCTTTATATATATATATATATTATATTTACATATAGTACAACAGTTTACAATTCATTTTAAAATTCCAAATCTTTCCAAATTGGTCCATCATCCCGCAAAATTATGCCATGAATCATTAGGTATTGTTAGGCATTGTAATGTAATGAAAATGTGAATTTTTATATGGATTTCACTCCAAAAAAGGCTTTGTAAAAGCTACCTTCCTAAACCGTTGCCATTTTATGGTAAAACCATATCTAAATAATAATTTCACTAACAAAAATTTCTATCTGAAATATTCAACATCAAAACCCAAATCAATAAACAAAATTACATTATTCACCTGATCTTCAACAACAAAACTATCTTTCGGATGAAAATCTTTAGTGAATCTTCCATCTTTTCTAAAACTAGAAAACATGAAGTTAATAACAAGAAAAAAACAAAAAAAATTTACATAGCATTCTTTTTATCTTACTTGAATTCTCCACTGGGATGTTGATGACTGTAATCTATTATTTCCTTGTGATTATCCGTTCTCAAATTTTGATCCATATTTCCAAGACCATCAACAGGCAATGGAGGCGGAGGTATTATATCTGCTACGTTGTTACCTGAGTTGGGACAGAGACAAAATAAATTGTGTTCCAAATGAATATCAGCGAGGTTTATAGTAGGAAATTTTGGCCTTATTCAAACATATATCATTATTTTAATACAGAATGAAGTAACACTGTACAATACTCAAAATAAATATTTTTGAAAAATAATGGTAATTTGAGATCTATTCCAATTTGAACATATTCACTAATAGATAAACAGATAATAAAAAAAACTTTCCTCTTGAAAATTTTTAATATACTGATATCAAGAATAGTAGATAGTTTCAGGAAAATACAGAAATGATCAGACAATATTAATACTGATAATCTTATAGATATAAACTACCAACCATTCGTGGGTTCATCTTCTGGTGGAGGAAGTGGTGGTTTAGGCTCCTCATTATGTTGTGGTGGATGACCATTTCCAAACCATTGCTGCTGGTTGAAGTTTCCTAAATTCAGAAAATATAAAATTGACCAAGCGTTCTCTACAAACAATTAAAAGAGGCTTGCATACACCAAAGTTTTTGTTATCAAAATACGCATTTCTTGGTAATTTAGAATCAAAATTTTCTAAAAACCTATAATCGGTGATCGAAATCTGCATTTTTGTCAGCATAGGGCGGGAATCGAAGCTGATGTCGCTTTATAACTGTATCAGAAGATTGGGGTTTGGTAGTTTTCCTCAAATCTATGGTTCTCAATGAAAAACCTGAAAAGTTAAGTCACCTTGCCACTGCTGAGGATGTTGGTTCATTTGATTCCACTGCTGAGTTGAATGATCTTGTTGATTCCATCCCTGTTGAGGTCCGTGTCCCCATCCTCGATTTTGTTGCCAATGCCCTTGTTGTTGCCATAACATCTGCTGTTGTGTAGCAACTGGTACTTGCTCAGGAGGTACATTTTGTGATGGTTCGGGGGGTTTTGCCACATTCTGTGTATTTGATGATAGATTATGTTAGATAGGTACAGTTCAGTAAAACAAGAATAATGTGAATTACATTATGAATTCAATACAATAGAGTTCCCTGATTTTAAAAATGTCCCCGATATTTGGATATATTAAACAAACACACAATTTGTTTCTGAAACAAGGGTGTCTGGGTATGATGGCACATTCAAAATATAGTGCGATGTCAGCCACGATATTATAAATCAATCATATGCTCCGCTCCCGTTATCACACAAGTCAAAGAAATACCAGCCCATTAAATTTTGCTCTTGGAGGCGTAAAAATTTTTCCGAAAAATCCAATGACATGATTTTCAAAATTTTACTTCTTTTTAGCTTATTATGCAGCCCTGTTTAGTGGTTTTTGTATGTATTCATCGTTTGAATTGACGTGTTTGAAGATTGAGAATGTCCCAGTACTTGTGAAATGCGAAATTCCGACATTACACAGTTTCAAATGTGAGCAGGCCTACCACTTAACTTTTTGAATGAGTAACAATATTGCGAAAACCGATTCTACATACCTGTTGCGGCAAATTCTGTTCATCTTCTGTTCCTTTCTGATGAATCCAAGCTTGAGCAAGAGCTGCCCAATCAACTTCACCTACAAAAATATAACATTCAGAAAAGTGAAATTAGACTTTATTTCCGTAATATACCGTATACAAGGAAAAATGAATAAATATACCAAAAAATATATGCCATTTCACTGACAAAAATGACTGACCGAATAACTAACTCTGTCATCCAATATCTGAATATAGTCATGAGTGTAAGATTTACGATTATAGACATACCGGTACTGAACATAAGTTTATTATCATTATAGATTTCTTTATCCTGTTATAGTGTTGGTGATTTTTTCTATACTACAACATTGCAAAGACAGAAAGAGGCTTCATAGTCTGACAGTTCGCATGATCGATCATAACACGTGAACACTGTTTGTTGTTCGACCAAACTTCTAAACATCTGGTACAAGTACGGTACCGGTATCTGTCTTAACACATAGGTTAACATTTTATTTCAGTTATTCATCTTAGCAAAAATAGCAATTTTAATACCGGTATTTCAGTATTTGGTATAACGTTACCAGTAAATGCAGTGATATAATATAATAGTCAAAACTTACCAGGATTTTGTTTTGATTGCTGCTGAAGAAGCGGCCAAGGTGCCTGCTGATTCCACATCCTATTACGGTACCGTTTTACCGGCACAACCAGCAACCTAACTCAACGATAGCAGATTCAGCATTAGTGATTCAGCGCGCGTCGCTCATGAACTGATAAACAGCTGAAGCTGCAGTTCTGCTGTTTTGAGTCTAGTGTCCGTCGCCAATTTTGCGCAGTGTGAAATTTTCTATGCAGGTATGGAATTTAGCATGATCGAAATCACTAACTTGTTTTTAACACTGTCTTTAAGGTACTGACTGCTACTTTTCGGATGGTATATCCCAACTTTTCTGGGTCGTTTTTCTTTAGCACATCTTTAGCACCCAACCGCCGGTCCGCGGACCGGTGCAGGTCCGGGAAGCATTTTTGCCGGTCCGCGAAAAATTTCGGTGTTTTTTGTTTTTATGCCGTCTAAATCGCTGTACCGAAGGCGAGGCTGCGTTGGTTTATTACGCAATTTCTCTTCCGCCGTCATATTGTGACAACTTGGCGCCCAGTAATCATACTTTTCGCTTTTTCGGCTCCGCTCCGATCTCTTTACCGAAGACGAGGTTGCGTTGGTTTATTACGCAATTTCTCTTCCGCCGTCATATTGCAACATCTTGGTGCCGAGTAATCACACTTTTTGCTTTTTCGGCTCCGATTCTTCGTGAATGCGCTCCATCAAATCTCGCAAAATTCAGAAACCTAAAAATTGGCACGCGTGCTTTTTCTGTTCTGCATGCTTTTCCTGATTAATATGACCATCCAAATAAAACGTTATGCATATTTCTTTGTTCAAACCCGAAAACAGTCAAGAAAAGTATAATACTCCAGTAAAATATGGCAGGTGGTCACGAGGCGCGCAAAAAAGCATGGGCCGCTGAGATCTTTTCCAGTATCTTGAGCAGACAAAGTAGGATTTTGAGCCTGGTGCCAAGTTAGAGACCACTTTGTCTTTGTAATGTAAATTCATTTCGTTTGAAGCATCGATCAACTGCAGAGCAGACGGATTAATGTGATAAACCAGATGAAAAAGAAAAGGCTTGATTCAAATTGTGATTCTACTTTACAGTCCAGGAGTTACTTATATTTTTATAACTTATATATCAAAATATTTTCATCACTAGCTTTAATTAAAGCGAAGCAAGGAAATTGGCTGCACGCCGCTGCAGAGCTACGTGTTGCAGAAACTTCCTTGAGGCATCGTTTGCAATCCTATATTGGAAACTAAACAGCAGCAAAATTCTGACTAGAGTTAGTTGCGTTTGTAGGCTACATGATTTGGCATGTACATGTTTTTTATGTGAGATGTTTTATGTGTGCCTTTCTTACGCATAATGGGTGCCCAGCACTGCATTTCATTACGCAAATATGTATGTTTCACCCATTTCAGTTTTTGGCCGCCACATATGATAGTTTTTCTTCGTGTTAGCTGTTTTAAGTGCCTTTTTTGTCTAGATGCCTATCGAGTGCCCGACATTGTATTGTATTACGCAAATATATGTTATTCTTTTCTGTTTCGGTCATTTCAATTTTTTTCCGGTCCGCGAGTACATTTAATTTAATTTTACCGGTCCGCCAGGGTAGAAAGGTTGGGAACCACTAAACCACTAAAGTTTAGCGCAACAACAACACTTCTGAAAACAAAATGGCTGCTGAATTCAGATTCAGATTTTTATTTTCGTCATGCAAAACTAGTGTACAAAATGAAATAAATAAAAGGCGTGTAACAAATTACAAATACGGGTCGTGGCTTGTTGCAATAGACGAGTGGTCGCGAAAGACTCAAAGAGTCATCCAGTCAACGACATCACGATTAATTTTTTTATTACTTGTTATTATTTTTATTATCACGATGACTGTTATTTTATTATGATTGACGAAAAAATAAATCTTTTTCTCTCTCTCTAACCTTGATGCTGAATTATTCGATTTGTATCGATGTCTAAAATTAAATTCATAACTAAAAACTAACAAATGTCATTCAAAAGTACGGAAACTAGTCAATACGTGTCGCTTAAAATATATCTTGAAATAATATGTGTCCGATAAAGTTTAAAATTATTTCAACATCATTGACTGACTGCTGATAAGCCATTGTTATCGAAAAAATAGCTTAATAAACAAGTCGATTGTAGGAGAGTCAGAGTTGCCACCTAATCCGGACATTACTTGATCAGTTTTAATTTTTTGTTTATATATATTTATAACTCATACTTGAATTCAAGATTCTTAAGCTGAAAGATCGAAAACTGATAAATGTGCGCCTGAGCAGCGCCAAAGCATAATGTGAGACGATGGTGCATCACGCCATCTTGCGCACGCCTACTGCAAATATCGTAAATATACGACTTCTGAAGCCCTGTTAATTTCAATATAACGGCATGGCGCTTACAACTCGTATAAATTACACACTACATCAGTGATTTTCATCGCCTTTTTTCAACGCTTTTGTTAACCCAAATGACTGGTGTTCCGCGAGAGACCTCCAGGTGTTCCGCGGAAAATTGCTTTTTCGTAGTATTATGACATCATAACTGATATTTAACCGTCTGATGAATTTATATAAATTTCACAAAGCCGCGGTTCACAAGCGCTTCAATCTCGCTACCATTTTCCACTACCTATCTTTGCGAAATGAGCTTTTTGAGCATGGCCGGTCTAGGGCTGGGCAAAATATTCGAATAGCGAATGGAATATTAAAATTTTCGAATGACATTTTACTATTCGTATGTACGATACCGCGTAATCTGTACCACTTTGCTTGGGCACGGAACTCGCGCCGGTGAATCGATGGCTTGGATTACGCGAGAATTCACCCTCGGCTTTTGCTGATATTTTGCAAAAAGCGCGCCGACACTAGTCTGTAAATGTAGAAACGTCAACCCAAACAATATATTTAAATAAAGTTACCAGATTTTGAAGATGTTATTAGCCTCCTTATGCATGACCCGAATAGAAAATCATTATCGGAAATTAAGAGTTACAAAGACGTTTTCGATACATGGTGAAACGGCAATTTTAGGTCGTCAGAAAATTCGAGAAATGGTACTCCTGTAATATGCGAACCAAGACGTTGGACACCAGAACGTAGTATGTGCACCAGGTTAGGCCATAACCCTTATTTTAGCTCTATTACGAATTCAGGGACTAGCCAGGTGACTCCTATAGTATTTGTACCTAAAGTTAAGGCCTGACCCTAACTTGGTACACATACTACGTTCGTGTGTCCGCCATCTTGGTTCACATACCACGGGAGTACCATATAAATAGCATAGATTTGAAAAAGGCGAGTCAGAGTTTTGAAAAGCCGGTATAAAAACTTATAACCAGATAAGAAATGACAGGCCATAATTCTTTTTAATGGACTTTCTAATAGCTCGGCGTGTATTTTTAGTGATCCATTTCATCCTTGACCAAATAATGTTTCAAAAATGTGAACATTATACTCGACCATGAATGGAGTTATCATCGGAATTGATTACATTCGTTACATTTTTAAGCGTTTCTTGCAGTAATAATTAGGGCGTGGCATCATCAAAATCGTCAAGTGAAGTGTTGAATTTGCAAATTCCGTAAATACAATTGTGAATTTCTCGGTAACGATATTAGCTTTGATATTGGTCGGAGTATTGATTTGTTGAAAAATAAATCGTAAACTTGAGGTGAATAAATATAAGCATCGTCTTCCCTTCTACTAGGCACAAAAGCACTTGGGCACAAAATTGTGTACATTTTTTTGGATCCGGTCGCGCAGGTATAAAAAATATTCGTTATTGGACTATTCGGTATTTGTTAAGAATATTCGAATTATTTGATTCGAAAAAAATATTCGATTTGCCCACCCTTTTATTGGCCGCCATAAGAATATAAAAAACACCAGAAAATAGGAGTCGTTGAGAAAGATCTGCGTGTTTGCCCCTCTTAAATTCCAGCCAGAATAAAATATTGAAACTCATCGAAACAGGCCCAGATATCACATTAAAATACCATTTCTGTTCCTAGCTCATCATAGTAAGCATAAGCAAACTCGCAAAATGATTTATTTGTACCGTACTTTAGCTCTGAATCGGAATGTGTAACCAGCTGAAGTTGACAAGCTATATTATTAATTTCGTTAATTTATTTTATTCCGAAATGATCGATGTCAGTTAATTGCATAATATAGTTTTTTTCCAAAAATCTGATTTGATGTTCCGCCACAATTTTAGAATAAAAAAAGTGTTCCGCGGTACAAAAAAGGTTGAAAATCACTGCACTACATAACTATCCAAGTTTTCCAATGACTGATGTATCGTGCTTACAGGTGGGGTTTGAAGTTGCAAAAGATTTATAATTATTGCAGAAAGTTATAATTATTTGTTACTGCATGTTGCAGACCTACATATATTGATCCTTTAATTTCTTGTATTTGATAGAAATATGATTATACGTTTTTATCACGCAGAGGTTGCATAAAGAATTCACAAATTTAGTTTGATATTGTTATTGCTGCTTCTTCTGCTAACTTAAAGATTGGTTTTAGCGTTAGTGAACTTGAGCAAATATCTGTAGAAGAGCATCTGTTGAATTTCTAGATTCGTCATATATATTTAATAACGTATTTTGTGATCATTCCGACATCTAGTTCTATCCTGACCAATGGCCCTTCATCATCTCATGCAGTGTTGGTGAGACGCGAGTTTGACCTGATTCGATTCGGATTGTAGTAACTTATTATTACTCCTCGAGACTCGAGAAAATGTCTTGATCGTGACTGGCGTTGGTTCAAATTGTGTACATGCATGTACAAACGGATATTATGCAAACTATATATATATATATATATATATATATATATATATCCGCTTGATTAGTGGTTCCCAACCGCCAGTCAGCGGAAGCTTTTTTGCAGGTCCGCAAGAAATTTCGTTGTTTTGTTGTTTTTATGCCGTCTTAATCGCTTTACCGAAGACCAAAGTGTCACTTTGCCGAAGACGATGTTGCGTTGGTTTATTACGCAATTTCTCTGCCGCCGTCATAGTGCGGCGCCGAGTGGTCACACTTTTCGCTTTCTCAGCTCCGATTCATCGCGAATGCGCTCCATCAAATCTCGCAAGATTCAGAAACCTAAAAATCGGCACGCGTACTTTTTTGTTCTGCGTGTTTTTCCTGAATAATATGACCATCCATATAAAACTTCATGCATATTTCTTTGTAGAAAACCAAAAAACAGTCAAGAACAGTATGATATTCCAGTAAGATATGAACTTGTTGCGACCTTGTAGGTCACGAGTTGCGCAAAAAAGCATGGGCCACAGAGATCTTTTCCAGTATTTTAAGCAGACACAGTAGGATTTTGAGCCCGATGCCAAGTTATCGACGACTTTGTCATTGTAAAGTAAATTTATTTAGTTTGAGGCGTCGATCAACTGCAGAGGGATTATTATGATGAACCCGATGAAAAAAAGAAAACGATTGATTAAAATTGTGATTCATTTTACGGTCCAGATTTAAAAAGGAATCACTGTCTCGATTTTTGATATCTCTCGATAACGAATACCCATTGCTAAGTAATCGAGCAATCAAACTGTCCGTATTTTCAATCAGTTACTGCGTTATGCGAAAAAACATTTTCATCACTAGCTTTAATCAGAACGAAGCAAAGAAATCGGCTCCACGTCGCTGCAGAACTACGTGTTGCAGAAACTTCTTTGAGGCCTCGTTTGTAATCCTATATATATATTGGAAACAAAACAGCAGAAAAATTGTCCATAGAGTTAATTGTGTTCGTACATGATTTAGCGTGTACATCTTTTTTTTTATGTGCGATGTTTTATGCGTGCCTTTCTTACGCATAATGAATGCGCAGCACTGCATTTCATTACGCAAATAGATGTTATTATTTTATGCTTCACCCATTCAAATTTTGCAACATTATTTAATAGTTTTCTTCGTGTGAAATGTTTTTGAGTGTGCCTTTTTGTCTAGGATCATATTGAGTGCCCGACATTGCATTATATTACGCAAATATATATATATATGTTATTCTTTTCTGTTACGGTCATTTCATTGTTTTCCCGATCCGCGAGTACATTTAATTTAGTTTTACCGGTCCGCCAGGGTGGAAAGGTTGGGAACAACTGCGCTAGAATACGAGCCCCTTGCCGATCATCTAACATTAATCCTATTTATTATTCTTATATCTCTATGGGGGGCTGACGTAATATTTTATTTTATATTGATGTGTAAACAATTTCTTTATATGTTCCATTCATTTCTTTATTCAGGATACTAGTTCTCATGTGCATTTACTTTATAAATATTTTCCCCCTCCTGCGCAGGGAAGCAATGTAGCGAATGACCGCGATAATAAGAGAAGCCTACTCGACATGCCGTAATGTCGTCAGTTCGACTCATATTTATTTATGAGAATAATTATTTATGAAATCTCCTACGATTCGAACTTTTACTTCGACTGGAATTGGCATTTTAACTTTTCGCTGTGACTCGGACTTGACTCAAGACTTGAGCGACCCGTGACATAAATTGTCGCACCATCGAACATTGGGAACTTCAAAGTACTGGTCTTGTGGTAGGGACTTTCAACCAGGGGTGCAAGAAGTGTTCGTATAGGCTCTGGAATTCTGATTGCTGGGTTGGGTGTAAAATGCACATCCATTAAATACACGACACGTTGGAAACGACAGACTGTTATTAGTTTATTTTGCGTTACGTTGTTTTACATGTAATAAACATTTTGTCTCAATACAACTTTTAATGCGTGAATTTGTAACTCTGTATAAATAACAATACATAATGTTCATTACGACAAATCCAAATTGACAAGGAACATGAAATAGCAACAGTGCAAAATTCTGAAATGCTGGTTGTGAATAATAACCCTTCTTTATCAGACTTTATTGCCGTACTGGAAATGGCCACCAAAACAGATTTCGACCAGTTGATGCGTCATATTAACTGATATCGCTGCCAGCTCTAGCCGTATGGTTGCGAGATGACTTTCATGCTTTTCACTCGTAGACGGAAAATGTCTCCGTGGGTCGAAAATATGAGCATTTTCTCAGGTTGACATCAGCATTCATCAATGTGGAATCCCATGTTTGATTTCGTTCCTGTTTACATCACATGCAGTCATGTTTTCCTCGTACTGCTTTGCTGCTGCTTTCGCATTATTCTGGAGTGATTTGTTATGCATTTCTAAAATAAAAATAACATTGATCTTGAAAAGTTGAATTGTTGTAAACATGTAAATATCTAATCTGCTCCATGGATTTTAAAGTGAATGTTGCTATTTTAGATTAAATATAAATTGTATATTTAGTAACGAACTGTATCTATATAAGGATAATTCGACAAAATTCCTATTGTTGTGGTTGTTATCGAGGAAAAATCGCTTCTCTCCGGAATTAACGGAAACATTAAATAAAATGTTTAGCAATCAAAGACGGTACATGGTTTCATTTTTTACGGTTTCTTTCACTCTGGCATTGCCCGGAAATGTAAACCCAAGTTTTGCTGCATTTCTATATCTGGCGGAAACGACGCATTATAAAATTCATTACAATTCTCATTGACATTCGGTACAATTCTTTTAAATTTGGCTGCAATTTTGCAGACAACGCGGTAGCCATATTAGTCATTTGACCTTAGTGTTCGAATGTCAGATAAATGCGCTTTTTCATAACATATATATCAGGTTCTTACCTAATAACCACGGAGTGAATGCTCTGTTTTTGAAGCTATCTTTGGTGTTAATCACACTTTGCGGAAGTGGAATCGAGTGTCGCACCATTGCGCCGTAAAGCCCATACTCCGCCATTATGCTGCTATGTCCCCACTGGTTTTCTTGCTTTCTCCATTTCGCTCTTCTGTTTTGAAACCACACCTGAAATTACATTAAATACATATATCATTTAATAGTCTCGTTGCTTAAAGACTTTTTTTTCAATGTCATACGTGAAGGTGAAAATCATATATTTATGCCTCGACCGACTCGCATTCAAAGATGTGGATTAGGAGTGAACCTGTGAATCGGTTTTCTAAATTGTCGTGGTTGTTCGTCTTGTTGGAAAAATATCGTTTCTAATTGACCAATTCCAATCGAATACAGATTCTGGTACTTAATGCTACAAGATGTCCCTAAAAGTGTTATTGCTTCATTTTGAGCCTCCATGAAACTTGATAATTTCCTCGAGATTTTACCGTTTTATTTCAATTCATGGGAACACATTTTATGACATCTTGGAACACTTTATTCCGTCACTCTTGGCCACCTATATTTTCAGAAACGCTACTCAGATACGGCATTACTGGCACCGATGCGCGAATTTTTTGTCCATATATTTGAACTTTGCTGTAATGTTATTGCAATAACATGGTATAGCAGTGAAACGTTTTATTGATGTAAAAAATCTCACCTGTATTCTGTCCTCTTCCAATTTTGTAGTTTCAGCCAGCTTTTCTCTTTCTGCGACATCTGGATAATGCGCTTTCTTGAAAGCTGCTTCCAGTTCTTCAACTTGCTCGCTGGTAAATATCGTTCTGAATTATGAAGGTTTTACATCGTGTTGATTATTTATATATATATATATATATTTTCACTATATTTGCGTGTTTCTAATCTAGACAATCTTAATAGTGTTTGCGTGGTAGCATTGAGTAAGCGATTTCGTCTGTTCCTGCGCCACAGACTTGACAAATTTAATTTAATCGAGTAGATATGACGACAGGCAAAGAAACTTTTGGTCTTACCTGTTTCGTCTTTTTCTTTCTAATTCAAGAGACATTGGCTTTGAATGCTTGTCTTCTGATTTGGAATGTATGGGTTTCTCGTTCGTGCAATCTAAAATTTGAAAACACTCTTGAAATATTTAGCATGGTAAATTTGAAACACGGTATAACACCGCTCAATTTTCGACTTGTCATGCAGAAATCTATAAATTTAGTAATAAGTATGTAATCCACGATTATCGTGTAAATTGAAGAATTATTTTGGATGGTTAATGGTAATTCCATTTATCCCAGTTTAACAGGTAAGTAATAACCGTATTATTCAGATTTGTGGAGACAGTGAATCGATCGACTACAAAGGAATAATATACTGGAGAGATGAATAAAAGAGAACGACAGAGAGAAATTCAAAACGCAAAGACACAGTCGATAACAATTTGTGCGTTGTTATATCACGGCTAATTGCACACGCTATCCTGCCCAATAAGCATGATGAAGCGAAGGTCAAGTGATAACTTTGCGAGAGAAAACGTTGTTCGCGTCCGTTGGGAAATGCTGAACATTTTCTGGGTAATTAATTAATTAATTTCACAATGAATTACACTTGTATTTCGTGGGAATTAAAAAAGTAACATGTTACGCTTATCAGACTTTGATAGTTTGGTTCAATTAGGTGGAAAATCGCACATCATGATTGAATGAAACCTATGGGAATCTAAATGTTTCCAACATCATTGTCTAAACCAGTTCGCTTTAAAACCCTTTTTAATTACCAATTCTGTTGAAGATTATATAATTCAGGAATTTGTCCTAAAGGTTCGCGCAATAATAGTTTTTGCACAAAACAAAAACTACAATTTAAATGGGAGACCATAAAACCTTTATAAAACAAATTTACTCAAACACACACGAACGAGAGCAGGCTTATAAACACGATAGACAGTTAGGGAAAGCGATTAGTATATGACTCAATCGCCATCTGCAGGTCCTCATTTCGTTAGAATAATTCTGGGATAGGCTTGATAAAACGCATAAAACATACATATTTATCATGACCCGATGGCACACAGAATCATCAGAGTATGGATTCTAAAAAAAAGAGTTGCTTGGATTCACTTTTTCTTACCTTCGCTTGAATTTGACTTTTCGGTTGTACTTTTAGGTGAATTGGACGACTGCCGGCGATTGCATTTTGAACGGTCGAGGTAGCTTCCCAAAAATTGTGAGTTTTCCAACTTCGTGGATACTGACTGCTCACGATGTTCACATTGCCTTTGCATTCGTTGATGAAGCAATATAATATTCTGTAATTTGTGATACTGACTTGCAAAATCGTCATGCTTTATATTTGCATTTTGAATGTTATTTCGGATAAAATTGAAGTATGCACTTGCTGGATTGCTAACACGCTCCAATCCGGGCGGATTAAAATCCTGGAATTGTCTTTGGTGATAAAGCATTGCTGAAAAATTTTGATTTCTAATGTCCGAATGAAGTAAAGGAGGATTTGATAAAGACATGGCTAATGCAATGTTTGGATCCATAAATGGGGGTAAACGATTCATGCGCCCGGGAAGCGATTGAAAAGATGTAAGGTTCTGTGGTTGGGCTTGTCCATCGCTTTCAGATTCGTCCGATTCTGGTAGTTTCTCCGGTGGAGAGATTGGGGCCATTGGGGGAAAGAAGGGGTAAGGGACTTGATTCAAGCGGAGACGTTTTTCTGGCACCGCATTTTCTTCCATTTGTGAAGATCGCTTCAATCCTAATAAATTGTCAATGGAAAAGCTACTTGAATTCGCAGGTTTTGATCTCGTCGTATCGTCCCCGCTTCTATCGTTGCGATCCGTAGATTCGTCGCTTTCTTCTGATGATACCTCAGACAAATTAGGCTCAACTTTTATCATTTTGATGCTTGCATGCTCAATTTCATCATTATGATTTGTTTCTATTTCCGACATTTTTAAAACTTACGCTATTACGGACTGTTAAACGATTAAAAATATGATTAAATCAGAAATTCAAGATGAAATTTTTTCTCTGGTTCTAGGTGCTGTCATAAATGATTTTTGCCTTTGTTCTTCTCGATTTTGGGGAAAATGTGTTGTTTGAGACTAATTGAATTAAATTTTTAAAGTTTTAATTGTGTAGTCGCTTCTAGTCTGCTTTTACGGCGACTTCCGAACAAAATCTCACTATAACTACAAGTTTTAAGCTTAACTAATGATTTAGAAAATTTCTTACATTATTTCACTCGTATGGGGAAACTGGAAAATGTATATTCTCATTACACTTTTGTGAGTTATTTTCTGTGGTCAAATAATCTCATTCGGGAAAACCTATTGCCTCCGGCGAATAGCGATTGCGCCATTTTTAAATAAAAAATCCTATTCCTCTAAAATGTAAAAAGAAACTATCAAAATGTGACTATTTGCTTATTTGGTGATGATAACTCATATCCTTCAGCAGCGCAAAAATGGAATCCGAACTTTCAAAAATTACTCTGACCTATCAATAATCATGAGCGAAGCTGTCGAATCCTAATATGCATAAACCTCTGCAATTATTGCCCGAATAGAACCAAATACTGTAAGAATACACTGTCTGTATTTTACACCTTATAATACAAGTTTTCTGCCATTGCTGCATTTTAAAAATCTCCTTGCTCGTGTAAACTCTCCTTTTATATCTCCAGCGTGGTTGAATTCCTCATCATTTCTTCACATTTTATTGATGTCTCGCTTTGAATCGGACGATCATATTTTTGATGCGAGAAAAAGATGATTGAATTGTAATATAAATTCCCTCGATTATTTAATCGAAACCATATTGCATTCTGAATCATCGACCACATGCCACGACACAATTGGCCAGAGTTAGTCCAGTGATAATTGAGAGAGTTCAATACCCCAAATATAATCGGCCAAACGTATTCGTGATAATAAAAATTTGATTAATTTGAGAGAAAGGGTAATTGTTTCACTATTTGATGATTAGTTTATTGAAATCTCTGGCATTAACCCTCAATGCGACTGTATCTCTATAAAACATTCTAAGCTCTCATTCTCAGTGACGCAAGGGTTAATCTTTTCTCTCACATTTGGAGTCAATTTTTACCTAACGAACTGGAAATTAATCTTCCCTTTAATCAAACGTTTATTCCCCATCACTATGTCTGGGATTCTATATAATTTTAGATCGATTTTATGGGAGATATATCAATTTCAAATAATATTTAACCCTAGATTAACTCCCAAATTATTTTGTAAGCTGCGAATTAGCGCTCGATGATTTTAATCAGATCCCAATCGACGCCACAGATTGTTCATTGCTTAACAAAGCGAAAAATTAATTCTCTAAAATTCATTAACTAAATCACAAAGCGAATCGTTTTGATTAAAATAAACACATTTTGATAGTCGTGTGTTCATCTGGATTTCGACACCTGTTGTCTCTGTAAAACTTCTTCGATTCATATCCATTTCGCCATATATTGCTTGTTCTGTTAACTTTTGTATGAAGATTTGAAAAGTTGACGTGATGGAATTATTATTTAAAGTGATTGATTAGTAAAAAAAGCTTAATGTTTCGAAATCTGAGTAAAACGATTTCTACCTTTAGCGAAACCTGGTTCTAAAAAAATGACTTCCCGTTTGCAAAGAAACTGTGAAAATTCGGGCAAAGACAAAAAATTGAATTCATAATCATAACTTGCCAAATTTGTAGTATTTCTTTGTATATTGCAAACCCATACAGTGACATGCCCAGTATCTCATCTATAGAAGGGTTCAATTTGAAAATAATGTGACATCGTAATATGACGATGAAAGGAATTCTTGCACATTCGTCTAACTACAAAATTATAGTTATTACAAAATACTGATACAATCAAGCAAGGTATATTAAAAAGATTAGGACCTTTTCCCCGCGAACAATTTTCGTCGATCATTTGGTTGGAATTTTGGTGAGCAATTATTCAAACTTCAAAAAGATTGTACCCATTTATAAATATATATTTGGTTAATTACTAAGCTATTTTATGCTGTAAATAATATAATCCATACAACCGTTGTGTAATGCATTAACTCATATTATATTTAGTTTATGTCGCATCCTGCTTTGATTTAACCCAGACTTTCATTTCGTCATTAATATATATCGTCTTTGAGTTTTTGATGAACTAATTTATAACGGTCTATTATTGCAAGACGAGCAATCATATACGCATGTGTATTTGTTGGGCAAACTAAAAAAATTTCAAGTGTTACAAAATGTCGTGATTCACATATGTTCCCCTTCTCGCACACACTTGTCTTAGTTGGGGTGGATATATAATATCTGGAAAATGGTTGAAATGAGCCTATCAAATGGAATTCATGCTATGTCGGGAAAGGGTATATGTTGGAGGATTCATAAGAAGTGAGATTCACACAATTAAGTGTGACAGAAAAGGAACACGGCATTAATAATTCTATTTATTACTCAATGTTAAGTCTCGTTAAGTGTCGTTACGAATTTCTTGAATCTTAGAAATCTGATTCATCATCACTTATACCATGATTGGTATCCCCATTTTTGTAATATTCAACTTCCCTTAGTCACGCAACGTTCCTTTGGGCAACGCTATGGACAGTGGTTTCCAACCTTTTTGGTGTAACGGTACCGCAATAAACATTTCAGGGACTCAAGAAACCCCTGTGCAATAGATTATATGTATATTTGATTATATGATTATATGATAAAATCCGAAACCACAACCTGACGCGAATTACACTAGTGAAACACACGTATTGTATGATTATGTTATACCCGCGTATCTGATTCAAAAAGTATACGATACAAAATCTCGAATTTGAATGCAAACTTGCGGACTTCGCCTGGACTATGCTGGCGGGACCCAAAGGTTCCATAGAACCCCTGTTGAAGACCTCTGTATTACTGTACATGAATTGGTCTCGATCTCGCGTTCTAATGTTTTTAAGTTATAACGTAGTGTCAGATAGTTTGCTTATTATTCAACTTACATACACGATCTAGATTCTAGAATAATTCATATATATATATATATATACGAAGCATTGTGCAACAAAATAAATACAAAGAACTGGCGGCGAATGCGGTGTTTATCGTAAATCAAAGCTGAAATGGCTAAAGTGATTCTCCAAATCCCAATTCTCAAATCCAGTTTTGAAATATACAAGTTTTAAGAAATGTACCGTAAGCATAAATGAAGATTCAAATTGCGCGATATTTTCATACGTGAGGGGGGCGTCTCTCATCGGTCCGATCGAACACTGCAATTTAAGCCAGCGATGCCAAGTGAAGGAAAAACAATAAATAATAGATCGGTCCAAGCAGAACAAACCTGCAATTTTCTCATCGGTCCAACCAGAACAGTAATTTAAGCCAGCGATGCCAGCTATAAATAGGTCAGTGAAGGAAAGGAAAAACTGAGAGATAATAAGCGGGGCCAGCGTCAAGCCGCCTCATCTAGCAGAACCATGAGGCCTTCGAGCAGAACAACCTGCCTCATGGAACAGCGAGAACGGTGGCTAGCTGCAAGCCAACGATCAACAAACAGCCAGGATGCCTCATCGAGCATAACCATGAGTCCATCGAGCAGAACAACCTGCCTCATGGCACAGCGATAAAGGATATCAGCGAGGAAGGTGCCTAGCTGCAAGCCAACGATCAACCAGCCAGGATAGTAAATAAAAATAGAGTAAGGAGTGATGAGATATAAAAAAAATTGCGAGGCCTAGTCGTCCGTCGTTCCAATCAAAAAGGAAGGGAGGAAGAATTACAACAGATCAGCGTGGGGTTCCAGCTAGCTGCAGGCGAAAAGTATCGAAAAACATCGAGAGCGATAAGCAAAAACTGTAGGACAGCGATAGCATCAGCGAGAGGGATGATCAGATCAACAGCAGAAGAAGAAAATAGCAGCCAAAAATAACCCGCAAAAGCCGGTCAGAGGAAGAAGAAGAGACATTCTCATTTCCAAAGCACTGAGACCCCCCATCCACAAGCAGTGAGGTCAGAGGGAAAAAATAAAATAAATCCAAGCTGAGAAGAAATAAATTAAATGAAAAAAGCATCCGTCAACAAATAACGAATCCTAGCTGGGAAGAAATAAAATGAAAAAAAGCAAGTCGGCAGTGAAGACCAAGGGGAAAAAAGAATAATGACAATGAAAAAGGGGGTAGAGCCAAAACAGAAATGAAATGGAGACATTCAAGCAAGCAAATTTGTGAAGTTAAAACGTTAAGGTGAGAAATGAGAATAGAAAAATATCAGGAGCAGGCAATTTGAGTGAAAATATAAAGCAGTGGGACTCCCGAAGTAATCAAAAGTAAGATTGATTGTGAAAGAAAATGGAAAAATCATATTATGTTTAACCGGAGACAAGCAAGCAAATGTGTGAAGTTAAAACGTTAAGGTGAGAAATGAGAATAGAAAAATATGAGGGGCCGACAATTTGAGTGAAAATATAAAGAAGCAGTAAGGCTCCAGAAGTAATCAAAAGTAAGATTGATTGTGAAAGAAAATGGTAAAATCATATTATGTTTAACCGGAGACAAGCAAGCAAATGTGTGAAGTTAAAACGTTAAGGTGAGAAATGAGAATAGAAAAATATGAGGGGCAGACAATTTGAGTGAAAATATAAAGAAGCAGTAAGGCTCCAGAAGTAATCAAAAGTAAGATTGATTGTGAAAGAAAATGGAAAAATCATATTATGTTTAACCGGAGGCACCAGGCGGTATGTTAGTCGTTGGCACCAGGGAACCGTTTCCCCCCAAAATTATGCAAAATGATCGTGATTGGCCATGAAATGACCGGCCCTGACCCTACATGAACTGATTATCGGACGAGAAGGCAAAATTTATTGCTTCCGTCAAACCAGAAAAAACGATCACACATATATATACAAAATAAGAATATAAATTGGTACAGGTGCTACAGCAGATATGAGCAAACTACCTCCCGCAAGCCAAATCCGACCCGTTGGGTAGTTCAATCAGGCCCTCCTGACTGCCTGATGCCGCAACCACCAAAGTAAAACAAATTTTGATGTTGGGCTAGAAAATACCTCAAGGAAGGAAGGATTTACATATTTATCCCGGGGGAAAGGAAAGCCGATAAGACGGCTTAATCATATGGCGAACCACGACCTCTCGTCCGGTTACCGGTCCAGGTCGGGTATGGGATTAGTTAGCCAGTTATTTGTTTTCGGAAGCATGGAGTTGATGACTTGATTGGAACGAGGCTCATTGTTTTTCACTTTTGTTTTTGTAACAGTGTAAATATTGTTCATAAAATGTAACTTCTTACGGCACACTTACTGACCCACCAGTCTACGGAGGCGAAATTTTTGGCCCCTGATCCCAAAACCGTGCCCATTCCTGTTTTTGCCTATTTTAAGTATTGTGAGAAATAAACTAGAGATGTACCGTACCACTTTTGTCGCCGATACCAGCTAAAAACGCCGATACCGATACGCCGATACTACAAAAAGGCCGATATTACCAATATTCCGATACTATGTAATTATTACTTAATTAGGTATGCTGTGTAGGGCAGACGGGTTAAAACAATGGTCTTTAAGCGTTGTTCATAGTACACATTATTTCAGATCGAAAAAAAAGATATATATATCACATAATATGAAATTAATGTTTGGTATCCATATGCTGTAACTGATTAAGATATATTGTACAGTAACGCTAGTAATCTCGGTGTTCAATTAGAAAACTCATAAGCCGGGATGTCCAATTTGAATTTAATGTTAATATCGCGAGCTTCGAATATCGTTATTCGTGTTTAAAAGAATATCGAATATCACCCACACATTCTAGCGCCGCCGTCCTACGTTCAAATTAAAAGCATTTTACAAATATTTAATTTAGTGGCTAATCGTAATCGTCGACGCAATAAGTCAAAGCCAACATGAAAGAATATCAATCAGCACCGACAAAAAGAAAGCCCACCGATAACCGTTAGGATGTTTTTTACTTCACTATTTGATAATATTTTACAATTGTTATCATATATTTTGAGACAGTCTAGGGCTAGGCGGTCAAGTCAATATATCTATAAAGAAATCGTGTAGTTAAGCAGAATTAAAATTAATACCTGTGTAGTGGGATAATTGTGTCGGAATTTAGTTTATCGATGTCGACGGACTAAATGACATTCGTACTTGACGACAAACAGACAGGATTTATACCCGTGCCAAAAGTCCATGTGCCGTTAATAAGGAAGGACCCCAATTCCACTGTATGATTTAAAACTGGGCGCCTAGTTGCTTTTTGTTATGTGCTGTGTTGATATATTTCTCCATAAAAACTATGTAATATTAAAAATGTCAATATAAAAATTTGACAGCGAAAATAGCCAAATTAGTTGAGCTAGTTTAGCTGATAAATAGCTAAAAACACGTGAATCCTATTCTTTCGCGGGGGTGGGGACATGTATGGCTCATAGCTCACGTCTCTCCAGACAAAAATAAATTGAAAGGTAGTATTCCAACTTATCTTTTAAAACATTCTGGACCATATCAAAAAGGTAAATATATCGGTAATATCGGCCTTAATCTAACCGATACCGATACATGGCCGATACCGAAAAAATGGCCGATATTGCCGATACCGATACATCGGTACATCTCTAAAATAAACTACTGATTACTACACTGCGCGATGTTTGTGGAGTCATTTGTAAATCGCCTCCAAGTGTTGACATTTCAATAAGAATCATATAGGCCTACAGTAGATAGGCCAGTACGGTACTCCTGTACTCGTATAAAAAAACGGAAGCAACAAATTGAATTTATAGCAAATTTTCCTTTTGGATTACAAATATCAGCATCAAGACTATCCAGTTTCCGGTACCGTACCTAGCGTTGTGCAATTCAGTTTGGAAGGAAGGAAGGATTTGCATATTTATCCCGGGGGAGAGGGGAAAAGACTTGCAGACTTTATTACAGTATTACCGTATGGTGACAGGTTGGGAAGTTGCTCTAATCTCTGAATCTTGGATTTGCAATTGTATGGTGCTGCAGTAGAAAGCAACTTAAAAATGCATGGATTTATGGTAACGGTACGGTACCGTACCATACTGCCATACCAGTCTGCCAGTGAATTTTCCAATGACTGAATGAGCTGTAATTAAGTGGAAAGAATAGGATAGGATTTACATATTTATCTCGGGGGGGGGAGAGAAGAGCGGATAAGAAGGCTTAACGATATGGCGAACCACGGCCTCTCGCCATTCAGAGGTGCGGTGGCGAGCATGTTCTTAAGGCTTAGCACGATGAGCCACACCACCACGCCGAGTGTTTTAGTAATTGGAAGAAATGACGATTTCCATCTGCTTATTCGACAGCCTTCAGGCTTTGTTATACAGTTATATGAAAAAATATTGTTAAAAAAGTAAGGACAATTCAGAGATAGCCAGTTTTCTGGATTTAATAGTTTAATGATATAGGTAATGTCAGTACGGCACTCTATCGAAATTTCAAGAGTTTCCCTCCATTTGGTTCAATGAAACAAACACTCCATGTGTCTCACAATCGGCCATCACGTGACCAAAATTGCCGTATTTTTCTAAAAACTCTCGATGCCACGGCTGCACGGTAAATTTTTTTCCTTTGTTAAATCGGATTATTTTTTCCCAAGGAATTCATTGATATGACGTTATTAGATTGCGCTTTTCTTGTAGTATTTTGCACAACCTCATTATACTGTATTTTTACCAATATTGGGGGACAGCAATGTCCAGACGTCTCCCAAAGGAGGGGTGTGTGATAAATGGGTCTGTCTGAAACGAGACAATGTTACTCAATCTGTATAGTGTGCTGTACTGAATGTAGGGGGATACTGTAAATACTGAAATTGTTGAAGATTAGCGTCTAGTCAAATTTAGAGCTTATAAACTTTGTGTTTATTCACAGAAAATGAGGCTCGATTGCGGTGACTGTATAATTTGTTAATAAAAATGATGTATTTTGTTATTCTATTATTAAATTTTTCATTATTCTGTTATTACAATTGAGTGAAGGCGAACTTTTATCGCAAAAAAGTCTGAAAGTGATCCCAGTTATATGCATTGGACACTAGAAAATTTTCATAAAAACACCAAAAACGGTGCAGGCAATTTCAGAATTTAGTACAGTTTTGACCTCACTATTTTAACTAGTCAGCCTAATCTAAAAAACAAGAAAGCGGGATATACCATCAAGACCTATTTCTAATAATTTTCCAATTCTTAATATTAATAAATCTAACAAAAATACTGAAATACAAAATCATATTTGACTGCAATTATGCTAACAATACTGATTATAATCTTTCATCATCAAGGTGTTATATCGAGTCTTATTAATAGTAATGCGGAAATGAGGATTTTTACTCAGCAACTATAAAAAACTGAAAAAGAAGTCTTCCAGTGGTGCCTAGCCTAATATATTTATCCAGTACACCCATCTTTCTACACTTGGTAATCATGGCGGATGACAGAAGTCTAGATCTTAGACCAGGGATAAAGTTTCTCAATGTTTTGTTACTCGGATTCACATTCATGCTGGTGTTCACCGGATTTCAAACATGTGGGATGGTCGAAGTAAGCTTCTTTTTTTATTAGCCTTGTTCATTAGTTTTGTCTGTAATATTACTTAAAAATCTTCATTCAGGTTGTCAAATCGTAAAATTTAATTATAGGATGATGAAAAATGTTTTGTCATGTCGAATTAATACTTAGATGTTGGAAACAGCAGTGACTTGATGTGGGACTATGAAATTTTTAGAGAATTGCTATTGCAGTATTGACCCGATATTCTACTGACCTGCCATCTTTCTTGTCATCCTGCTTCATTTTAACCCAGTCATTTTGAAAAATTATGTATTGTACTTGGATAATCATCACTGCATAAGGCTACTTTGTAGTTATTTGTATAAATTCTTTCTAAACATACATTTGTTATTTTCAGCAAACTGTTCTGGAAAGCTACAAACAAATTCATCCTGATTTCAATGGAGTTGGGTATACAAGGTATGTCATAATTATTATTTATATGAAAATATAGTTATTGTGAAGGCAATGAATAGTATTTTACCCATGTTGGGAGTTTGTTATTAGAGTCTTACAGACAGAAATTATATTTTGACAGTGTTTCAGTTGGTGAGTAATTATCCTATCCTAATAGCAGTTTCTCATCCAAAGAACATTCCATGACTATGATTTAGGATTGTTGTTTTTTACTTTTCATATTGTGAGTTATTTTGTGCTCTTGTGTTAGCAAATGAGGCACAATGAAATTGTTTTATTATGTAGCCATTTCATCCCCTTTCATGGATAATCATGTTTATTTTGATCGGTCAGTCAATGTCAGAAAGAATATTCCAGTGTTTATTTATCTTGAATCTTTTCATCATGTTTTATATATTTCCTTCCATCAATTTTAGTTTGGCGATTATCTACACAGTTTTTGCTGTTGCAAACTGGGTTGCACCTTCCATTGTGTCAATCATTGGACCAAAATATTCAATGATCATTTCTGCTGTTACTTATACGTAAGGATATTTATTAACGAATTACTGTATGTTATTCATGTTTTAGTTTTGAATTGATAGAAGCTTCAAATTCATAATGTTTGTATCTTGTATGCATGTATGATGGAAAAGTTTGGTAAAGTTGAAGGACTGTGATTTTTGGCTGTCAGTTAATGATTGTAATTTGGTATGTTATTAACAGTGCTATTGCATCTGAAATTAGAGTTGGATTTTTAGTTTTCATTGACATCATAGTCATAGCTGGAGTGTATTTTTCTCAGAGTCAAAACTGTTAAATTCTTTGGAGTTGTGATCCGAATTTCAAATTGTTATTGATGGCGATTGAAGTCAATTTTTCGTAACTCTAAAAGCATTAAGTTTGCTTAGTGTTCTTATCAGAGAATTAATAAACAACGTATAATCTAAAGTTTTTGTGATAAAAATAGGGTTGTAGTGTAGAAATATCTCTGAAACTGAAGTCAAGAACCAGTGTCTGAGGTACATTTTTGTCAAGGTGCAGGCTAAATCATGTCAAGTACTAATATGTCAGAGTTGTTCGGGTTTTTTTTCTTGACCTCATATCCTTGGTTATAACGACCTTCCTGGATCTTCCTGTCCAGTTTAGCCTGTTTATCAACTTTAAATAACACTTGAATGCCAATTCAAGAAAATTTTTATTCAGTCATGTGACTCAATTTTTTTATGTTATCATTTACCACTTGTGTTTAATTTTATACTTATTAATAATATTTTATGTCATATACTTCCAGAGCATACATCGCTACTTTTATCAAACCAATGACCGTCACATTGTATTTGGGTTCTGTTCTAATCGGAATTGGTGCTGCAGGTATTTGTTATTATTTATAATTATATTCTATTGTCCCAAAATGCTAACCTTACTGTCTTATTGGAAGTATACACAAATTAATGTTGCATTTGTGTATATATGTCTCCGTATCCTAATAATTGCAATCAAATAATATTCACAAATTGTTCAACTGGGTTGGATTGGGCTAATAGAACACTGGTGATGAAATTTATACGTTGAATCTCATATTGGATAAATACCTCGCAAATGATATGGATATGCAGTGTGTATTCACCATTAAAAGGATTTTTAATACATAATATGGCTAAGATCATATAGTATTTCATACCTTTATTTTTAGTGCTATGGACAGCACAAGGAAATTTTTTGACCCTGAACTCAGATGATCATACAATGGGAAGAAACAGTGGAATATTTTGGGCGTTGTTGCAATGCAGTCTTCTCATTGGCAATTTATATGTTTACTTCGCATGGAGAGGGGTAAAGGTAATTAAAGGTACGGTAGTCCAAAAGTTGTGAATGTCTTTTTTTATTAAAAATATTAAAATACTTCTTTCCGTTTTTAATATGAAATTTACAGATATAAAACAACAATATATTACAGTATCATCTCAAATATTCTCAAATGAAAATTAGGCTTACACTACAATCATTAGATTTTTCTGCAGCAAGATTGGGGATATTATGGAGGTATGTTTTGTTAGATCTGGAGCCAAGCTTGCCGTAACAGATGAATCCGGAGCTGGAGCTACCAGAAATTCGAGTTGTAGTGATATTGAGTAGCAATACTCAATAATATGCGTTTAAACAATGTCAAATTTTCCAGTCATTTTGTTTTGTTTGCTGCATAACAAAGGTCCTGTTTGCATTTCAAATATCTGTTTGTTTATGAGATGTAGTATCACATGATATGTGGTAATAGTTCACTACAGATCACAAACATTTACTCATTACGATGATATGCTGACTTGCAATTAAGCACCCTAATTACTTAAATCTTATTTATCATATAGTAAAGACTTTTGGTGATATACTTTTTGTTATTCGATATTTTTCATTCATATTGAACCTAACAGTTGGGAGGTTTATTGAGTGATATACTCACTTTTTGGTTTTTGGTATTTTGCATTCATATGGAAACACATGCCTTAAATTGGTTCAGCATATGAACATAAGTACATAACAGTTCATGACATTTTGAAAAGGTTGTAGGAATACCATACCACATTACAAATCACTTAATTATTATTTGCCTTGTTCCTAAAAAAGTCACATCCTATCTTTGCCCCTGCTCTATACAATGCATGGATTTTACTTGAATCTTGCATATAAGGAAGTTTTTACGCGAAAACCTTTTTTTTTGGGAACTTCAGTTTTATGTTGATTTACTACCTACTCTAACTACTGTAACTAAAACTAAGGTCAGAATACAGTAACAAACATTGCCCTATTTCGACAAGAGAAAATCTCAGATTTTTGAGAACAACATGGGATAGAAATTTCTTATTTACTCTCGAGTGAGGAGGTTCAACCGATAATGCAACTAAATCACATGGCGAACCGCATCCTCTTGTCTGGTTAACAGTCCTGACATTGATTGTCCAATTCACGAATAAAACCATTTCAAGACTCTGATTTCCAGCTTAGTCTTTAATTTGCAAAGCAATGTACATCTCTTATGGGGGGATAGTTCAACAAAATACAATCTATCTGTATTGTACTCTACTTTTTTAATATAAGCCGACCCCCATAAAATCGTCCCTAAAACTGTGAATTTATAAAAATATGCATATAAGTCGGCCCTACAAATCATACGCTTGTACGAGATATACATGTATAAGCCGAATTTTTAGTGCGATCAGAGTTATGCGTGTATGAGCTGACCTCTTAGTTTGGCAACTTTATTTCTAGTTTTAAGCTTATATGTGAAGATATTTGACAAGCTGTTATTTCAGAAGCATGGACAGTTTATCTAGTTATACAAGTTCATTAATTCTTTTCTTATCATGCTTTTATTTAAATACTCTCTACCAGATGCACAACGTGTACCATTGTTTATTGGTTTGACTGCAATCAGTGGTGTGGGTACTATACTCATGTTTTTCCTTCGATCTCATCCTAAATCTGGTACAAAAATGACCGAAGATCATAGAAATTTACTTGATGATGGAAGTGATGAGAGGCGAGTGAATACCGGGTTTGTTGCTGCTTGATTCGTCTTTTCATTTGCATGAACTAATAGCAATCATTAGATTTATTAATTAATAAGTAAAGCATTAATTTCAATTTATATTCAGAATTTCGCAATGGATTGTTTTGCCTGCTGTTGCTATTGAAGCTTATTTATTGCTGTAGTGCTTCCTTGTTCTAGTACCATGGCTCCCAAACTTTTTAAAAAAAATTCCATGACGGACTCCTCGCAATTTTTTTTAATGATTCCCGCCTGGCCTTGTGCACTAAAAGAAAACATCACAACAAAAAATCAGTGCGTCATATAGTAAAAAACGTTTAAACGAACAAAAGTGTATGACAAAGTTAAAGGAGATGGGTGGACCAACAAATGTGCATAAAGACAGCATCAGCTACACCTCTGTAGTTAACTTGTAATGGCAGCAATTAAACTCCCTCTGTGATATTCCATGCCAACAGCTCTGTGACATCACAATGGGGCAGGGGAAAACAGAAAGTGAAAAATCACTAGCTCCAGCAGTGATTGCGAAGCAGCAAAAGGCGACAAATTTTTTATTTATTTATTTGCAAATTTGGGCACTTAATTTTTGTATTATCAAGGTATGAGCCATATAACAGATTAAGTTCGCGGACCCTCCGAAAGTGCTTCACGGACCCCAAAAGGTCCGCGGACCCCACTTTGGGAACCACTGTTTTAGTAGAATGGTTCTTAACCTTTGCTAACCTGTTCAACAACTGCAAGCATTCACTGAACCACACATTTTTTCGTAGCCGTATCCGACTAGCTTCACGGGAGTGAAAGAAATTTTTGCATTGTACTGCCTTCTATCAATGCTATACTGCTTCAAACTCTTTGATTTATGATTTTACACTGATTTTGCTTCATGTATTCTTGCTAACTTTTTTATGCCAATCATCAATTAATTATTGGTTGTGGAAACTCATTTATCCTTTGTATAAAGCAGCTTTTGAAGAATTCCCTGTTTCAATCAATTATTACATTGTGTTTTCTTGGTAGAAATTTTTTTATCATGTTCCTATTTCAGTAGGCTATTAGTTTTGTTTGCGCTATGATTTATATCTGTGCAGCATTTGAAAAATTTGCCCAGAGAAATAGTCTGTAAGGAAGTAGCAATTCCAACCTTGCTGAATCTCCAAAAGTAGATTGAAGAAATTTATTTCCTATTTTTTTTATTCTTCCAGCAGATCATATTCAAATTCGATTGAAGCAAATGATGAAGGATCTCAGAATTATCTTGATCATATTTCAGAAGAAGATGAAGCTTCAGAAAGTACTGTAAAAAGGTATTTGTTTTTAAAATTTTCATTACTAGAGTGAAAGTAATTGAGTAATTTGCTATCACAATGACTTGTCTACTCAATTCAAAAGTCTTGCTGCACACTTACACAAATATATTTCTGTAACGTTTCGTCTGACCGAGGTCAGACTTCTTCATTGTTTATTATTCTGATCGGTGGTTTGAATGGTTGGAGAATATGCGTCGTATGAACAAGGCAGTATGACATTATCATTTATAAGGATACATAAGGACTTTCAACACTGATTGATTACACAATTGAAAGGGCAGGAAGTCGAAATTTGAAAGTTTGATTTCGTAGTGGTGTAAATTCCTGTATATTACATCTCTGTTTCCAACAGTCCTGACATTGATTGTCCAATTCATGAATAAAACCATTTCAAGACTCTGATTTCCAGCTTAGTCCTTAATTTGCAAAGCTATGGGGGGATACTTCAACAAAATACAATCTATCTGTATCGTACTCTACTTTTTTAAGATAATGAGCTGGTTTGGTTGAATAAGTATGTACTGTCTATATCTATAACATCTAAACCAATTTCCATATTTCAGTTCATCTGGTGGAAAAGCATCTGGAGCATGGATGGCATTTCGTAAGTGTTGAGTTATTTGATATTGATGCCTAATTCCATTTCCAATAGGTTGTTTATTTGCAATTTTGATCTGCACTAATATTACTTAAAAGTTTATCAACCATCCCCACATTATAGGCCATTATAGGTCAGGCCATTTGGACTTTATTATATTGGCATTGAAAGCTGATAATCACAAGTGGGCAATGTCGACCTAGAAAGATATTGGTCCTTCAAAAGACAGTTCCCACATGGTCATCAGTCAGATTCAGACCAACTCAGCATCTGAGCGTCATGTCAAAGTGTGACGCAAAATATTTGAACCACTCGTAGTTTTCTTGATTCTTTACATCCTTTCATTGCACTAACACATAAACAGTGAGAAAAGGAGCAGTAGACATTTAAAAACTCTCCTTTTTTCAACAATATACACCTTGATTATTTTGTTGCTAATCCTCCTTTCAGTGAAAGCGATTGAATTATTTAAAACTACGGATATGATGTTATTAAGCATTACATTCCTTTACACTGGATTTGAGTTGACATTCTTCAGTGGAGTTTATGCAACAAGTGTTGGTGCTACTTTACAATTTGGTGAAGATGCGGACAAATATGTTGGACTTACAGGGATAATGATTGGCGTTGGAGAAATTTTTGGTCAGTATACTCTTTAGTCCAGTGGTTCTCAAACTTTTTTTGCCCACAGCGCACTAAGCCAATGAGAAAATTTTGTGGCACTCTTGTAAAAAAAATAAAGTTAGCTTTGAACAAATTATTTGGCAAATGTTAATGCGATGTGTGTACCTGTTTGTGAAACAATTAAAATGAGGATTTGTTGCTCCTTTTTTGCTTCTAATTTCAGTCATAGCAGAAAATCTGTGTTCACAGAGCCATGAAAATGCAAAGGGCTAGTTTATTTTGGTGGCCCCTGTACCTATGATCGAATAGAATTTGTGAGCAGATAGCCAAAACTCATTCAAACTTGCTTTCCTGTTAGCCTAACTAATCACGCAAGCCAACCTGGTGGATGGTGGAACTTGGAAGTCTTTTTACAATACATTATGACATGTCAATGCAATTAAAACGTGACAATTACCTTTATTACATCGGCAAATCAAATGCACTAATATCATCTGGTATCTAATCGTTCTAATGGATAGTGCATACTCAAGTCTCACAAGCTTGCCGCTGCATGGATGCCTATGTGTAATATGAATAGCTTATTTTCTAAAATTACAAAAAGCTCGGCGGCACACCTGAGAATCTTTTACGGCACACTAGTGTGCCGCGGCACACAGTTTCAGAAACACTGCTTTAATCTAGCTGGTATTTATTTATACTTAGATTGAATTTGAAACAACAATGTGACAAGGTGATATTACGGTATACCTGTAGTATGTGAACCAAGATGGCAGACACCGAAACGTAGTACGTGTATCAGGTTAGGGTTAGGCCATAATTTCAGGTACAAGTACTACGGGAGTCACTTGGCTAGTCTCCGATGTCGGCCATCTTGGTTCACATACTACGGGAGCGTCCATATTACTTTTAAACATAATGTAGGGTTTGAAAAAGGATTTTATTAATATATATATATATTATGGTGGACCCACATAAAATGGTTAGCTACTGCTATTTGAGATTGAGAAACTTTCAATTGTCAACCTCCGCTACCTGACCATCATTGAATACATGGATGAATTTGCTTTGTTTATATCATTGAAGTTATTGCTAGTCATAGAAACAGGCTTACCATCCCGTTAATAAATCTACCAGGGTCAAAGGTTCAAGTTCTGTGGAGAATAGTAATGTGCGAGAGGATTGCTAAATTCTTATCACTTTATCAGTAACAGATTAGGTAACAACTTCCTACACTATCCAAATCCATGCATCTTGAACAATTAACAGGTTTAAGTTCTTTTATCCCCTGCTAGACTGGTGAAGTATGAAAGGATATAGTCTGTCATGTTGTCTCATCAATTTTCCTTTTTTCTGGGATAAATTTTAACATTTTACTTATAGACTATTCTAAAAAACTGATCACCAATGTAAACCCTTTGTTCCGCCTCTTTTTGGTCAGTGTTTTGTCTGTCACCCCGAGAGGTTGTTATATTGTTACTAAAGCTTGTTTAAAATTCTAGGTGGCCTAATATTTGGTATCTTTGGAAGACGAACAGTAAAGTATGGAAGATCTCCAGTTGTATTTCTGGGTTTCTTTCTTCACCTCGCAGCATTTTTCCTGATATTCCTAAACATTCCTGATGAAGCCCCACTGCATCAAACACATGAAGTCGCCTATATAGATCCAAAGTATGTTGAATATTTGTTTTCCTTATTAATTTTCATAATTTTATCTTTTTTCTATAAGAGAAAGCACAGTTGGCTGGAATTGAACTTGATATGAAAGTCAAGCAACACTGAACAAATGTAACAAAGTTCTTGAATCCTTCATATAATTTTTTCTGGGTGCTCCTGAAGTATGTGCACCAAGATAACCTGAACATAGTATATGTACCAGGTTAGGGTTATCAGGTTGTGTGCCATCTTGGTGCACATACTTCTGGAACGCCATTTTCTGTCAGCAGCCTAAAACGTTTTGAGGAACTGGAAGATTTCTTCGGATTCATCTTAGTATAATATGTATTTAACAAGAGACACCAATGGTAAAAATACACGAAAGTTCAATGCCTAACCAAAGTAACGAAAGCTCATGCGACCTAAACATAGCCTATCTGATCATCAAATCAAAATTATAAATCAAGTCTAAAGCCTTCTAGCAGCTCCAACCATCTTACTGAAACTTTGACATTGATCCATTAGTTTTGGAGAGATAGGGATTCCTTATACAATATCATGCACAAGTTATTTCTTATCCATTTTAATCGGTAAGTATGTTGATAGGTATTTGTCTGTTTGTCTGTCTGTTAGATGCACGCGATATCTCACGAAAGCGAGATTGAATCTGCTCCAGATTTTGCATGTGCATTCATCATATGTCAGACCAGAAGCCTATTGATTTTGATTGAATTATGTCGTATAATTAGCGAGTTATTAATTAATTAGTGATGGGACACAAGGTGTCACTATGGAGTAAGAGCGCTGTTTTGGGGGATCCCCTAACTTTCGATCGATAAGTCTTTGGTCTCTGACCGATATTCTCGTTTTGTATGATTGATGCCATCAACTTGTAGTAGAAATTGTGGAGTGGACTCATTTGAAAGAAGGAAATCCTCACAGGATATATTTCAAATGAACCTAATGTTATTAGAAAGAATGTATTTTAATATTTTGTGGGCATTTGTGTAGTGGTCAAAGCGTTGGACTTGCCTCGTTGATTACATATCTTGTACAAGCCAACCACCTCACCCAGAATGTAATAAAATTGAGCAGGCAATGACGAAGAGATCTCAGAAATAGTAGCAACTTATTACTTATCGATCTTAAGATCGGTAAGTATGTTGATGGGTATTTGTCTGTCTGTCTGTTAGATGCGCGCGATATCTCACGGAAGCGACATTGAATCTGCTCCAAATTTTGCATGTTCATTCATTATAGCTCGGACCAGAAGCCTATTGATTTTGGATGAATTATGTCGTGTAATTAGCGAGTTATCAATTAACTAGTGATGGGACACGCGGTGTCACTATAGGGTCAGAGTGAATGAATGGGGGATCCCCTAACTTTCAATCGATATGTCTTCGGTCTCCCACCGATATTCTCGTATGTTAGTGGCTACTCACACAACACATTGTGAAAGGTGTGAAAAGCCCTCATAGAAAAAATTGCTGAATTTGACGTTAAAATACGATCATACTTTACATCAAGGTATGTAACAGATTTTGAGTTAAACCAGATTCCTTTATATATTTCAACACTGTGCTCATCCTATACCCCAGATAGACAATGAAACATGCATTGATTTACACAAAGTTTTTTAGGTTTATTTGATCAAAAAACAATAAACACGTGTTAGGTAATACATTTATAGTTTTTGTGATAGTTCTGAAACAAAAAATTTGAAGATTTTAGATATTTTTTTAAGTTGGAGGTTGACATATATAGACAAATTGAGTTTTCGGAATGACGCACTTCAGTTGAAAGAAATTTGGAAAAAAGTTTGCAGTTAAAAATGTATGAAACAACCCACACCATTTATATCACACAGAGGTTAGAGTGTCTTGGTTGTCCACTTAGGCATCCAGGTCTTGAATTTCATATTTCAAACTTGAAAACTTTAAAGCCTACATAATTAACCTGGTATGCCAATCACCACCCAGGCCTCATCGCACCCATGAACAGTCACAGTGCTACTGAATCTGAGTTGAACCATCATATTTGGTTCATAGCATGTCCACGATTAGTATGGATAAAACCTTTTACATGGTGTTCATCAAGATTCAGTCCACTATATAGTTGTCTGAATGTCTCAATATCCAGTACCTGCATTTCCAAGGCTCAATGTTTTAAGATTAATTCAGTTTATGACTGCAGCTTAGAAGATAATCATTAAGTTTGGTCTTGTTCTGTTGCAGTGCCTGATGTTGTTTAAGCGAGTCCGACAGGTCTTCTTTTCAAGTTCTTGTCACTTGCAAATGTGCGAAAGATGGATGTCATTGATATTGGATGACTATCTAGTTCCCTTATATTGAAGTGCACTTCATATTATTGTCAATTTTGTTGCTTTCAAGATCAACTATTGAAAGTGTGTTCTGAAAATGAAACTATGTAAATGCTGTGTTTAATTGTGTGCCTAATTTTAAGATGTAGGCTACTTTATTGGGAACACTGGATTGTAATGTTCATATCAAGGGATATTGGTTTTCCCTGTTTATAAATAGTCAATGAATAAATATTTTTAAAACCAAACAAGTAGAATTTGTGAAATTCAATTACCATGAAAATTAAAAAAAACAGTATAGGAATTAAAAATTTTCGAAAACACTCTCAGCAACTCGAATTTTTTCACAGCCAAGTTGAAAATGGGGATTATCACAACATGATTTCATGTTAATCCAATAGAAATTTTTGAAATAAAACTCACCCTGTCATTTCTTTTTGAATTTACACTTGATCGTGAATACATCAATTTATTTTGTGTTTTCTCCCGCTTTCCAAGTGCTAACCAGAACGCATCTCTTGTCGCTGGCATTCTCCAGTAATATAAAATTGGATTGAGTAATGCATTGATAAAACTTATAGTGAGGATGATCTATAAAAATCGGAAAAATGAACATTGAACACATCTGTAATAAATAAATTCAAATGTTATGTATTTTACTGAATTAATCAGTTCGCTTTCAATAATAGAAACTGCAGAATATACTATGATTCATGTTTGATTGGATGATAGTATACTGTACTGAATGGAACATGAAGTCGATTTAGTTTCCATTGGCGAGATGATTCCCCATTCTTTTGCTTCTTAAAAACATTTCTTTGCTCAAATTGCGATGGAACTATTTGTGAGTTTGTGAAATACAAGTATCGTAGAACTATCAGTAGAGGTTGCGCGAGACTAACTCCCAATCCTTCCCCAATGGAACGTATGCATTTGTGTTAGTGTGCAGCAGGATTCTTGAATTGCATAGTACTGTAGAATCTTGTACACTTCCAGTTTTCAACAATCTTATATCAATATTCTGTACTATTTTAGTTTTGACTAATTTTTCGGGATCTATAGATTCAGATGTATTCCAGACTACCTACATTTCATCTCAATCACAGAAAATTGGGTACTCCCGTAGTGTGTGTACCAGGTTAGGGTTAAGCCATAATTTGATTCCGATTTTCCTTATTTAAGTTTTTTACGAGTTCGGGAGCTGTCTGTGTTAGCCAAGTGAACATAACCCTGCCTATAGGTTTCAGTACATTTACACAACTTGACGTAAAGTAGGCAAACAAAATTAGTACCTCCATACTGGTACACACACTTCTGCAGCGCCGAAAATTGAAAAAAACTTTTTGTATGTCACTCACCTGAAAAGCATCCACTAAAGCAGTATTTTGCTCAACTATAATATAGTCAAATATCAGTACCACACCCACTGGACAATGACATAAAAAGAAAATTGATAGAATGATCATCATTGTGTTGAATAATTGCCGTTCTGTATCTTTATTTGTGCTTGTCTGTGCTGTCATACCTTTAACTGCTTCCAGCCTGTGACAAGAGAATAATTAAAGTTATCTAATATGACATGATAATAATATGTATATCTGTCCATTGATTATGCTTGGATTGGCTCACAAGCATACTGGTAACTTATAACTTATTTATATTTCATTTATTAACAATCCATTATTATTTGCCAAAATAGGTTTTTTATTTTCTGGAATAAATTTTAAATGCCTGTCCAATGTTAAATTTATAGCTGGTTGAATAGATGGAATCTAATTGCAGCTACCGCTATTCAAATTAAGTTATAAGTTTAGTTAAATTTCCCCTTTTTTCATATCTTAAAAACTCAAACTACGCCAAATCTTGTGTCTGTCGGCTAGAACTTCATGCACCACCTTAAATTAATATAATCTCGATAGCTATTTGCATTCTAGTAGTTGCCCATAACTTTGTTTGGCGGTGACAATTGGTTTTCTTTATCTCCAACTGAGTGAGTGTGCGTGACATTGCTTTGATCAAATTCTCTTGTCTTGAGATTAGTAATCTGTGGTACATTTGCTCTAATAATCTCTCAAATATCTATGATATAAATTGTTTTCTATTTTTGAGATAATGAAAATGTATTCTACTTTTCGTCAAGAGTTGTTGTTTGTTAAATAATATTAGTATTGTTTTTCATCGAGCAATACAGCTACACACCATTCACCAGATGCATGCTTACAGAAAGAACCATAATTTATCTTACTAGCAATTCTTGTAAATAATTACTGTAATACCTTACACAAATCTATGTGGCTATGTCAGTATGTCAAATTAAATTTTTGCAAACCACTGCATCTTATGAGACTAGAAAAACTTCAAAGGGCGTACAAAAGTGCAAATCATAAAAGATGATTGTTTCATATTTTATGGTTCATTCTGAAACATTCATCATTCTTTTTGAAATTGTGTAAAAAATTGAAAGAGATTATTTTATGTTCTTCACTATGAATCTGGCTTTCTTATTGACAATATAACTGTGCAGGAATCATATTTATGTAAAGTTTTCTGAGATGAAATATAATAAATCAAATTAGTTATTGTGTATGTAATAATGATTAAAATATTTAATTTAGTAAAGCAAATAAATGTCATGCAATTCAAACATTATTCAAAGCTCTTTGAAACTGATTATGCATTGGGGAGTGATTTCGTCTTTGAAGTATGAAGTGAAATATTTTCTCTTTCGAAATATCTCTAGATACTTGAAAGTTTCCGTAAATATAGAGTATTTCTCATAAAATTTCTCAACTGCTCTAATCACAAGAGTTCAGAATCAGCTATTTTTTGGTATACACCTACAATTCACCCATCACTTTACTTGACAAGCGTTTGAATTAAAATAGTGCATTTGCGTCAGGCATGACACCAAGATTACAACAATTTTACTTGTCTGAAACCTTTCGTTGTTTACGTTGGGCTCGTATTATCATACGATGCCATCTTTGGGACACTTTTCTTGTGTTTCCTGATGCAGCCTGGTGAGCCTGCTCAGATTTTATAAAATGTGACCAACTCCTGAAATATTTATTGACATAAAAAGGTTCATTATGGTGGTCGGGAACAGATTAATATTATGCTTTGCCCAATTCGGATATTCTGAAGTTCCAGGAAATTTTTGACCCTCTGAATGTGTATTTCTGAATCGCTAAACTTTTTTAAATTTTTGGCTGCACCCCTGCTGGTGCCCACAGTGTTAGGTAGGTTTGTATAAAACATCTTTGCGCCTTGTCTACTTAACCTACCGTTTATGCACCAACATGAAGATCCAAACGTACAGAACGCTTAACCATATTATAGAGAAGAACAGCAGAGAAACAAGCATGAGAACATATGGTTTTGTGAATGGAAACACAACTTGTGAACAGTCTTTTCCCATGTTACCTGTAAAAAACAGGTTATTTGATTTTGGTAATTCTGCTAATAATGTATGGCCTCATCAAGGCACGTTAAAAATAAACCTTGCGGCATTCGTCAGTTATTTATCTCACTACTATTGAAGTTTGGTATGTTTTCATTGATACTGAAGCCGTATTTTCTAACTTAATAGATTCAGAGCCAAGAGATTTCGAGATTCGAGATTTTGCATTCTTCGGCATTCCAGAGTCCTAATTTTAGACCTCGAATCTGGATCGATAATCTACCGGTAGGTAAAAAAAAATGGAATGAAGTCAAAAAGCAATAATTTGACTCAACGCTCCCAAAAACATTCGAAAAGGCTTCCATGTGTCACAGTTTTTGTGATTAGAACTTTTTTCAGTTTGGAGCAGGAATCGAAAGTCAAAATTTTGTCAGTTGTAGTTTGAGCCAGAGTGTTTGTGAAATGGCTCTAAAGTTTTGAAGACTGAGTAGATTGTAAATTTTGTCCCTGTTACTAATTAGTTTCAGGATAAAAGCTCTTGTTATTAGGAAATTAGTTAGCAATATCTGGAGAAAATCTCAATATGCTATATTCATGGTGATTCTTTAATATTTGAATTACCTCCAGAGTAGTCGATGCAATTCCATCCAGCAATCGGTGGTACAAATAATCCAGCTAATGGAAGTAGCCATGATAGTAATACACAAATTATCGCTCGTTTCTTTGAATATTTCTGATTTTTCATTGCATTTTTAAGTGCATGAATTCTGAAAATGGAAAAAAGAATTCACAATTGTTGTACTATAAATGGGGATGTCATGAATTGTGGAATTTCAATTTTCAACTGAACATTTTAGTTTACTATTCTTTCATCGCATGCACTAGTTTTTAAACCAGTTTTCTGTGATTCTATTTGTGTTAGGTTAGGATAAGTTCGGTTAGGTTTTCTCTGTTTATCTTATAAAAAAGTGGGCATTAACCTAACTCAAGAAAGTTGGGGGTGGGACAATAATGAGTAACTATTTCTATGAGCCAAAATAAAAGGAGTAAATGTACCCAATCGTTTCAACCTAATAAAGTTAGATCAAGTCAAAAGTAATATAATATACTCTATAAAATATTTGATACTTAGATGCTTGCTAACTTGAATATTTTTTTTTTGAGTGCCTTGATAGATCATCTTAACAATAATTATTAAATACTATAATCCTCAAAATATACAAAATGTGAATACTATTCCAATAATTGGGGTTTATATTACAGACTATAGTACTAGCACAAGGTTTTGTATTTACTCAAGTATTGAAACCAGTAGTACTGTCAAATGAAATGTTTCTTTTTCTAAATAACAGGGGGAGTGGCATTTTGTATTGCACTGGGTATGACAGACTTCAATCAGTGTTGTGAATTGAGTCATAGAGTTACTTTATTTAGCTTTATTTATAGCGAAACAGATTATGGTAACTGTTATGTATAATGTGTCACGTGCATAGACATCAATTGCATGCAAATGTTAATTGTTTTTCATATCTATATGTGTGAACACACTGAAGTTGTTTGTAAACAGTCATTTCACATACAATCCGTTTTTATAATCAACAAGTCCTAGATCTTTTCTTGTAAATTGGTTAATTCTATGGTAGTCCTATTCTCCCTATACAGTGCAGCATGAAGACTGCAAATAAATGGTAAAATTGCATAGACTTGGTACTCTGCCAAGTCGAATTTTAACTCAATCATCATCATTTATTTGTCAACACAATATAAATGTATTATAAAATAGATTGAGATGAATTGTTGATTTATTTCAAACTCTCACACATTACAAAATTGAAACAAATATTTGCAAGACAAACACACAGGATGAAATTATAAATAATTTTGCAATTGTCAAAGAGTCAGCTAATTGGGCTAAGACTGCTAAATTGTAATTGGGTTATTTGAATGCAGAGCTAAAAATATATACTATTGTTGCATTAATCCATCCACGTTGAAAATAATCTTGAAAAGCAATTGAAACTATCTTTAACTGCGGAATAATGCAATTACTGTGACGCAAACTCAACTGCGTATAACTAGAATATGGTCTGGAGCATGACAATCTGTCGTTTATATTTCAAATTTGATTTATGGCGGTATTTTGGCTCCCCTTCATTTCATTGTCAATTTCGGCATTGTGATAAACAGCTTGAATATTTCTTTGATGCATTTTGTAGATATTTTTGATAAAATAATTATCTAGGGTGGATACAACTTTGTGAAATTTAAGCCAAAGCCATAACTTCCGTCGCCATCCCCCACTTTTAGTTGTTTTATAAGCCAAAAGGTTGCCAAATTTTTCAAATGTGGGACTCGCTATTTCGTTATCTATCCTGATTGGTATATGATTTAGTCATGTTATCCTTCCCTTGCTTTTAAGATAAAATTTACACTGGCTCAGAACTGAGAACGTAGATGATCAATATTATTTACCTCAAATGCGCGAAATTAATAAGCCCTCCTATGGAAGCCGCGATGGTCACCATCCAGAATCCACATAATATTAGAACCCACATTCCTTCGTGCGTTTTTCTCAAAAATATGTCGATACAGTTGAACCATAGAAACTGAAATCCAGACGCAAGATCAGCGCCTGTATAATGAATGATTGTGTGGTTAGGATAGGAAAGGATTTACATATTTATCTTAGGGGTGACCAAAGCCGATAATACGGCCTAATCATATAGTGAACCATGGCCTCTCGTCCGTTTACCAGTCCATGTCGGGTATTGGATTAGTTAGCCAGTTATTTGTTTTCAGATTTATGGACTTCACAAGTTAAAGTTAAGTACGGTAATTTACTTAGAATGACTAAGTTCAATAGATGAGATTTCATGCCAATAGCATGATGTGCTTCTGAAAATTTTAGCAATTATTTTAATGAAATTGTGAAGTTTTAATGACATATTTCTGGAGTGTTGGAAAACACAACGAAACTGCTTTTTAGCACTACGGTTATTGCAGACGATACCATAGGTTCTACTCGGAATTCCACTCTTGAAATTTCTTCCCTAGAAAGTTACAGCCGTATAAAGTTTTCTCGGTGGGATATTTAACACAAACAAAATGAACCCAAATTCAAGCTCCATTAAGATTAAGATGCTTTTCAAAATTGATTCCTTGTCATGTTTTTTAGACTTATATTTGCTGGGAGATTTTTTCCGTAGATATTGTAAACAAATTTGTATGGATCTTTTGGCTTAGTTCAGCAATTTTACACTATTTTAATAAAACTGAATGTTGGGTGTTGGCTTGCTATAAAAATTATAGCATTTAGCATAATAAATCATATTCGGGAAACATATCTTCCCATTTGTAATATAATTAGGTTTCCAGTCGTGATTTCCCGAGGTAATTACAATGTCATTTACCGAGAAAGCTTTGCAATTTATAGACGTGATATAACACGCTAATGCAATGATATCATGACGTATTAATGTTGGAAAAATCTTGTTTTTGTAATGTCGTAATCTTTTTCAATATCTTTAAAATATATTTACACGAAATTACCAAACTTGAAATTATTTACAAATGCAATTACGTAATGGATAAAATTTTCATATTTTGTTGTGATTATTAGTTTTGCATATTAAAAGTGGAAATGTTAATAGTGATTCAATTAGTGCACTTTGAGTGAACTTAGAAGTGACTTTTTGGAGGGGAGAATTTACTTATAAAATTAAGTGTAACTCTATATCCTACCTGCGTGCTTGTTATCTAATTAGATGCAGTTGCGATATAGGCTAAAAGCGAATACGGGTCCTATCCACCATCTTATTGTACCACCCATAAAATGTAATTAAAGCATGCGACATAAGTTAATTTGGGTTATTTGCCGACCAATGAAATGTAACGAAAAAAATTATTGAACGATATAAATGTATAGAATTTAAGAACACCGAAACTTTAGATAAACAGGGTCATAATAAAAACGTTAAATTAGAATTCTGTATGTTGTGGCAAAAATATATTTTTGACGTACTTAAAGTAACGTAATCGATGCTAATGACAAATTTTTAGCACTTTACATACGTCACAATGTGAGGTTGTCAATCATTTTTCCCATTATTAGCTTTTATTTATACATGGGATAAACGTGCGCGGCAAAACTTCTGAATTTAATCATTAAAAACCCAGCAACTCACATGCTAAATGTATAATAAAATATGTTATTGTCGGATTTTGCTTTGGCCACGCCCTCCATAATACAAATAAAACAAGAACATTTTGTATGATTATTCCGATGCTGATAATGCCGGCCACACTTGCCATTATTCTCATTATAGTTGGGTCGCTTATTGTGGCAGCATCAGGTTCGCCGTCTCCGATTGGAATTTCACCTGTTAAAGATAGATTTGTGGGTGTTTTTTGTTTGTTTAGATGTGATTCGATTCTAAGGTCAGGTACCGTATAAATAGAGACTGACAAATGCGTGCTAGTACAATTAAAGCTATGTACGGTAAGTTTCGGTTCAGTTACTTGTAGAATTTGAACATATTCAAATGATGAAAAGTTAAAATCTAGACACATTTATCACCATTTCTTATTTAGGCTAGAGACATTTGAACACATTAATAAAAACACAAGTTGTTACATGAACATTGCACCTAATTGACTGCAAATCAAACCTGTTGTCAAATATGACAGCGCAATATGTCTTCTACAAGCCATTGAAATTGCGTCCAAATAACTCTCTACAACTAACTCGATAAAAACATACCAGTGACGTTGCCATATCCGTATATTCCGGGTTCTACCTCAGGTTCTGGTTCGCTTTCTGGATATGGTCCCAAATAAATCTCTGCTTTCGGTTCCACATGGGGCTCACCGTACGACATGACTTTATTTTAAAATATCTGTTCGTTAAAATTTTTATTTATTTCATACAGCTGTAACCGAAAAAGGTGATCAGTATGGTATACACAGTATTTTTTATGGTTTTAAACAACTTCAAAACGTTAGTCAAATATGTAAAAACTTGAGAATGCCATTTGCGGTATACAAGTATAGGTGTCGGCGTAGTATGTGCCCTAGTATCTACATACAGCCACAATATAAATGCGAATCATCACCGAACCAAGTTGTTCTATTAAATCGTTTTACTCGACCACCGAATGGTCTATTTATATTGTATGGGTCAATAGAGATCTAAACCCTAGTCTAGATGTAGATCACGTATACCACACAAACGTCCAATTTCTTTTTCCACACGAGTATATCATGAATATTGATTCAACCAAGTTATAATTATTTTATGTAATAACCGTACCGCGCTACCTCACCCTAGTTATTTGTTTCCGCAATTCAAACTCCCTTGCCTTGCATTTATTGATGCGATGAAAAATATACATTGCCAAGTTCGCGGCTAAATCTTGCAACTGATAGCATCATTTCCTATGCATGTATCTTAAAATGAATATGAAATTTGATTATAAGCGTTCCCTGTCTTAATAAAGGGCAGAAAAGCGTAGATTGATACTTGAGATACGGATTGACCAGTCGCTGACTTTACTCATGCCCTTTGATGCTGACCAATTGGTGCGTTTTCAGTCTTTTCAATGTCCACGGGCCCCCTTGATATGTCTAATTTGATTCTTCAATTTTGTGACCTTCTACAAATTCAATTTCTTTTGTGTCATCAAAAGACTGTCCGCCTGACAGATCTCGGATCACCATAAATACAAGTGACCGAATTCTCGTCTCGAAAATCGTGGGCCATCGCATGGTAATTTTAAGCCAAGTTTATTATTTTAACATAATAGTCGCTTTTAAAATTCACGTTTTTTCTTGGTGACATTTGCGGTTATGTCTTGCCGTATTTCGTTGCGCTGTAAAACCTATGCTATTCTGTGTAGTAACTGGGATGAATACGCTGTTTTTACTATTAGCTATTACTAAAATGCAGCCTTTTTAGCTCTTTGTTGACTGTTTTTGCGATAATTTGCCGCCTCTCGATAGAAAAATATAAACTATTTAAAATTTCTGTACGAGTGCCATGTCACTCTGTATCAGCAATTAATCTATCGCCATCATTTTCATAAGAGAAATCTTAAGCACGATATTATATATGTTACGATAAATAAATTACAAATAGTTTCCGATCACGTGTTGAAATAAAATAAAAAGTCGCTCAATATTTCGGACCCATTTTTTCGGTAAAATAACTTATAATAAGACACTTATATCGTCTCAGTCACAAAAATCTGAAATCTTCAACATGGCCGTATTTAAGCACACTTGTGGTGAGTGAGACGGCGATTGTTGGAATATATTGCGAAAGGGCAATTTTTTTTTCATGAAGACTATTTCTGAATAATTCATTTATTTACTACAAATACCATAGTGTAAGTTATAATGTATTCTACATTAAAATATGGCGAATGTTTTGGTCCTGCTTCATGAACCTATATGAACTATCGACTGCATAACTAAACGGCTTTGTGCAAAACATATTTCAAGTATCTTTCCATTTACCTACGTTTTTGTCAAAGTATAATACGTCGAATATTCTCTCTTTTCATGCATTTTTGCGCCAACTCGTCACCTACAACAATTATTTTAGGTATTGGCGACCGTTGCAAAAATTTTTTTAATTACTTTTAAATTAGCGTATATTTGCATGTATGATTTATCTCGACCCCTCAAAATGATTGGCCAATGGGAAAACTTAATTTATTTCCTCATTTAACTGGAATATATTGAATAAAAATTGAAAAAAAAAAAAATAGAATGAATGCCGAAAATCGAATGAACTTAGCAAATGTCGCTCAGTGCGCACTACCTAATTACGTATAATGATGCTATCATAGCTATAGCAATGACTAACTAAAATCAATATAAAATTTGACAAATGATGCTAACATTTTTTCTATTTTGCTATCAACAATATCAACCAATTTTGAAATGAACGAAAAGTTTTTGCCCTCTCAGAATGAACTTTATATCTATATTACAACGTACTGTGGCGATTTGTGTGTGTGCTCAACTTATACCATAATTATATACCTACGCTACACAAAGATTTAGTAACTTGAAAAACAGCATTGTCATCTCATCATGTTCGCTAAAGTGTGTCAGGATTAACCGCCACTTGGATTTTCAAATTGTTACATGTTTACCACACTTCAATATTTTAAAGCTTTCATGAATTATTAATTTTAAGTAATAAAGTACGTCGCACAATACAATTTGGGGAGAAGAAACCCTGTAATATTTATTCCCATTTTTTACATAATTTTCAAACTTTGAAAGTTTACTTTAGATTAGATGAATAGGGGATGAAACGAAGGTATATAATCATGAATCCCTCTATGAAATCGGCCAAATCTATCTACTCAAAACAAGAGAGCAATGCTCAAATATATGGACATTAATGTCAAAATTCTGTTACGATAAGATAGACATAACAGCAAATTATGCGTTGAGCATCGAGGCCCGCTGGTCTAAAAAAATAAAGACTAGACTTCTTTCCGACTTTCCAAAAACGATCCATATAAACACTCTCTGTCAATATTGAGCTTGAATTGAAAAATTGCATACATTGAACCCACAATTTACATTTTGTGGATTCAAATTACCATCTAGTAATATATACAAACCAACAAACTGAATTTCTACTAGATTGTTTATCTCACAACCTAGCATTACTTTTCAAATAACTAGCCTGTAGACTAGAGTGCTAAGCATCAAGTTCTTGATGGCGTACTCGAAATCTTTTGACTTCTTTTCGATACAAAATACATATCGGATAAAGAGAGGAAGAATATTACTTGTATGTTGAACTTGAACGCATCCAAAAAGATTCACAAAGACTACAAAAAAATAGGATGTGAACTTAAGTGCCAAAAATCTAGTTTTTTAATGTTTTTATTTGAGCGGCGTATCGCCCTGCACAAGCAGCTCCCCATATGCGAGGAGCTACTTTATTTTTTGAAAGGACCGGAATCTTTCCGTTTCGGCGTTGCCTACTCAAATTACTACACCATGGCTGATGCGGTGAGCATTGGATTTTAAACCGAGATGAATCTAACGCTTTAACATGATACCTCGCTCACAACTCCACCCTTTATTTGCTGCCTTTGTTTTAAAACAAAATACACAAGGGATAAGTAGATAAATCTACTTGGCCGAGAAAATCATATTCTAACATTACAGACATAAATTCCCGATATTCCCTGATTCTAGAATAGGACAGTCTCCTATATGGTACTTTTACTCCGATTATATGTATTTTTCATTCAAATCATTACGAAGTCCCCGCTGACGTCAATATATTTGATCAAATGGATGTTTTTGACTTACTTACAAAACGTGATCCCCGGACGATAAATGTATTCCCGAATAGAACTTGGCACCATAATAATAGTAGGATATAAATAAATGTCCATTGCGACGCAGACGGCTGATGTCATCCACAATTTCAACGCGTTATAATAATGATATTTCGATATTTTTATTCGAATATGCTGGCATTTAATAGAATTTGATTTTCGCTACATGTCTCATTTATGCACTTAAAGATGATGTCAAATTGGATATAACAGTCAAAAAGATTCATAAACTCAAATCACTCTCTCGATGACTACCTTGTCTAAACATTTTTTTCAATATTGGTCTGGTCTTATTATTATAATTATATTAATAAGTTATTTACGTATTTGGAACACATTCAAGTCCTAACCAAGACCATAATCTATTTTATTCTTGTTGCAGGGAGTTATAAATAGCTTTTACGTACACATTAATTAACGAAGTCCACATATTGAGAAAGTTATCTTGACCCCATTGTAGACCGGAAGGTTTTCAGTTCACTCGACCTATTTCAGGTTGTTATTGCTCACAACTTTTGTTAGGTTACCCCGGGCGTATACCGCATAAGCGGATCGGATAGTCTTACCCAGTCAACGATACATTTTTTCATATGCTATTTTTTCACATTATTTTACGGCATTTACTTATCCAACATGGACTGGTAACTGGACGAGAAGCCGTGAGTCGTCATATGATTATTCCGTCTTATGAAAACTCTATAACGATGAATTTATCGATGTAAATCGTTTAGTTACCTTATACTACTATCTGGACATCGAAGTGTATTTTATCACACCAAAAAGTGACCTTTCTGAGCCTCGTTTACCTTTGTCTGAGGGATGATCGCGAACTTGGTGACCGTCACTCATTGTAAAAACCCTCGTACTGATCTTTCCATATTGCGAATAACCTTAACAACGTTTGTCATGCATGCTTTGAATGATCGGTTCTAGCCAATTCGGGGAAACATCTAGTGACGTGACCTTACAATCTGTCCTATTGGCCATGTATATAAAATTTCCCATAACTTTTGCCCTGATGAGTTCGTGACTCTTAGGAAAATGCCTTAAACCAACAGCGTAATGTGACTTTGGTAGCTAAATAACAAAAAATCATTCTTTACGCTTTATATATAAGTAGCAAAATTGGTTACATATTCAAGATGTTTACTAAAAAATATGTTAAAAGTAAATAAAAAACTCGTTTCATAACCATATAATACCGACTTGACTGTTTAACGTAAGAACTATCCTTACCAATAATCATAAACGTAAGGTCAATCGTGACCACCCCACCTCCACATTCCGTATAAACGGTAACGCCCAATTTTCTACCTTTTGCTCGTCAGAACACGATTCTAACTAATACCGAACTAGTTTAGTTCCGAAGCTGACAAAGCGATTTTATGTTCTTAATATACTATCTGCATTGCATACTCTAAAAATATTATTTCCGTTAAAACATCGTATTGAGGTAAATATTGTGACCAAATTGCATTAGTAACATCCGATGCGTGATGTAACGCTCCGCCGCAATTAATTCCTCTGCCCATCCCAGTAACCACAATACTCTATGTTCTATAATGACTAATGGTTATCGTATAATCCCAGACTTAAGATACTTTATAATCAAAATTTAATACAAATTGCAAATTACGACAACTGTACTTCATTTGAACTGTGCCATTGTGAAATTGATATGTTAACTCGTTTCACCTTATTTCAGTAATAGCATAAGCTCCGTGGTAAGATCGCACAGTTTTACTTTTTAGTGGGCGCATTTATATGTAAGAAAAATTTCTCGTTCAAGTTAAAATGCGATATATAAATACTCCGTATTCATTATAATAACATTTCTAAGTATAAGTTACTTTTATTCACAATTAATTATTCTCGTATTTAATGAGGTGATCCACCGCCACTGTAAAAAATACTTTGTCTATCTAATCTTTTAATAATAGTTGGATTAGCATAAGTCCTCAACTATATTTAATGAGTCGGTATAACCCCGTTGTAAAAATAACTTTGCAGATATTATCTCTTTAATGATATATTTTCAACATAATACCCCCACAGTAAAGGCGAAGGAAACTCAAAACATATGCTTTTCGATTCCAGTTTCCAATTCTTACGTAAGGTACTATCACACTGCACTTTATAACCACTAATGTCATGCTGCCTATTCTAAAGGTGATTTTTCAAATGTTGGGCTCAATAATTCATGGAAAACACACAATCTCATTTGGACAATCGCCATCGTCCATCTTAGCATATCAATCGCCAGCCCTCTTCTCATTCCTGAATCGTACAGAAACGTCGTCGGAATGACGGTTTCGTATCAATTTACATATAGATTTTTCGACTTTAATTACTCTTTACATTTTTGGACCAAATATGACGGATAATAATGAACGTTATATAATTTAGAAGTAAATAATTTATCTTGTATCTTAAAAAATTCAATCAGAAACCATTTTTTTTTCTTAAAAAAGTCAAACTCTTTCATAAGCGAAATCTCGCGCATCTCGTACTGCACAAACACGAATATGGGCTTACTTAGCCGGAAGCAAACATATATATGATATGCATAATATCAATAAACATAATTGACGCTTTTGTGCTCGTAAGTTATTTTTAGGTGTTTGTCATGGCGTGACCGGACATTGTATATTATATAACTTTTAGGCATGGCCAAGTGAACTTATCACATAGAGTTGAACCGTTCATACATAAGTGTATGTATCATAAATTGTTTCGTGTTTGGTATAAATAGCTTATTAACCTTTTAGCGACCAATTTAATGAATCGATGTATGATTGTCCACTCTGTTTCGATTTGTATTTGTTAATTCAATTTACAATCATATGTAATTAATTGAATGAACTTCTAGCATTCAATTCACCGTAAGTAGAACATTTAGGATGGGTTTTGAAAATGAAGACAATTTCTAATCAATGAGCTACTTTCGTTAATCTCCCACTAACCCATCAATGTTCAACTAAGTATGTGGCCAAGTGGATTGTAATCCTAAAATGATTTAATTGTAAATGCTCGGCATTTAATTGAGATTGCCAGTTGAACGCGGTGTTTATATGATTAGAAAGCGCAAACGCAAGATTTTCTGTGGGCAAGAAACGTCTACCAACATTCACAAATCATTGCATACAGTATTAATCAAATGTTGTGTGGTCGAGTTTTTTTTTTGGGCCTTAAGAGAAGGTGGAACTTAGGAACCACTGGTTTAGCCAACGTTGCAACTGTTGATACTATAAAGATAAATGAACGTCGGCTATTCCATCTCGTTTGCTTTCAAATTATGGTTGTTTTACCGTGAGCATATCCTTGAATATTATCAAAATCGAATGACTTGATCCGATTCAAGTTTTTTTTTGTTACTGATGTTGTAATTTCTATATGTGTATCAGTATAAGGTGGCCCGATTGGATATAAATAAATATACGTATAATTCCTCTCATTTAGCTGGCGTGTCTTATATAGAGTATCTGTCATATTTATAGCGAAGAATATAATCACTATTAAATGAATTACTAATAATTTTTTGTCGGGAATTTTCATAAACAATACTTTTACAGCCATAATGTGCAATTAAGTATCTCTTGTTTTCAGAATGAAAATAGTATGTTAATAAAATATTCAAATTAGCTTGACCTGCTTTTTAATGATAATTTTAATGTGGGCGTTAAATCCTGGCGGCTAGACATTTCATTAAAACGTTAATAATGCTATTGCTTGGGCATTTTTGATGTCTATTGTATCTTTACCTAAATGAAGATATTAATTATGCTGTCTTAATTTTGTGTAGATTATAACATAGTTAGTATAAAACCATTTAAATTGATCATTAATTAGTTATTTTACGTCTGATGGATTTATTGCGCGTGTACGGAACTTGAAATTATTACGTATTATTGTAAAAAGACGGCGTGTCTTTCGGATTCAGTTGTTTATATTTTCTAAAATGAATAAGTTACCAAGGTAATTTTTGAAGACTAATTAGCTTATTTGTCGATACCATTTTACATGCTTAATTAATTGGCGTTAATCGCTGTCATGTCACGTAAATTTAAAAAGGAAGAGCGAAAATATACGTCGTTCTCTCAAAAGGGGATACACGGGCTTCATTTTTTTTTGCTCTTGTGTTGTATTTAATGAATATACGCACATTAAACTTTTCCTCTGGGTTATGGTTAGGACTAAGAGAGTCTTTTGCAATCCTAGTAATCAAAGAAGAGTTAAATTATATCCCATTCCATTATACTTGACCAAATGCATTGAGCTACAATCAGGTGTAGGTACAAACACGGTATCTCTTCATTATAAACATGCTCCAGAATTATTTTTTTTTTACATATTGTGTAAAAATGTTTTCTCGCTGGTTCGTCTTGTCGTTTCTCGTTTTCAGCGGTTTCAGTTTATAATTTCCCATATCCAGTGGAGCTGTCTTATAAATGCCTGCCATGATAATTCTTTTTTCGGTACTCCCTTAGTATGTGTACCAGGTTAGGGCTAGGCCATAGTTTTATTCCGATTTTCCTTATTTTAGTTCTATTACGAGTTCGGGGACTGTCTGTCTTAGCCAAGTGAATATACCCCTGCCCATAGTAATCAGTCCCTGTACACAACTTGACGTGAAGCAGGCGAACAAAATTAGTTGCCTCCATATTGTTACACATACTTCTGGAGCGTCCTTTTTTAGGTCTTACCCGAATAAATAAAGTTACTCCAACTAATTCTTTGTTATTTTTTTCAGCGTGGTGATAGCCATTGGATGTGGATTCTTACTCGGATTCGGTGACGCTTGCTTCAATACTCAATGCTTTTCTATACTTGGTGTTATGTATAAATCAGACAGTGCTCCAGCGTTCGCTTTGTTCAAGTTTGAACAGGTAACTCATAAATTTCGTTTCATACTCGTAACATTCATCTGTAAATGTGTTTGTTGACTCGGCCACCAGTTGCTCTTCGGAAGCCCTATTTATTTTGATGCAAATGTGAAGTAATTTAAAGTCCCACACGGAAATTAAACAAAATCTGATATATTTTCGATTAAATCGTTGCTCGTGTAGTGAAGAGCCGATTTTGAAGATTTTGTTCTAAGTAACAGGCGAAAAACCTATTCAAACTTCAGTTGAAGGGCATGACCTATTGCATTGAGTGTCGAATATATATTGAGTGTGCTACGAATTTTTTTTTTTTCTGGATTGCGTTGACCAAATTTGGTTAAAATCTCGTAGTTTTGGGGGGCTGACAGTACCCCAGTACTTCCCAATCAGCCACCTCACAATGCGACAAGTTTTGTTGATACTAAACGACTAAGTCCTATTAAATCATTATCTATTTTATTTCAGTCACTTGCCGCCGCGATCGGATTTTTCTACAGTAACCATATTGTTCTAAAATGGCAGTTGTTGATTATGGTGGTGTTTGGAGTATCCGGAACTTTGACTTATTTCAAAGCCGAACATTCCTTAAAAAGGAGGCAAAGAGAAGAAGCAATAAACGAGGATTGAGAAATCTATATTTTTTTGTATTTCTATATTATTTTCAGTATATCAAACTAAAATAACCGTTACACCTATACATATTTGATTCGCCAAAACGCTATTATATATGTCGTTTTTGCTTCTGGTTAAACAACAAATCATTGTTATACCATTTCTATTCATAGTAACATTACTCCCATTATGAACCCTGAATATTTGCCCTAATAATCATAATTTGTCGTTCACTCTTTAATGAACTTTATTGATTTAGTTTTAGTTTTATTTTTGACTACTACGTGGGCAATAAGGTCATTTCTGCATAACGGGTTCTTCTATCAGATTCGGCAAACGACCTACGTTGCTCCCATCAGAATTATTTGATTAGTGCTGCTATACTTCTGTGACACTAAAATTTCAAAGCCTAATATTTCATATTCTATTTCCATGTGTATTTAATTTTCCGTCCACTTAGATTCAGGAACAGATATCTTCGAATTTCGAATTTTTACATGTGATTATTGATGAGCGCAATTCCTAAAATCTGTATATTTTTACTGTTGTATTTTTGTATCAATAGCTCCCAATTTAAGCCTCAAAATGTGAATTTTTGTCACAATTCTTTGAACAAATTATTATAAGCAAGAGAGCGAACTTACATGAACACGACGGTCGAATGAATGACGTCCAATGACTACCGTGACGTAGACAAGATCCTAGACAAATGGTAAAAGAAATGAACCGAATGTCATATCAAGTTGCGAGTTTAAGAATAACATCGGCCCCTTTAGGACTGAAATGATGTAAAGCACTTTAGCCACTTCACCTATCTTTTTCAGTACTGAAAATTTGAAATAGATTGGTTCATTAGCTGCCAAGAAAATATCCTCTTCGTGCCTAAAAAGTAAACGGGGAAATTTCGCCCTCAAATCTGCTCGCATACCGATACACAGAAAGCTCTAAAAATAACATTAATATCTTTCATGAATGAATCTGCTGTATAATCTATTCTGTAGAGTAATTTATCTGCCCGTTGAGCACAGCGAATTAGAATATACTTGATATTCTATATTAAGAATTTTCCGTAATCGCGTTAGAAATGTATTGCTACAAATACATTGTAACCTCTATATGCAGTCTTCGTGTAAGCCTCTGGTAAATTTTCATCATGTGTATGACCTTTTTTCTCCTACATTCTGTTGCATTGATTTTTTATATATTTCAATTGTACATTGATTAGTAGAAACAGTTATCTTTTGGAACATGTTACGTGAGTGCAATAAAGCAATATATATATATATTGCGAAGAATTGTTTTGGGGTACATCTGGCCGGCATTTTTTCTCTTGCATTGTTGAGTTGGAACTGTTTTAAGCCAAAATTCATATCAGCATAGCGTTTAATACATATTAGCGTCAGTATGCTCTCCACCCAGTGACATAGTTTTCACAGTTGGACATCGCTGCATATATTCACCATCCACGTGTGCCCTTTTGGGTGAAGTGCTAACGCGCATTTCGCGAATATTCGGCAAAGTAAGGAAAACCATTTACAGTACGCCACAAATTTGAGGAAGCGTATATTATCGGAAATGGATTCGAATATAACGATGTGAGATGGCATTGTTTTCGTATGCAGGATATGTGAATGCCGGCGTAATATTGGCAGGTTATGTTTTACGATAAGCGCTAGTTATAGCCACGTAATTTATTGAAACTGTCAGCTTGTGGACAATTTTCGCGATGAGAACTTTGACGCCACCAAGAAAATGTGTAAGCAAATATATGAAAGAGTTTCGCCACTTATTCTTTTGACGATGAACAGGTATTATCTCTTACAGTCCGAAGCAATCTGCAACATGGCCTGTATAAAACAATATTTTTCATTTAGGTAATATTACCATGTTGTCACTTTTATTCTGTCGTTCAATTTGTAAAATCGTAATTTTGACTTGGGGGTTGTACAAAAGTTGTATCGTTTTTAATAACATTAATACCTGAACTTGTGTTTGTAAAAATGAGATATAATATTAGATAACGAAATCGACAATACTGTTGCAAGTTTTCGCAAGAAAGTAATAAATCGGAGGTTATGACATAGTCATGCATGCTGAAAAGTGCTTTCCTCTTGTAGAATGTGACTTGAGATATTATAAAAACTGATAATATTGCTTCAATGAACTAAAACACATCCTAACTCAAACGCCGGAACACAAAATTAGATCAAAGCACCGAGTATGGAGAATCTCAAAACATCTTCCTTTTCGGAACAGTTATAAATAAAGCAATGAGACGAATGCGGCCATTGACGTTAATCAGCGATAACAGCCTTTAAGGTTTATACACTTAAATCAGGATGGTCCAAACCGCGGCCCGCCGACACATTCCGTGCGGCCCGCAGAACAATTTTAGAATACACTACTAAACCATTGGCAGATATTTGTATTTATTAGCAAAAAAAATTTAATTTATTTAAACTATTCCAACTGGGATGGGTATCCAACCTTTTCTAATTCCGATGTCGGGATTCATGTTTGTTTAAATCACGGTATTTCATTGTTGTATCTGTAAACGTCAAGACGGTGCCTATATGGGAATGACGTCTTGTGATCGGTAAAGGAGAATGAATTGTCTTGTGCAGACAAGACCAAGCCGACGAGATGACCTCGCCTCAAGTAACTCCTCATTTGAAGAAACGTTTTGTGCCTTTGTTTTAGTCAAAACACTACTCTATATTCAAGCATTGGCCATGTGACAGCAGTGACAAACCGCAGAGCTCACTCAGCGCCGCGCGATCAAGTTTTTTTTTTCATCTGGGCAGGAGGTTCCAACTTTGACGGACATGGTTGTTTTTTGACGGTAGCATTAGGCCTACTTACGCTACAAGTAATAAATTTTTTCTCAAATATACCAATTCATCATACAATAAGTGTGTAAAACAAGTTGACCGAGGTAAACTGAGAGGAAACGTATTTCCTTGCCCACAACAACGTTAAACCACAGTGTCCGGTGTGTTTTCATGTAATATCCACCACGAAAGAATATAATTTTAAGCCACATTATAAAATCAAACGTGAAAATATACCGAAAATACCACGATATTTCCCGCGAAGCAATTTTAAAACAACTGAAGGCTTTATATAGTTTCCTTGAAGAACTGATTCGAACGATAAACTCTCATTCTTAAATATATATATATATATTCAAAGTATAAAAAAACTTGTGATGTTTTGATCACTTTTGGGTTTTCTCCAACTGCGGCCTGCGAGACCTTCTCAAAAGTTTATGCGGCCCTTCAACCGCGCAATCTTGGACCACCCTGACTTACTTGATTGCAACACAAAGATCAATAATGCAATACGGATGATGTATAAACAGAAGTTCAGAACACTCAAACGATAATAACGACACGTCTTTCTTATAACAGAATATTATATTAATTTTTCCAATAGATTTATCTGTCGAAAACTGAGTGACAAAAGAAAACACTACTTTGAAATGAGAAGTTGGATGCAAAACGATCGTTACGTCCACTGACGTGTCCAAAAACTGAATATTATTATAACACCACAACAAATACAAAGAAATATTCCTTTCCGAGATTAACAAAATTTCTCCCTGCTGAGGAATTCTTCCCCATGTTCCCTGTCGGGAAACGCGTGTTTAAGATATATATCGTAGCTGCGGCATATTTATTGAATAAAAATGCTATAAAGTCTGCTTGTTATAATTTATTCTTTCGTTCTGCTTTAAAATAATAGAGATCACACTTCATCGTTATCTAATAGCTTCTCCATATATTTATCCTCTATTCTCCCAGTTGATTACTCAAATTATGTTGGCATAGATCATGAATGTGGATACGCTTCGAAACTGAGAATAATTATCCTCATCTGTTTAGGTAAGTGCCGGAGCTGTGGCTCTTTATTTTTACATTTTCGTTTGGTTTTAATCCTCAATCGAATATCGCGAACAGCTTGTATATAGCGTAACTTAGGCCACATACTGGGCGGTCAACCGCAATCACGAATGCGGTTTTGCTTTGTTAAGAAGAGGGTTAGGCATCATATGTGGATAAGTTTGGTATTCATACGTTTCGGCCCACATTGGCTCAAACCCGAGGATACGTTACTCCAGGGGTGTGCAACCTGCGGGCCAAATGCGTTCAGCAAGGAGAAATTGTGCGGCCCGCGAAGTGCCGATTTTGAATGAATCGCGAAACGAGTTTTCAATCGACTTCAATTTGGTAGGCCTGTGTGCGAGTGATTCCAATCCCTTTGCGTTACAATTTTTATACGTAAGTAAAATTCATTATCTATGCCCAAATGCCCTAACAAATTGTGTTGGCATAGATTCTGAATGTGAATACGCTTCGAAACTGAAAATAATTATCAACAGCTGTTTAGGTAAGTGTCGGAGCCGTGGCTCTTTATTTTTGTTTTTCATTATTATTCTAGTTCTGTTATTATGTTGCTACTCTTGAAAATTAAACACTAGAGATGTATCGGTATCGGGTGTTGGCAATATCGGCCAATTTTTTGATGTCGGTAGTATATCGGTATCGGCTACATTTAGACCGATATTTTCGATATATTTATTAGCTGTTTGATTAAGGTTAGCCCCTAGCGCCCGGCCCGAGTCGGCGCTAGATCAAATTAGCCACAAGACAAGGAAGACGAAAAAACAACGATGGACTACGCCGCCGCTGCCGCATCAAGAAGATCTGCTGCTGGAGAACCTGCCACTGCAACACCTCAAACGGCCACGGAGACCTCGCAGACAACAAAGCAGCCGCTCTACCTGAAGACCAACCGGACTCCGCTGGACGTATGGAAATATTAGGCGACACCACACCACAACGCGAGATTTCTGCGACCAAATAAGAGGTTTGTACGAAATTGGCCGAAAAAACTGAATAATCTCTTTTGCCGCTTACAGCAATGGCAAATGCCGCAAAGAAGAGTTCCTCGAGAGCACCGGTGAAGAAATCAAAGCAGGAGACGTCACAATAGAAGTGACCCTGCCAAACAAGCCACCGACTCGCATATTTTTTTCGTGGAATCCTCTATTCTATGAAAAACCATTCTCAAAAGCTGCCGCTAAAATCAACGGCACATGATGCGGAATTATCAAAAATGCATATAGGAATTACTATAAAGGGACCCAAATCTAAAATGGGTATACTGCATTCATGATAGAGGATTTTTTTTTTCTAATTTTTTTTTTTTAATGGTAGGCCTCAACCCACCGATACTTACCTGTCGCAGGGGAGGCTTGTAGATGGTCTTTCCTTTTTTCTAAAAAAAATAAAAGATAGTTAACAGAACGCCTGACCGCGACGAAATATTTCCCGCCACATAGGAGGGTTCGGAGAAATGCACCCTGATGCACAATCTTTGAACCATCCAGTGGCGAGTATCTCGTTTTGGTCAGGTAAGTAGGAAATGGAAGAGAAAGAGTCAGAATGGCGAAGGAAAGATTTGAAAAGAAAATTTTTTTTAACAGCCATGACGGGCCTGAAAAAGAACATAATCGAAATAAAAATCAAACTTGACATTCAAAAAAAATATTTGGCCTCCGCTACAAGACTACGAAGCGTTACTACCGATATGACGTGTCTTTCAGACACTGATCCGAGACTGGAAAA